AAAAATAAAAATATCTTATAGCGCCTTAAGCTTAATAAATAACTTAGAGTATAGCTTTATAAAGTTAAAGTTTAGCTTCTTCTTATATAAGTCTATAAAACTAATAAAGCTTTCTTTAATACCTAGCTTTTTTAACTTAATAAGCTTACTAATAAGTAGTATAATAATACTACTTTAACTAAAAATAAAAGCTACTTTAAGTAAGCTTTTATAGATTTTAGGTATACTACCTAGAAAAAAAGAATTATAGTAGTAATCTAGAAGGTATAATACCTTTTTGTAGGGCTATATAGTTAATATAGAATAAGGATAAAGCTAGAAGTAGTAGTAATAGCAACAGTAATAGTAATAGTAATAGTAATAGTAATAAGAAGTATAGAGCTACTTATAACTAGATTAAACTTTAGCTACTATAGTTAGTATAAATAATAAAGACTAATAAACAATTAAAACGCGTATATAAAAACATAATAGTAACGTAATATATTAATCCCTGTCCTCTAGGGATAAAAACTAGTAATAAATCTTAAAGAAGCTATAGTACTAGAGAGCTAGTTAGCCTTTTTAGGAAAAAATAAAAGACAAAACTAGTAAATTACTAAAGCGGTTTAATAAAAGTTCTTTTAATAAACTAGAATAATACTAAAAGCTCTAGTAATAGTAAAGAATTATAGAAGAAATAGTTATTTTAGTAATAATACTACTAAAAACTATTAGTATTAGTGTAATATATACTCTTACTACGGCTAAAATTATAAGTAGTAAGAAAATAAATAAAAAATTAAAAAGTAATAAGAGAGTAAGTTTTAAAGAAAAGATTAACTATATAAATATAGCTAAAAGAAATAAAAATAGTAAAAGGCTAACTAGTTTAGAGCTAGTAGAAATTTAAAGGTATTTATTATATATATACTAAGAAACTTAAAAGAACACTAGTAAAGTTTATTCCTTATTAATATTTATAGCCTAAAAACTACTTTATTACTTTTTAAAATACTTATTATACTTACTATTACTAATAGCTATAAATTCCTAAAAGGTAGTATACTTAGAGATTAAAAAACTAAGCTATCTTAATTAGATTTATAAAGATACTTAGAAAAGCTAATAATAGAAGTTTAAAGACTACTACTAGAAGAAATAAAAGCTAGAATACTAGTATAATAGCTATAATAGAGTAAGAAATTAGTTTTAATAAGTAAGTAGCTTAGTATTTAGAGTATAAAAACCTTTTTTAAGGTCTTAGTAATAAAGTAGGTTTTGTTATAAATAGTTAAAGCCTAAATAACTTCTAAATAAGCAAAAAAGAAAATTATAAAATATAAAGCTTTTAATACTATTAAAAAGACTTACTAAGTTTATAAGGCCTTAGTTTTACTTATAAAAGCTAGCTTATTTTAAGCCTAGTTTATTAGATATTTTATTAAGTAGACCTTTAGTAACTAAGTTAAAAGTTTAATTATTCTACTATTTCTATAAACTAAAGGTAAGCTTATAAGCCTATTTTTAGGCTTTTTATAAATTTTAATTAAAGCTTTTATTTAAGTTCTTAAGCTAATTAAAGAACTAGAAGTTTATTTTATTTATATATAAAGTATATAAATATTAATAATAGTAAGCTTAAGCTTAAGCTGAAAAATATTTTATAGAAGTATTAGCTAAAAACTAAAAAAGAAAAGAAATTCTAATAAGCTTATAATATAGTAAGTAATTTTCCTTTAGTAAAGTAATAGTATTAAGTAGCTTTACTCTATTTAAAGTAGTAAACTTTACTATAAGTAACAAGGTATATTATATATTTATATAAGAAAAAATAGTAGAGCTTAGTAATAACAGAGGTATTATCTATAAAAGTTAAGTAGTAAGTAGGCTATAAAGTAGATATCTATTTAAATAATATTAAAAACAAAGTAAAAGAGTTAGTAGAATATAAACAAGATACTTACTTTAGGTTTATTAGTATACTACTTAAATATAGATATAGTAGTATTAGTAGAAAGCTTAGCTTTAGCTTTAATAAAATTTACTTTTAAGGTTTTTATCTTAGCCTTTTTTATTTTATACTTAAAGAGTATAAAGTTTAGTAGTAGACTTCTTACTATTAAGAGAAGCACTTAGATAAGTAATTATTATATTAATAAGAAAAAATAGAATAGGAGGTAGGAAGGTAGGTAGCTAGAAAAGTAAATAAGCTAAAGCTAAAAATATATTTAAATATAGGTAAAGGCATAGTATTAAAGTATTATATAATATTATAGTAGAGTTAAAATCTAAAAAATTTTACTAAAAAGATAGCTTATATAATAGGCTAGGCTTAGTAAATCTTTAGTAAGTAAAGCCTTAGAGCTTAGTAAGCCTAACTACTAATACTTATTCTACTACCTATAAATTAGAAATACTTAGTATACTACTAAAAAGACTATAAGTAGATTAAAACTAGTACTATAGATTCTTAGTAAATTTATCTAATTTTTACTAGTAGCTACTTTTAGAGTTAGCTTATTATAAGTAATAATAATAGTAATAGTAATAGTAATAGTAATAGAAAGTAGAAAAATAATAATCTAGAAGAAGATTAAACTTAAGCTAATATAGTTAGTATTAATATATAATAATTACTAACAAGTAATTAAAATACGCATTATAAAATATAATAGTTATATTACTTATTAATTTCTTTTTTCTAGATAATATTATAGTTTTCTACTTATATAAGTCTTTTAGTTTATAAATACTAGCTTACTTCTTAAATTTAGTACCTACTAAGGTTTTCTATTAAAGCTTATAATTACTTTATAAAGCTTATTAAAGTAGTATATACTTTTCTTATTAGTTACTCTAGATTAATATTGTTCTTATACTAGTAACTTATAAAAAGTTTAAAATTTATACCTAATACTAGTAATAGCTTAATATATTTAATACTAAAGTTAGTTTTTAGTATACCTATTAAACTATTTTATAAGCTGTTTTAAGCTTAACTTTTATTTTAATTTAAAATATAAGGCTTTAGAGAGTATATTATAATACTATACTACTTTTAAGCCTTTTCTAAGAGATTCTAGAGCCTAAAGTAACTATTTTAATATGCTCTATATAGTATTTAGAATAATTCTATAATTTATTCTTTATCGAGTAGTAATTAATATAATAAACTACTAAAACCTTTTATTTCTAGGTTTTTTTTTCTCTTTTTAATATTATTTAGGTTTTTATAGTATAATAAAATCTTTTTCTTAACTTCTTAAGTGTTTTATATAAATAATAAGTACTTAATATTTAGCTTTCTTGTAGTAATAGAAGTACTAGCTTAGAATAGTATTATAATTATATTAATATTATTATTATCTTTACTTAACTTAATTCTACTAACTTATATTATAATATATTAAAGATTAGATTTATATATATCCTTCTTAGTAATTAGCTCTAATTCTAAAGTCTATAAAATATAGCACTTTAAGTTATTTCTATTAGCTAAAATCTATAAGTTCTAGAAACTAAATTCTAGAATATAATATATCTTTTATTTAGCTTAAAGTACTATAAGATATTTTTATCTTTTAACAAGAAAGTATTACTTTTAGACTAATTATTACTTTTTTTTATTTTAATTTATTACTCTACTAAGTCTTTTAAGATCTTACTAGTATTATATAAAGACCTATACTTATACTATTAATTACTTACCTAAATCTTTTACTTTTTCTTTAAATCTAAGATATCTTATTAAAAATACCTGCAATACTAATAATATTATATTAATAGTAAGTTAGATTTATAGTTACTAGGAAAGAAGTATAAAAATTTAATTACTTAAAGCATTAAGAATAAATATATATAAACTTATAGTAAAAAGCTATAATTACTTAAAACCTTACTAAAGCTAATTAAGTTATATATTTATAATTATTAATTTATCTAAGAGTCTTTTAAACTGCTATAGTTTATAATAAACTTCTAAGCTTATAAGTAAACTAAACGTTAATATATAGCTACCTAGGCTCTTTAATATATATCTATACTAGTATATGTAGTAGAACATTACTAAATAATTAGTAACTTACTTTTTTATATTATTATTATATACCTTGTTTAATATTTACTATCTAATAAGCGTCTAGGTATTAGATTTTAAACTAAGTAATTATACTATAGTCTTACTATATTATATCTATCTGCTTATATAATAAGTATAGATACGCTATAAGTCTAAATTAATAAGATGTATATAAATGCAGTAAAGGGTATACTGCTAGGAGCCATAACGGTAGTAACGACTACGGCAGAGAGATAGCTAGGCGTTGCGTGTCTATAGAGAGCTTCTTTAAAGGTGTATTTGCAATTACTTTACAGAGAACTAACATAAGGAAGGGGGATGCAGCGAGCTAGCTAGATATTAGAAACAGGCTTGTAAAGCCGCTGTAAAGGATTTCTCCTGCACTAAATGGTGTGTTATAAGAAAGAAGCAGGCTATAACAGCGCAGAGCTTCTACGTGGAAGTAGGCAAAGGCGTGCTTCAAGTTGTCTAAATCTCCTTTCACAACATGACCACTGTCACCCTTCAAGAGCTGCCACCGTGTGATTGTTTGTAATTTATGTGCGCTATGGCCTCATAACGAGGAGGGCTTTTGGTCGCCTTCTCTGTTGGGCTTTTTGAGAAGCTTTGCTAGCGAGGTCAGTCAAGGGAGACGCGTTTACGCAAGACTCCTAATCCAAGTCAACACGCTGGTTCAATTCAGATTGAGGAGTCAAACGATTCAATTATAGCCGCGAAATAGCGGCGGCTACATCTTACAAACAGCGTGGCCAGGCGCTGGTCTGCAGGTATGCGCGGTTAGCTGATGTTAGATGTCGCAGCTGCACTAAGGGTTGTGGCCACAACCCTGTAAAGGCGCTTAAAATTTTCAGATAACTGAGTCTCAGCCAATACATGAGAGAGCAGAAACTAGATCAAGCTAGCCATTCAGGTGTGCCCCATATTTTTCAAGTTCGGCTACGAGTATCATATAGCGAAGGATTCTCAGCAAGTAATAAGGCACAAGGCTGAGGCACAAGCTCTTGCAGATGGCAACCAGGGTAACATCACACGGACATTGCAATTGAGCGATTGAATGCTCCATGCAATCTATATCGCAACTCACGTTTCCTTCTATCGCCGTTGCACATCTTTCCTTACGTCTCATCATGTCTCTCCATCTCTTTTTCGCTATATTACACATCGCCAGCGCGGCCGGCTACTGTTACAGCCGCAACGGCACCACCCTTCTCAACCCGGCCTTTCAACCATGCAACAATGCAACAACACATTCTGCATGCTGTATGACGAACCACAGCGGCGCTGGAGACGTCGGCATCGCAGACGATGTGTGCCTGGAGAACGGTCTTTGTCAGAACTATGCGGTATATAATGGGGAAAATGAGGGCCAGCCAGTCTGGGCAAGACAGGGCTGTACAGACCCGTTGTGGAACAGTCCATACTGTCTTGGGGACGTGTGCAATAAGCCAGAGGTATATCGCCGTATGCTTCACATGAGGATGTCGCTAATGAGACGATACAGTACGCCGATCAATGGGGTAATGTGGGCGTGTGGAATTGTGGAGGGAAAAAATGGTGTTGTGGGGAGAAAACCTGTTGTGATGGAAATAATATCTTTGAACTCGCGGCAACTGTGGGTCCGACATCGACTATTCTCTCAGCGACGTCCTTTGCCTCAGCCTCAACATTGTCAACCTCAAAGCCTACGACATCCCCTTCCTCAGAGGGAAGCGGTCCATCGAGAGTCCTCAGTACAGGCGCAAAAGCCGGCATCGGGGCTGGTGTAGCAGCCTTTGTGATCGTGGCGGCCGCAGTCGCATTGCTACTATTCAGGTCGAGGAAGTCCAACGGACGAAAAGATAGCCCCTCAGACGGAAGCACGCTGCACACGGATGTACTACAGGAGCAAAAGCATCAGGGACATGTCTACGGATATGAGCTGTACTCAGAGCATGGCTTCGGGGAGTTGAGCGAACGTGAACGTGCGGAATTAGCGGCAGATAATGCGCCTCAGGAGTTAGAGGCTAGAAGTGGAAATGTACATTGAGTTGCTGAGGTAACTCCACGGTGAGAGCCAATGCGAGGCCAATTCGTCTGTATTGCGAGGCGGTAACTAACAACCACGTATTGTTCCAGCTACCTCTCGATCCCAACACCTACTATGTACATAAAGTGTAACTCGTTTTTTACAGTTCTCTAGTACTCACACCCGCAGCTTAAACACAATTACAGAAGCTTCTTCTAAAGTCTATAGAGTTGCCTCTGGCTTGATAGCGCTGATGACATCGCTACCCTTGACTTAATTAGAATGGTAGGAGCTTTGTTGAAAGCCGGTTCTTACACAGTTACTATAAACGCAGAGATTTAGCAGGACTTGTTTACAAAAAGCCACATGTGTAACACGCAATCGAACTACCTCGCTCCCTACGACTTCCAGCTGTCGAGTCCAGTTCCCTGAATCATTTGAGAATCCTGTTTCTAATTAGCCTTTACTCCAAACACAGGAAAGTATGATCTCAGGTCGAACTCACCATAACTTCCAGTGGCACGGCCACAGCCGTAGTGCCCTGTCTAACTATCTCCGCGTATTCTCCACACCAGAACTTCCCAGATTTGTTCTTCTCGATCTCATCGACGACTGCTCGGCAGTACTCCATAGTTTCCATCCTAGGCATACCATCACCTCCCTTTGCCCTGCTAATGATAGTATTTTCTACACCTCTATAAAGTGATCCTTCTGGCAGCCTGAGGTCGTCAAAATAGGTTTGACCAGACGATTTCACACCACCAGTTACTACCGTTAGAACTGTCACACCAAAGGGGGCAAGCTCCAGACGAAGAGTATCAGCCACGACCTCGATGGCGCGCTTCGATGAGGCATAGAGACCTTCCAAAGTCAGAACCCGATTTGTATGACGACAAGGAAGACGTACCCATCCACGGTGTATTAACGTAGCCAGAGATTGATGTGATAAAAGATACCTGTCCCTTGGCCTATATTGCAGGATAATTTAGTGCATACTTTACTAAAGGCATCAAGCTAGCTATTACCTTGATGAGCAACGGCGCAAATGCCTGGGTGACCGCGAGCGGGCCGAAGTAGTTTGATTCGAATAGATCGCGGACAACATCAAGTTCCACGTCCAAAACTGGCATGAAGTGATTCCTCCCAGCATTGTTGAATAGATGGTCGAGCTTACCACGCGTGGCCTTTGAGACTCTTTCTACAGCAGCCTTGATGTCGGCTGGCTTAGTGATGTCGAGCTCTACGGGGGTGACATTGTGTAGTCCTTCCAGCCATGTCATCTTGGCGGGGTTTCGAGCTGTAGCGAAAACATGATATCCACGCTCATGAAACACCTGGCCAAGTATACTGCCAATACCATTGTCGCTGCAGCCTGTGATGAGGATGTTTTTCAAGACCATTTTGGGCAGTAGTACTCGACTCAGAAATAAAGATTGTTTGAAGTCAGTTCAAAGTGAATGCGGGTGGAACTTCATATATTTATAGAACAAGTCTTTGTCAATCAAGGCAAGTTTCGATGGGGCAAATGACTGCGTTCACGGTAGATCTATCACCGAGCTAATATATTAGCGCTGACTGTTGTCTACTCCACGTAAGCAGCGGCCCACTCAACAGACAATCTCATTACATTTGATAGGGAGTAATATTGAATGATTCTGCGAAGGCGCAGGTAGTGTGCAGCAGGTTCAAATAGGCGGCTGACATGCATATATACAGGTAAGGATAACCAGGATTACAATAGTTGACACTTGCTTCCACCATGCCGTCTTCGTCACAAAAGTGAACTTCACGGCCCTCCGACATGAACTGGATTCTTGAACCGGGCCACCATCATCTTAGTACGGATATTCAGAAATATATAGTTCTTGCCCATATATCTAGACATCGCCAAGCTGATGAGATAACAACACATCAGTTATTATGTTCGTGACTAAGCTGCTACAAGGAAATAGTGATCAATACGACAGGTGTTTATAACTAATTACTAGCAGAGGTCATATTCGACTTGCCATTCTATAATGTCCTGTCTCTCAAGTACTTCGAATACTTCTCAATACACACATTAAACATTAACGTCACCTACACTCTTCCCACTTCCCAAGGCCTCCGCTTTATGCCTTATAGACACCCAATCTGTGGGAACAGGCTCACTGTCGATCTTTGTCTTATCAGAACCAGTATCCTCGGACCGGGCGTCATCGATATACGTCCCAGGAATAAAAGATGTGGTGGTATCACCGTGTTCGCCTTTGTGTCCGGAAGCGATTTCGTCATCCGATTGATTTTTCGACGCGTCGAGTATATGACCACTGCCCAAACCCTCCGACTCGGCTTCTTCTTGTATTCCATCGCTGATCAGCCGCTGCTTCGATGGTGGAGAGGCAGGATCAGAAGAATTGTTGCCGTGTTTATCCCAAGTCTCCATCGTACGGATCGGCGCAGTTGAGCTACGGGTCAACCCTTTGGCACCTTCAAACCTATCGATGCTCTTTCTTGCTCTAGCACTGTCCACACTGTTCTTGTTCTTTGCGAACTGCTCTTCCGCAGGTGCAACGGGCATTGTCATGGCCTCGTGCACCGTTCCTCCGTCATGTTGCTGAAAAGACTTGCTCTTCCTTGGTACATGCTGGCCTTCTTTCTTCTCGCCTCTACCCAAAAGAGACCCCATGACGCCCGTCCTGTTGTTGGTTTTGTCTTGCGCAATAGCTTCTTGCAGAGCCTTCCACCTCTCATTGATATTACGCTCCACATCCTCTTGCACTTCCACTTCGTCTGAGCCTTGTTTCTTCGCCTCTCGCATTCTCGCAACACGGCTTCCAGGCTCGAGGGCCTGCAATTCGACTTGTCCTTGTGCGATACGGGCCCGACGGATGAAAGATGTGGGTTGGTACTTTTTCATGTACTCAGCATCCAAACCCTTCATGGTGTATGCAAATGGCCCAAAGATAGCAGCGATATCTTTGAGGACGAATCCACCAATACCGAGACCTACGCCATTCAACGCACCGAGCATACCGCCTTGTTTCGCGCCGCGGATGGGTTGAGTGACAATTCCAGATACGCCGTCCATGACACCATAAAGAAGTTCATCGCGACCCGCGCGCATACCAGAATGAAACCCTGTGACTCGAGGAGGACGGCGGACAGTTTCATCGCCGTAGAGGCGGGGTGCGTTGTGGAAGCCTTGCGTAAGAGCAAGCGTAAGATTCATGGGGAGACGAGCTATGGCATGACCTGTTTTCCTGAAACCGAAAGCTGCTTCATGGGCCAGTTCCTCGCGGAGTTCTTCATCAGGTTCTGAAATTGTTGACAGTGTTGATTCCCCTCGTTCAGGTTTTGGTCGTTTGTTATCGCCCTTCTTGTCACTGGCGCTATCTTTTGTCTTGCTTTTTGAGGTGTTGTCTTTTGAGGTACTGGATGCGTCGTTGTGTGTACTGTGTGTCGCATTGGGTAAATCGGCGTTTGCCTTTGCTAAAGTGGCATCCTTGTGCTGTTGACGCTTCTGTATCCTGCGCTTCTTCTCCCAGATCCTCTCCCTCTTCTTGATGCTCTTGCCCATTTCCACAGGTACACCACCCACGCCTGTCACTGCATCTGTCAGCGTTCCAACTAGGCTACCCCATAAACCCGTGACAGGCTCTCCAGGGCCACCAAAGTCATTCCATTCGTAATGACGTATGAGCCGTAGTTCGCTCCACTTGAGCTTCTTCTTTTCTACAAGGATCTCGGCTGCCAGTGCAGAAAGCTTGACGTTAGTATTCTTGAGTTTCCAAGCGGCGGCGCGATTGTCGAGAAAATCACAGCGCATGCTTGCCTCACCGGTCAACGGTAACGATCTGTGGAAAGAGCGTACAGCATTCATAGCGCCGTCACCTTCAGCCTCGATGTTGTCTGCAATCTTCTTCACGTTCGTTTTGGCTTCCTCCGTGAGACACTGCTTGATACCTTTCGCCAAACACTCAGCGTCAAGTTTCTTGTATGGTATGCACTCATGAGCGCCTGCTTTGGCTTTGGAGACCATAGCTCCCCAAAATGGCTGGTCGCCGAAAAAAGGAACAATCATGGTCGGCTTGGCGCACTTAAGGCCAATGGCCGTTGTTCCAGCGCCTCCGTGATGTATCACAGCGCTGCAACGTGGGAACAGCCAGTCGTGTGGAATGTTATCCAGCATGAAGATGTTGTCAGGACAATCCGCATTCGACCCGAAGCCACCCCACCCTTTAGACACGAGCGCGCGCACACCAGCCAGTTCGACTGCCTCAAAGATGAGCTTGGTAAAGGCATCAGGATCGTCGACTACGATCGATCCAAACCCGATGTACACTGGGGGCTCGCCCTTGTCCAGAAAAGCGGTCAGGTCATCTGGTGGCGTAAAACTCGAGGCGAGGTCTAGGAAAGTAAAGCCAGAGATGTCAATTTCTGGCCCCCAATCCTTTGGCTTTGGAACAAGACCTGGCGACCACATGTACGTGTATGGCACTTTGAGTCGGTACAGCTGCCCAGGTGCCCATAGCGTGCTAACCTCCTCTAGGTGAAGATCTCTAGTCCGGAAGCGGTTGATAAGATCCCCCAGGCCTTGCCAGGTCATCATATCGACGAGTGGATAGGATATAAAGTTACTGTACGTAGGCTCGACATTACTGGACTTGATGTTTGCCAGCGGATGTGGGAACTGCACAGTGGGTGTATATGGAAATCTATCTCGCGTCAGTTGCCATTGGACTAGGGTAACTATCGGAGCGCTGCGTACGTAAACATCATGTGCAAGGGAATGCCTAATTTCTCCGCAATATGAGGTGGTGCGAAGCTCGGTGGATTGGCGATGATAGCGTCTGCTACAAACGGGGCCTTGTCTCCCACTAGGGGAAGGTCAGCGAGAGTTGAATAGTTGGAAGGCCAGCCAACTTACACATTTTTGCATTTGTGCTGTCCGTGTCATCGTCGGTGCAATTGATACACGCGCGCCACATGCCCTGGAACATTTCGTACATTTGCGCCCTGCGACGACCAATCTCGCCGTCTTTGATGGTGTCCATGTTGGGTATCAGGCCAGGATTCTTGACCATGAAGGCCATCAACTCGGCGGGATTGCCATTGATGCTGAAGAATTCCAGACCGGCATCCTTCTCGACGAAGTCCTTGAAGGCCGGGTGGGTGGCAATGCGGACGCGGTGCCCGTAGTCGTTCTGCAGAATCTTGCCGATGCGGATGAAGGGCTGTATGTCTCCTCGGGAGCCAATGATGATGATGACGACGTTGAGATGGATGCGTCGTGCGGGATCGTTTTCCATTTCGTCGTCCTCGGGCGCAATCTTGGCGGCTCCAGCGGCGTGCTCGTTGATCCTCCGGACAGTCTGGTCCTCGTCGCCCGCCGTGTGCTTCTTCAGGACGGCGCCCAGGGCCTTTGCAATGTAGCCATTGCCATCTTCCTCGAGGATGCTGAGCTTCAGACGGCCGTCTGCCTTGGAAACCCGTCCCTTGGTCTTGAAGTGCTCGTTGCCGGCTTTGAGGCGCGAGAAGGGGTTCGGGGGCCGTCGCGCGCGTCGTTCCTGCCGTGTTGTGGCCTCGTCGCGCGTTGTGCTCCGGGTGGGAAAGGGCGTGTCGTCATCCGAGGACGAGGACGAGGACGAGGACGAGTCGGAGTCTGATTCGGAAGCGGACGAGTAGGGGTCGAAGCTCATGGTCGACCGCTCCAGCTGGACCTGGTCCTTGGCGCGATGGTGCTGCTTCTGCTGGAGCCTCCCGAGCAGCGAGTGCTTGGTCGAGGGCTTTGGCCGCTCGGATGCCGACCGCCACTGGGCAGGGCGATGTGTTGTGGAGGCGCGCTGCGTAGGCGCGTGCGGGCTCGTGTCTTGGGCCATACTCGCGGTGGCGGCGCGCTGGGCTGGTGTTGAGTTGACGCTCTCGCCGGCGGGGAAGTGCTGCTCGCGGATGACGGCTCCTACCGGCGTGACCCGCTCCTGGCTGTGGTCGGCCATTGTCGCGTGCCAAGGCAGATGGCGGTGCCGTGTTTCGAGGGCGGCGCACTGTGTTGCTGGGTCGTGCTGGACCGGCGATCTCGCGACGATGGCAACGGCAATGACGGAGGGATGATGGCAAGAAACACCAGCGGACGAGCCAAGGGGATGGCCACGCGACCAGGCCTTCCAAGACGACGAAGCGGGCAAAGCCGTCGTGGCAGAGGGCGAGTGAGTCAATGTTGTGCTGTTTGCAGGCGACAATGGCGTCATACGCTGTGTGTCCAGGCACACTTTTAGCTTCCGCGCCGCTCCATCCTGGCAGACGCACATGCATGGATCGACTCTGTGCATGTCCTCCTCCAATGGCAGCGAGCCATGCCACGCACCGTCAGCTCTGGCTGCCACTATGCCTCCCCACACCCATCCGCACGAGGCCTGAGCCCTTCCCTGTTGGTGATCACCGTCGCCGTGTCTAGCTGCTGGGGCCATCCTGGATGCGACCAGTTCAGACGGCGATCCGGAGCATCCGACCTTTATGCACAGTGCACGACGAAATCAATGACATGCAGTAGACCTTCAAGCCTACTGAGAAGTCTGTTTCCAGAATAACCATCACATCCACTGGCCACTGCCACGCTATCGTCCCAATCCCATTCCATACCACACTGCCTTTGCAATGTCCTGCGCCCACCCTGCCCATCCCCTGCCAATCTGCACCAGGTTGAGCAACTTGACAATGTTCCTGTCAAACGCATCCACGTCCTCCCAGTCCTCTGCATATGGCTCAAACACAGCCGTCTCAATGCTGCCAGCCGTCTCGGGCGTCACAAGCTCCCACTCGCCCGTTTCATTCTGCCTGACATGCATCTTCGGCCCAATAACAAGGCTCCTTCCCAGTATCCTCGAGTCGGCAACGAACCGCGTCCCTGCCTCTACGACATCCTCCACCTGTCCCAGCCCACCACCCGCAAGAACAAGACGTGCTGGAAAGGTGACAATGGGCGTGTCGATAAAGTACGGGCAGAGCAAGTTTACCCGTACACCCTGCAAACTGCTTGTGGCTCTCAAGCTCCTAAACAGACCCAATACGGCATGTTTCGCAGCTGCGTACTGTGGCTGCAAGGCTATCGGGGCCAGGCTGGCCACAGAGCCCAGCAATAGCAGATGTCGGTCTCGCGGCGACGTGGAAGATGGCTTCGCGTCGATATTGCACGCTTTGGATCCAGGGTTCTTGGGTAGCCAAAAGTAGGCAAGGTGCGTCGTATAGAGGACGCCAGTCAGATTCACATCTACGATTTTGAAGTTCGGTGGCGGGGGCTCTGCGGCATCGAGCTTGTGGCCCTCTTGCATCACGTCTGGCCCTGCGATGCCTGCATTTGCAACGACACAGTCCAGTCCGCCATGTGGACTCAGTCGAACGGCTTCCTTGAAGAGGTTGACCTGTGATTGCCAGTTCGTGACGTCGCAGTGCACGAAATGTGCTTTGTTGTTCCCCGTCAGCTCGCGGTTGACCTCACGACACAGGGCGTCGCCCTTCTTAATGTCTATGTCGCCGATGATTACTGTCGCGCCATGTTTTGCCCAATGCTGTACAAAGCCGGCGCCGAAGCCACTGGCGCCGCCAGTGATGAGAATCACTTTTCCATTAACCCAGCTTGCGTCGTAAGGCGTCGTGACATCTATGGGAGGGGATTGACGAATGGTGGAAACCATGCTCTGGGGTTTATAAGCGGCCATCGAGCGGTTGGCGGTAGTTGATTGTTGATGTTTCTTGTCTGATCTCAAGACTGGACGGTTCGGTTGTGAAGTTGACGGCTTTTAGGTACTTCTACCAAAGGTGCGTGATGACGAGGTCTGATCTACAGAAGCTGAAGGAGCCGAGGCACGGTTGCCCTAGGGCCTAACTCTGCTGCAGAGATCGTCAGATACTACAGATCTAGCAGCACGGCTAATTATTGAACTAGAAACAATGATCAATGCATGCAGTAGTGGGGGACAACAAAAAGGCGACGTGGGGTCAAGACAGCAAGAGTGAGTGGGGCAGCTGGAGCTGGAGCTGCAGCTTGGGCTGGAGCTTTGTCGCTTGCGCTGTAACCTTTTCAACTTTTTCTTGTCACTGATATGGTAACTTCGTTTCCAATTACGCAAACAGCGTAACCAACAAATCTTGCCATCACGCGCATACAAATCGGACATCCCAACCATGGACACCGAGCCGCCCACCGCCTTCGATGTTGTACCTACGCACCTCGTAGCGACTCTCTTCTACAAAGCCCCCACACCCGATGTCGTCCCCGCCTCCCCTAACGAATTGAGCAATGGCACCGCTCCCACGGGAAAACTTGAAGAGCAACCTCTCGAGCCGAGTCACGTCAGCCAAAGCTGTCTGTCCGACTTCTTCGTTACGCTCACAAACATCATCTCTGGATTGCAGCAAGAGACAATACAGAGCCGGAAGCTGCAAAGCAGAAAGTTATGCAGAGTGGTCGAAACCACCTTTCCACTCCCAAGCACATCAACCCTCAATCTTGACACATTGCGACGACATGAGGCCGTAAGCCAGTTCGAGAAGAAGTGGAGTGTCGAATGTGTCTTCCAGGCAGACACCATATATCGGCGACACAAAAGACTTGCTGTCTTCGACATGGACTCGACGCTCATCCAGCAGGAGGTCATTGACGAAATTGCCTCGCTCATTGGCGTCGAAAAGGAGGTTTCTGCTATCACAGCCGCGGCCATGAATGGCGAACTCGATTTTGAAGCGAGCCTTCGTGCACGGTGCAGATTACTCAAGGGTGTTCCGAGCAGCGTCTTCGAGACACTGAAACCACGCATCACACTCAACCCAGGTGTAAACGATCTCATCGTAGCCCTGAAACGCCTGGGATTCAAGACTGCCGTTCTCTCTGGTGGCTTCACACCTCTTACAGGCTGGATGGGTGCCCGGCTTGGTTTAGACTACGCTTTCGCCAACCATCTTGTCGTATCCGCAGACGGGCAACACCTGACGGGTGAGCTGACCGGCGAAATTGTGCACGCAGAGAAAAAACGACAACATGTACTCGAGATCGCAAGCCAAGAGGAAATTCTTCTAGAACAAGTAATTTGCATCGGCGACGGTGCCAACGATCTGCCCATGATGGGCGTCGCGGGACTGGGCGTCGCCTTTCACGCGAAACCCAAGGTGCAACTGCAAGCACCGGCAAGGCTGAATAGCAAGAGCATGATGGACGTGCTCTATCTTTTTGGCGTGACAGAAGCGGAGCAGGAAATGTTGTTACGATAGCGTGACATGGCGCATCGGATGATCATGGGTGTGCGCACAAGATGTATTTGTCAGATACTCTCTCAGTGTCCCGTTTACCCAGTGTCGTGCTCTGCATTTCTAATATCTTCCGCTCGTCTTCAAGAATTGAAGAAAAAAACTTGATATACTTTCAGGCTCACAATCGAGTGTAAAAGTCAAAGAATGCTCCCTTGATTCTAGCACAAAAACGCAACAAACTTAGGAAATCAGATACTGCAAAGAGCTTCGATTGAGTGTATACCTATCAGATTCGAGGGACACAGCTTACACGCAGTTTTATGTGTAGCTTTCACGCAGTTGCGCGCTTCTGCTGCGCGCGGCTTGCCCCGTCTATTAAACTTAACCGAGAACCAGGACGTACGAGATCCTTGGCATAGCATGACGTGAGGCGAACAAATTCGTCTTCTTCTCCCCACACACTATATCAATCCATGTCATCAAACAACACAGAATTCTGAAAGACATGGCTTCAGTACCGATAGAGAGAACACTCAAGGTTTTGATAACTGGCGGAGCTCGAGGGATCGGCCGTGGATTATTCCGACATTTTCTGGTTACTGGACACGATGTCATGATACTCGATTCTAACTTGGAAGAGCTGGAACACGTCAAATCTCAAGCTCAGAAGTGGCCAGGCGCGCAGAAGGGCAATTTGCATGCGCTTCGATGTGACCTTAGCAAGCGGGACGAGATCAGATCCGCTGTGGATACGGTCACTAAGACGTTCGATGGCAAACTCGATGTTCTGATCAATAACGCGTTTCCGACCGCAATAGCCTTATCACACGATCGAGCAATGGAAGCAAAAGATGACGATATCGAGAAAGAGTGGGATCTGCAAATCGCCATCGGCCTCACAGCACCTTTTGTTCTTGGTCGTCTGTGCGTCCCACTTCTCACAGCTGGAAACTCGACAGCCGAATCTCCAGGCTGTATCATCAATATTTCCTCAACACGAGCCTATCAGTCCGAGTCCAACCACGAAGCCTACTCTGCCTCCAAGGCTGGCCTGCTTGGACTTACACAATCCATGTCCGTATCTTTGGGACATCGCCATCATATTCGGGTCAACGCCATTATCCCAGGATGGATCCACGTCGTGAATGAGAACAAAGCCGGGGATGAGCAAGACATTGCTTGGAAAGAAGGACTTAGCAAGGAAGACATGGAATGGCACCCTGCAGGCAGGGTTGGTAAGGCAAGTGACATTGCCAGGGCTGTGGATTATTTGGTTGGTAGCGAGTTTGTGACAGGCCAAGAGGTGGTAGTCGATGGGGGAGTCGGTAGAAAGATGGTGTACCCAGAGTAGGGCGCCTCTCGGTTAATCAAAATACCAGGAACTAAGGTGTAGCGTAATCACGCAACCGCTTGACAAATACAACTGTTTTGAGTGTAGAGATCTTATGCCTAGGTTTTTAACTGTATACGCCTTGTGTACACATTTCCAAATGTTACTAGTGTAGTTTTGCAGCTTGTAGGAGCCACAAAGAATGCAGTTTACTTCCCAGTTTTACAGTTGACCGAAAGGGCGCATCGGAGGCAGTCGAATGCTGGTCTCGGCCACAAAACTGTCGGATATTTGCTACGGCAGACAGACCTTGATCAACTAGGCATGCACGCATCTCCCAGTTCACGACAAGAGAAGATGTAAGGACTGAGACTGTGCCACATTGGGCTAGCAAGGATGCATACCGTTAGATTTTGAAGGAACGGAAGACATAATTTCGGCAACCTCGTTGCGGGAAACATTCCGCAAATGCCTGTCACCGCCTGACCTTCTTCACTCAACTCATTTTTGGTCTCTAGTTTGATGTGTTTCATGTCTTACTCGAAAGAGTATGCAATTTCCTGGCTGGATGGCGTACCGTGTGGCGATCATACAACCCTCGTTTTAAGGCGCCACACTACTTGCCATCTACCCGCGCGCAAGGTATCAAGCAACAATCCATTGTTCCACCAGCGCAGATGTAGCACCCAAACTTGCACAAATTTCTTGATGAACAAGGCTCGGATCAACAATATGGACCACACAGTACATGCGAGATGGCTGGGTAAAAGGAAGCGCAACGGATTTTCATCTCCGAGCATGTGTCATCAAAGCTTTGCATCCGTCAAATACAAGCGGAACTGGGGGAATCTGACATACACGCGGTAGACCAGCATCGCATGCACAGCGAAGAGTTGCTCAAAGCACTTTACGTCTCCGACATAGACAAGAATGATAGCAGAACGTTCGTAAGAAGTCCCCACGATTGCTCCAAAACAATCAACGCCTACGTCTCGATAGATTCGCGGATTCGTAGGTTTGAAGAGGTCATCGAAGAATGGCTCAAACCCCTGCATCCTGGGAGCGGTTGACCGTTTGGCCGTTTGGTCGTTTGATCGATTCACGTACTTGTGTCCACCAATCATGTTTTCGCCTGTGGTCGAAGACATCTCGTTTCGGGCTTGAGCACCGTCTCACTCATCTGTCCGCATATCGTTCGACATCCAACATGCAGGACAAGAGATTGCAGCGATCCAAGCATGCGGATACTAGTCCGAAATGATGTTGACAGCATTAGCGCGCTCCTGGTCATAATCTGGGTATAATAAGAACTTTTGCCCTTCGAAGTCACAAAAAGTAACACACCTGTGCTGGACACTCATTCATTCCCAATTTACACACTCATTTTTTGTTTTCAGTCACTCTTTTTTCAGTCATTCTTTACCAAAATGAAGACCGTCGCTATTCTCGCAGGCATCACTGCCATTGCGAATGCCCATGCTACTTTCCAGCAACTCTGGAAGAACGGAGAGGATCTCGAGAGCACCTGCGCGCGTCTGCCCTCTTCAAACAGCCCTATTGAGGACTACACGAGCACCGCTCTGCAATGTGAGCACTTTTGAAGAGACAGGCATTGCCAATACTGACATATACCAAGGTAACGTCAACCCGGCTGCTGCCAGCGGGAAATGCGCATTCGAGGCAGGAGACACTGTGACAGTCGAGATGCACCAGCACGATACCCGTAGCTGCACCGAGGAGGGTCTTGGAGGCGCCCATTGGGGTCCTGTTCTCGCTTATATGAGTAAGGTTGAGGATGCCGCCGCCGCCGACGGATCAAGCGAGTTCTTCAAAGTTTATCAAAACGGCTGGAAAAAGAACGCGGCGGCTTCCCAGGGCGACAACGACTATTGGGGAACCAAGGACCTCAACTACAACTGTAAGTAAAGTCGGTCACCGGATCTGGTCCGCATCTCTAACTCCTTTTTAGGCGGCAAGCTCGACTTTGTCATCCCCTCCGATCTCGCCCCAGGTGACTACCTTCTACGTGCTGAGGCTATCGCTCTTCACGCTGCTAGTACCAGTGGTGGTGCTCAGCACTACGTGACGTGCTACCAACTTACTGTGACCGGTAGTGGTTCGGCCACACCAGCTGGTGTCACCTTTCCCGAGGCTTATACCAAGACCGGCCCTGGGCTTGGGTTCTCCATCCACGCTGATTTGAGCAGCTACCCCATGCCTGGCCCTGATCTAATCTCTTCTGGAACTGAGGCTGTTCCTCAACTCCTTACCTTCGGCGAGATCACCGGTGTTCCTGCCGCTACCGGTGGCGCCTCCAAGTCTGCTGCTTCAACCTCTGCTACCAAAGCCGCCGTCTCTACTGCCGCGCCGGTCTCGTTTTCCGCTACGCCCATCGTATCTTCCACAGCCTCAGCAGCCTCTTCTGCCGCGCCTATCTCCTCCGTTGCGCCTGCACAGATCTCCAGCACAACCGCCGAAGCCGAAACGACCCCTGCTCCCGCTACGTCCGAGACCCCTTCGGCCACGTCCGCGGTTGAGTCGGAGGTTCTAACCAGTTCTTACGCTGCGGAGGTGTCTAGCGTCGTCTTTTCATCCGTTGTCAAGCCCAGCGCTATCTACACTTTCGCCAACAGCTCTCTTCCCGCGTCTACCCCGGCCTCAGCTCTTGTGACTGCACCAAGTACTCTCGTCACCTCCGCTAAGCCTGTTCAAACTTCAGTCGCCGCCACCGGCCCCATTAAGATCTACTACCAGTGCGGCGGACTCGACTTCAAGGGCGCCAACACCTGCGAGGAGGGTCTTGAGTGCAAGGAGTGGAACCCCTACTACTCGCAGTGCGTGAAGCCCGAAGCTACCCAAGCTGGTCCCTCCAAGGGCCCTATGCCATCCTCCGCAACTCTTAGCGCGACCGCAACCGCAACCGCTGCCGTCACACCTATCGTTTCAGCCGAACCTACCGTTGTTGCGCCAGTTGACGTTAAATCGAGTGCTACTGCTCAAGCTAGTGCTACCGCTACCGCGACCACTCCTTCCACGCCAGAGTCGTCTCAGGCACCTGCTGAGGATGAGGAGTACTCTCTGGAGTCCTTCATCGCGTGGCTTGAGGAGCAAGACCAGCCTACTTCTGCGTCCAGCACAAAGGCCCGCCGCCATGCCCGTGCTTTCCGTGTTTAGATCACGGTCGGGATGGCTGTTCGTCTTCTTCTATGTAGAGATACAAGTGGCCTTTTGCAGCCACTTGTAAGCATGTGTCTCCTCGAGGGAGACTTTCGATTCTTGTAGCGATCCACTTTGAATGATATTTTTTTGATGCACAAAGTGTCTGAATCTTGTCGTGACGTTCTTGGTACAATCTATTTTGCAAACATTCCCCTATATCAGCCTTCTACTTCTGTTTTGATATTCATTGACCGGATACTGTGAAATAACATGTGAATGCCTGAAACATCAAGGACAGCTTGAACACCGGCTAGATTTATCAGGACCTGCCATGTGTTTGATGTTCTTCGTACCATAACAAAGTTTTGTCAAACAATTCCTCCCACCTCACATCACGTACAGCTATGCTTTGCACTAGGTCAGGTACATCAGCTCGATGATTGGTTGATTGTGCAAATGCTCGACAAAGATTCCTTCCTCATCAGGTCTAGATCAGCCGGAACTCCCCACAAACTTGGTGGCACACCTCGTGACTACTTTATCTCGTCGAAACACGTTACATCTTATACACTTTGCGAACCTCACCGCTCATATTGCAGTCTATCATCTCATTTACATCGTATCGCGACGATGGTTTCTACGCGTCAGCATCCCCAGGGCAATTTCCCAGTGTCTGCGCCCTCGCCTGTGAAGAAAAGCTCTCGCACATCCACCGCATCGCCAGCACCCAGCTCACCAACCATTGGTTTGTCGTCGTCTTCAGAATCGCTTGCCAGACGCGCAGTCTCCAGCACGGCGACTGCGATTTCTGATACCGTAACTGTAGCCTCCAAAGCTGTCGATGTTGCTGCTCCTCCCTCGTCATCTGAGATCGACGAGTCTGCATGGTGCCACACTGCCTCCAACATCACTATCGTTTGGCTTACTGTTTCCATCCCGCTAGTCATTTGGGATTCGCTGTACATATTCCTGCGCCCCCACACCATGGCTGGCGGGAAGCTTCAATGGCCGATTTGGAAACCGTACGAAATATACGCAAAAATTGATCACGTGTATGGGTGGCCAGGGTGGGAAAGTGGTGATGGTTTTGGCGGCGCGCAGGCTGCACTCAATGCCATTGAGTGCATTTTGTATGGTCTGTACGTTATGATCATCTACAACCACAGTCTTCCCGCGGCCGCCGGAACTGGGTTTCAGGCGGGCAAGGGTATCGGCACGTGGCTTGCGGGTGGGAGGAAGGTGCGTGGTAAGACGGGTAACCGCGCGCTAATTATTGGATTTGCAGCTGCCGTCATGACCCTGAGCAAGACCGTGCTGTATTGTGAGTGCAAATTTTGCGAGGTTGATACGAAGGGATAAGCTGACATGGTTAGACTTCAACGAGTATTTCTCTGGCTTTCACAGTATCGGACACAATGACTGGCTGACCATATTTTTCTTTTACGTGATCATGAAGTATGTTACCCATCGGTCTGCCCATTTATCTCGACCGCAAATTGATAAGCTGTTGCTGACATGCAATCAGCGGACTATGGTTCTGGCTATCAGCGTACATGACCGTCGTCTTCGGTTCTGATATCCTTCGGGCTCTCGACATCGCATCCGAAAGAACCTCTAGAAAGGAAAATTAGCCTCAATATATTTCAACTGATCAACACAAGTATCAGTCGCTTATCTGAGAAGGCATTAGTACACACTTTAATCACATCCCACCTCGTCTAGCTAGCACTACTGGGAACCGAGCACATGTAGCAAAATGGCAGGGCGTGCTTCCACCAAGCTGGATGCTCTCACAGCTTCAGAATTGATTCCTCTTGTCGACACTAAGGCTTCGGCAGGCCGCGAAATATCTTGCTTAAGCTGGTCGTCCTTCTCATTGTACTCTTCCAAGACAAGTCAAGAGTCGTTGACAGTTGTAACGAAGTTCGCAAACCAGTATATTTGTTAAATGTGAGCAGTTGGCCAGTTCATGATGGTTCGTTGTGACGAGTTGAAGAGTAATAGGGTATGTGATGAGGTGCTAGAACTGGAGATAAGAGACATCTTTTGTAACTATGAAGAGTTACTACGCCCACAAACGCGTCGGGGGTACAACCAAGCAGTGGTAGAATACCTTACTTTTCCGTTTCATTATCACTTTTCGTAAACGTAGCTGTTAGGTCACTGTCTTTTTAAACTTTTCCATTCCATCTCTTCAGTAGCTTGTGAACATGTACACGTATCCATCTCGTCATCTGCGTTTCTCTTTACACAAGTGAATCCAGATTTACAAGTCATCAAGTCTCTGCCCATCCAACTCGTCACCTCACATGATACTACAGCCACCGCCACAACCCTTCCTACTCTTCTTTTTGTACAAGTCTTGACCCTCACCAACTCTCACCCTCCTCTCTTCGAGATCCTGCATATCCACTGCCCTCGCAAATGGGCCTTCATCCGTCTCCACCAATGCTTTCTTCCGCTCCATCTCATCCCTACCAAGCGTGAGAAACACAGTGCGCTTCGATGCCACAGAGACGTGGGTGATGTTACTTTGTCTCGAGACGCTCATGTGTTGCTCCAGACTGTTGATGGTGATTGGCTTACACGGCTGTGGGGCGTGATGGCGAGTCTCCATGTGCGTCTTGGACAACAAAGGCTTTGAGCGTGTCTTTCGAAGCGGTTCCGTCCGTTTCATCTCGTTCTGCGCAGTGGTGGAGATCTGAAGCGGTGCATATGCAAGTCGTTGCTGCTCGCGCGTCACAGGGGAGGGCGTATCAGGACATGAGAGCTCCTCAAGTGCCGAGGAATCCCGATGCGAAGGCAGATGAGAGGGTGTGCTGGACGGACGTTTGCGCGGAGAGCGCGAGCGTGACTTTTGCGGGGAAGTGCGGCCTAGTTTCACGCCGCCGCGTTGGAGACTGGGAGAGGTAGGGTATGTGGGAAAGTTGTCGTTCTCAGCATGTTCCACGTATATTGCAAAGAGCTCTTGATCGTTCCTCGCCGCAGAATCACCGTTCTCACTCATAGGTGGTGGCGGCGTATCACTCTCAGGCGCAGGAGTACCCTGATCTGCGAACCCGCGTTTGAGAGTTTCTTTCAAGCTATCCGGTGACGGTGTGACGGCGCGGACGGTCGAGCGCGTGCTATAAGAGGTTGGTGGGCGGACAGGAGATAACGATGCTACTGTGCGCGGGCGGAAGTGAGTCGACATGTTGGGCCGTCGTCTAAGTGACACTGTTTGGCGGGTAGAGGCAGAAGTCGATGCAGGTCTGAACCAAATATTTGGGCTTGAGAGTTACGTGATAAGGGCGCGATAAGAAAAGTCCGTGGGAAGCGAGGTGTCGAAAGTGAAAGTGAAGATAAGATCTCGCATGTACTTGTAAGTTATAACCCTCGTCATACGCCTATCTGTCAGGCTAGCTGTTGCTGGATATATCTGGTGATATATTCAAGATGCACGCTCGGGTTTCCAGACGTGAGATGAGTGGCAGATGCAATGTGTCACGAGAGTGCAGAATCATCATCGTGTGTACCCTTGAAAATGACCACTAGCCGTGCCCCGTCAAATCCAACGACACTCTGTGACAGCTAGTCAGTGACAGATACTAGATTTAAAAACAATGCCTCATTCATTTTGTATACCAATTATATGTTTGGTTGTCTGTCGAATGTGACAATACATGCACAAAATGGAAAATACACTACCACTCAACAGACACATTAGGAAGACATTGATGAAGAATACATACAGTATCCTTGCCAAGTTTCCAAGTACCCCCTATGGCTTCATAGAAGTCTCCTGTTCACATGACCATGCAACAGAAACAGCATCCTCGCCCGCCCTTTCCAGCAGTACCATCAAATGCCATGTCTGGGTATACACCCAAAATCTCTTCTTTGATATGCTCCACTTCCTGGCGCTTGTGTACGACATCCCTTCTGAGGTCATCTGTCGAACATTGTCCATGCAAGGTAGACCTCGCTTTTTCAGCATCCATGCGATCTCTCAAAGCGCGATTTTGGGCCGACTGGACATGTGCGCGGACTTCAGTACGGTTTTTTCGCTGTGACTGGAGGTCTTCGAGAGAACCCCATGGCGGTAATCTAGCTCCAGGCCGTACACTAGAGGAACACATAGAAAGTGGTGGTGTTGGGAGGTCAAAGTAATCATCAACGACGGGGCTACGAGCCTCCACATCATGTGAACGGTATAGAATAAGATGCGGAGGGGGCGGGGGCGGGCGGTCCGATGTTATAGGGGGTTGGTTAAATACGTATCCCAAATTTGCGTCTCTGGGCTGTGTGCAACCATATGCACGTGTCGTGTTTTGCGAATCTGCTGTACTATGTTGGTGGGTGAACAATTCCCTGGAAGAAGTACATGGTATTTGCTGTTCAATAGCCGTCGGGCGATGTGAAGCTGTGGGCGATTGTACGTGTCTGTGTGGCGGCGGGCTCACAGGTGTCGAGAATGACTTTGCATCGTCGAGGATTTCTGTCCGTTGCACAAACTTTGGCCGAACACTCTCGCACGATAGCGACGTATACCGAGATGGAATGATGTGACAGCTCTGTACGCTCGGCAGAAGACGTTCAGTGCTCGTACTGCCATGCTCTTTGTATTCTGTTGTTGACAGTTGCTGCTGCCATGTGTGTTCAACCTTATCACACGTAAGCCTATCCACATCAATCGCTCGGACTTTTTCGGTTTCTCCATCCGAGTTCTCGTCTGTTGGCAGCAGTGGCAGTGGATGAGGATTCATTCTTGGGTATGCCGTATGCTGCGAAATCGGTTGATTACGCACGGATTGTTGAGACAAAAGGATAAAGTCAAGCTTTAATTGTTGCATCTGTGGTCGAATCGACGTTCCGTCGTACATTAACTCTTGAGCAGAGACTACTAGATTGTTGCCGCGTGGAGTGACAGGTTGCACAGTGTGATATTGACTCCCGGTGATTGTATTTCCAGAAACAGGTGTACAATTGGCTAACCTGTTGTGGCTGTAGCTTTTCTTTTCCGTTTTGAGTTGCATGTGGATGTCATTGTGTTGCTCGAGATTTGACGCTGGGCCAAGGTCGGGTGCTATGTGCGGCGATTCTCGTGGAGACGACATAGAGTGTTCATGATAATCGAGGTCTTGGGAGTGATTCGGTATTGTACGTCGATGTGGTAGAATTCGTGACTCTAAACTCGTGATCCCAGTGGAAATATCAGGCATACAACTCGAGTGCTCTGACTGTCCCCCGAAGGCTTCGTGTTGAATGGATTTTGGAGTTGTCTCATGCCTGCTTTGTGCTCGTGAGAGCGGCTCAGAAACGCAATATGCCTGGTATAACTTTTGCCCTTGAGCAGCGTCTGACGGGAGTAAGACCTGCGAAAGTATGTCCATTGGAAAAGTGTGAGGCCTGGTATGATTGTTCTTCTCCCGTACGAAGAGAGAGGAAGACGGCGACAGTGATCGATATCCTGACCGAATTGACGACAGACGAACGACAATGGGGTTGTGATGTGAGCGGGCAGGTGGACGGTAAGAGCTATTTGATCCCAGCTACGGCGAGATATGGTACTCCTTGTGCCAGTGTTCTCGTTAGAACGAACCGAGAAACAAGCAAACAGTAGTTCGTTGTCGAGGGGACTGGCGTGGACTCAGTGAACGTTATCTCTTGGGCCGTGATTCCATTAGATTCACGACAGTAACTAGTCCGTGAAAGTGATAAAGCACATCCGTAATTTGTGGCACAATCAGTAGAATTACCCCTCCTGGCATGCGCTTTCACGCGCATCTTATGAGTGTCGGCAACTCCAAGATCACTCGTGCCGCCCCTCATCCCACAATTGCAAGGAACTTAAGACTATCATCACATTCGATTCCCCTCTCGTGTGCGCGAGCTCTACTGGTTCTCTGTTTGAGAGTAGTGTTGGGAAGAAGCCTTTTGGGCCAAACAAGCATCAGTAGAGAGCAGAGATGCAGGGAGCCGGATGGTTAGAAAGCGTAAAGAGGGAGGAGCATGCAAGGTCGAACCACCACTCTCTCTACCCTATATGATGCAATGGGGGGCGACGTAGATTTTTTCAAAAGAAGAGATTGGCATGGAAAGGAAGTGTTTGCTTATGACGGGTGAGGTGGTGTTAGTCCAGTGCCCACGCCTCGGAATATTACGACGGGTTTTATTTTTTCGTTCCAATGACTATTGATTCTGATGTCAGATCTGGACAGATTTGACTTTCACTCGTCCACTTTCCCGTTCGTTCCATCCAACGGTTGTCGTCTGAGTACACACTGATTGATGGTAGTTGGACGTGCCGTGTGATGTATCTCAATGACACGGGTGCAATCATGCTGTGTGCAGGATACAAAACGGACAGAACTTGCAGTAGTACTCGTGGATAGATGACAGAGGAACGAGATGAATGGCCCGGCAATATTTCGGACGTGCATTGGACGGATGTTCTAGACGTGAACTAGATCGTGTGGAGACGATGGTGGGGGAGAGGAAGGTTGGTCTCGCTAGTGGACCCTGACTCTGCACCCAGGCGCGTCGTCCGGTATGGATTACCCAAACGCGTCACAATCGCGACGCCGCAACCTTCTTTGGCCATTCACGTGTCGTTCTTCTTTGTGATCCTCTTCCTTGTCGAATTGTAAGGACGCAAGCATAACCAGTGTTATTACCCGCCGAGCTCTCAGCAGTAATTCTGCATAGTCGCGCGCATCTGCCCATCCCACCATCTAAACGCGTCTCGAGGTTCGGGACATCACCGCGAAGGCATGAGCACCGCAGCACCGCAGACAACCAACATGGTTTCGCCGCACAGCCCCTCCAAGGCGCCCTCGCGATACGTGCTGAGCGACATGACCCCAACCGTTGCCAATGCTCCATCTGAAAGCACTCGAACTCCCAGCCCATTGAAGCGAGTGACTTCTCACGTACCTTCGGTATTTGCAGAGAAGGAAAATCTCGCGACATCCGACGCGTGTCCCAAAGGAAGAAAGCGGAGCATTGATGAGGTGGACGACGTGGAGAGCACGCAGAGCGCAAAGACGCTCGCAAGAGGACGCGATGCCATTCTGGCTAATACCGGGATGCCGTTGACCGCGGCTGCCATGCAGCAACATACAGTGAGGCTCACTCGAAGCTTGACGCGTCTTCGCATCACTGACAGGCCAGGAAAACAACCCAATCGGCCTGCTAAATCCCGGATCACCCACAGAACGCGATCCCTCGCCCGAGCCCGAACCCATACAAGCCTCGCAAATGAGCAACAACTCATTTTCCAACTTATTCGACTATAGTGGCATAACCCTCAGCCAAAAGAGCGAAGATGAATCCGCCACCGAACCCCCGCCAACCTCAGCGCCCATTGTGGGCGGAAAGAAGTCGCGTGCCGAACTTCTACGCACGCGCCTCCAGCTCGGCATATACAAGGTCAAAACAAACCAAGTCAGCAAGCGCGGCGCCGACATCATCTCGATATGGGAATCGCATTCGTCAATTGTGTCAGACTCGATAGCCATGATCTCCTCTGCCGAATCGAACGACTTATATGACGTCCCAAATATCACCGTATCTTCACCACAACGCAACCAACAACCTCGTTTCGTTCAAGCAAATCTAGATCCTTTCCAGCCAATAGGGAAACTCGGTCTCCCACCTATTCACTTCGCAGTACCAAATATAGGGACGCACGTCTCGTCACGCATGATACACGATTATTCATCGCAACCGCAAGACGAGCTTCCCCAGTCCGTATCCCCTCAGCAACTCATGTCGCCAGTAAGGAAACGGATACCGAGCGAAGAAGAGACGGCGCACCAACGGCTACAGATGTTGAAGGGGCAGGCATATCGGGGTGAGCTGGCGAGTTCGGCGGTCAAAGGGGACGCTGCGACTGGCTTGCTTGAACTCAAGACGGGGAGAAGATGACAGGGAGAAGCGTGTAGGATACCCAATGCAATTTTTTTGATATCATCAGTACGGACTCTTCAGTACGGTAGTAAGAGAACCAAATTTGTAACATCACCGCGTTGTATGTGATGCCCCAGGAAATTGCAAGTCAATGTGGTAAATACTGGAAAACCAATTTGACTAACATAGCAGCATGCGTTTGAAAGCTTACAGCCCTGTCACAACATAAACAACAACGTTTTCAGCCTATTGAGTAGCTTTCCTGTACGCCTACCTTGCATTACCATGCTCCTTCTTGAGGTCAATGCTGAATCGTGTGATGAGGAACCCTCGTGAAACAATGATGGCGTCGGTTCTGTTAGGAATAGAAATCAGTCGTGACCTCCTCCGAAACCCTATACTCTCCTCGACCAAATGTCACCCACCATCGATCGAATGCGAGAGCCTCACACGAAAGACTGTCAACCCACCAGACCTCTCCACACAGACAACACATAGACATTATCTAGTCAACTCTTCCAAGCCACATCGAGTAAGCCGCACTCCCTGCAGCACCCACTTCTCACACGCGCCAGTCCCACGAAACTTGCTCAAACCGGGTGACACGCATGCCGCCAACCAACGATGGCATCATCGTCGCCCTTAGAACGTCTCACCAGAAGCTTATTTTGGGTCCGAGGAGTGCTAAGAGCGGCTATCAGTGCGGCAAGCATATTGTAAACAGCGGTCTGCGAGTTTGAGTCAAATATTCAAAGGGACGGTCAGTCGAGATAAAAGGCCCCGCGCCCCGCCCTGCCCTGCCCCTCCTTCCCAACGACCAACGATTCTCACCGCAAAGTATCCTCGCCACAACCACCTTTTACGACAGACCAAGTTTCTCTCGAAATCAATCAAGATGCCAGGCTGCGAGACCAAGGGTTGCACTTGCGCCGACTGCAGTTGCCCCAAGGGCGAATGCAAGTGCTGTTAGTTAACCGCTTTCCAGTTATCAGCACGAACAAGGCCGTTTATTAACGCTTAACAGAGATCACGCGTTCTTTTTTGCAAAATAGCGATGCATTCGTTCGTATCCAATGTTCACGACACAAGTCTCCGCGCGACGTCAGCAACGATAGCTTTCAATCAACCGCCAAGTGTACAGACCATCTAAGCAGCACATTCGTTTGTGGGGTCCAGGAATACATAAAATCAATCCTTGGATATCAAACATCATTGCTCTTGCTAAAGCCTCTGAATGTGCCGTCTCCATGCTGAGGAAAGACCAGAATGATGACCTGTGAATCAGACTAAGAAACACAACGCATGCCTTTACTACTTCAATCGTACCCACTCGGTCCTTGCGCTGCTATCAATGAGTATGCATGCAGCTCCTTACTCGCCAACGTGTATCGTATGTCTTATATGTCTAAATCACTCCCCTCTTCCCGACGTCCTCCAGATCTATTATCTCCTCTTCGACCTCAGTCTCCGGCACATGTTTTCCCTTTGCGTTCTTCCCGTTCTTGGAACCACCCTTGGAACCGCCCTTGGAACCGTTCTTCCCGCTCACACCACCTTTCTTCCCTTCCTTTGCGCTGCTTTCACCTTCGTCTTCGTCTCCGAAAAGAAAACCTTTGCCTTTCATACGCCTCTTCTCGTCTGATGAGAAAGTCGTATGTGCTGTCCCGGACGCGAAATTCGAAGATGCCGAGTCTTCGCCTAGCATCCACGAGAAATTGGATGATGTCAGTTGGGGCCGTGATCTTGGTGCGAGATTTGCTGTCATCTGTGGCTTGATCACAGGAGCGGGCGCAGGCGGAGGCGAAGGCACAGGCGTAAGGGGTGTGGAACTGGCCGTTGCTTGGGTATTCGCGGAATCAGAGGGAGTTATGGAAAAACTCGGTGCTGGAGGCGCGCTGGTTGTAGGCTCGGGCAACGGAGGTGGCTGCGGTTGAGGAGAGGCGAGTGTTGCAGCTGCTCTTGCCGTCGCTGCTTGTTCAGTCGACTCTTCGACAGGAAGTGGAATCGAGGAGTCCTCCAAGTAAACCTGCACAAACTGCACCTTTGCGATGGCGAGACTAAGTACCTCCATGGCCTCCTTTCCCCGGTCACCATCCTTCTTTGTCTTGAATTCTTCATTCCGCTCCCTGTGATGCTCCCAAAGCTCGCCCACAGCCGTCTCCAACATCTTCGCTAAGCTTCTATTCCTTCTCTCTAACTCGTCGATCTTTCTAATGGCATTTTCCGAATGTATTCGTAGAAATTCTGGTCGCATGCTGTCTGCGCTCGTGCCGTGCTGTGCGGGCTTTCGAAATTCCCTTCCTCCTGACCTTGGCGTCACCTGTCCGGAAGAAGCGCCTGACTGATAAGCCTCAACATTCTTCTTCACTTCACCGACAGCATCCCGGATGACTTTTCCAACGCCCCATTGAGACCCACGTTCTAGGACGTTCTTCGCGGCACCCTGGAGTAGGGCTTCAATCCCGGCTCCTTGCTGCCCCACAAAGCTCGCTGGGGATCTCACACTCTGTCTTGATCGACCTGACGTAGAGTTTGGCGAAGGCGAAGCAGAACCATGGGCTGTCGCTGCTTCAGACTCGACAAAAGGTGCTTGTTTTCCATATCGTGTGATGATCTCGGCGCCACCTTGTGGGGTGAGATGGTCGCGCAGATACAACGCATCCTTGATGAAAGAATAGGCAGGCGCTGTTGGCTCGGGATATCTCAACAAAAGTGAAAAGGCCTCGTTTGTATCAGCTACAATCAACTCCCAACGTATCCGCAGGAGCATGGCTATTGAGATCATATCAACAATTTCTAACGTGGAATCGATGGCGAACATTGCATCCCACATGTCGAAGACGGAATCCAGTGAGAATTCTCGTCCAAACAGAAGCCGTATCCAGCGTCTGAATCTAGTCAGCAAGAACCAACAGCAATGATTGAGAGCTTACAAAAGAAATATCTGAGGAACGATTTCGAGCTTCACCAGATGAGCTGAGAGCTCTGGATCAACTTTGGGTAGGTACTTGTCGAAGATTTTCGAGCTCCGAGCAAGCATGGGCGTGTCATTCGTTGTCGACCCTGTCTCCGCCGGAGCATAGAACAGCTTGGCTTTCTGCATGATCAGCGAAAACAAGGTGTGTGAGTCGTGCTCAATAAATTTTGAGTCCAGAATGTCTGCGAGCGTGTGATCGACGACACTGGTCTTTGCGCCTGCCATATCTATGGCATCTCTCTCCACTACCCAAAGCAATGGGGCCAGTATTTCATGCATGCCCTGTCTGTACCCGATTTTCGAGTGCATTTTGCACCACACGAACAATATGTCCAGCATCATATTTTGAGTTGCAGGCTGCCGGAAGTATACATTGTCTGGCATACAACGCTCAATGTCTTGGAAGATTTCCGCACGGAGGGTTTCATCGGCTCGGAGGGCTTCCCATGGGGACTTTCAAGGCTTAGCACTTGTCAACATGCCGCATACTCCGGGTGGGCCGCGTGAAGAGATGTATGTACCTCGTCGTTGTCAGTCAGTGGGTCTGCAGATGACTCGAACTCGTCTGGATTCTGTATGGCGCGGAGATAATGGGTGCGCAGAGACTCGTAGGTCCTGCGCGAGTCGGTAAGATGCGTCGGCCATGACGATCGGTCGAGGGTCTTGAAGACGAGGAAGATCTGGCAAGAGAATGAGTCTGAAGCTGCAGTGGCAGGAGCGCTCGACGCACTTTCCAACACACAGAGCGGAGCCCTGCGGTAATCAGCGGTTCCTTGTGCGCGGAGACATGTATCTTCAGATCGGTCAAAGAGTGAAAGTCGTCTAGTTGGCGCCAGTGCTTCCTGTTCCCGTCAGCGGTGTCTATGGCGAGGGGGAAGATGGAATGCGTACTCGGCCTCGGACACGGATCGCATAGCGGTGGGCAGCAGAGAAGAGCAGTCGTAGATGCAAGTAGCACCTTGATGGTGGCCTGGGAGCTCTCGTGTTGCTGTACGATGGTGCGAAGTGGGGTAACCATGTGACAATCATAGCTACATGTCAGCGTCGGAGGTCCACGGAGATTACCGTCTCCGACGACCGCCTTTCGGGTACCGAGGGCGCCGAATCTTGGATCAGATGCTCAGTTGATGCATGCGATGGCGTTGGGAATTCAGGCAGTCGTCGAACTAATCAAGCCTCACACATATAGTTACGCGTCAATGCTTCTCATGTACCTCCGCCAAAGCTGCGCCAAACTGCCCTTGTAGCTGCTGTGGTTGGTGCATCGTGTATCGCCATCTCCTTGTGGTTGATATTAGGGTTGAACAATAGAAGCAATAGTCAAGAAAACAAGCATCGCCGAACCCGTGCGTGAGCTAGCATCGAGAAGTATATAAAGAACGTAGATTACTTCTTCTGTACTTGAGCTGTGTACATTCACTTGTCATCTTTGTCTCCAGAAACTCAAGTCGTTTCTCATACTTATATTCATAACCTCACCAAACATGCCCTTGCGTGTCTTGATCAGTGGGGCGGGCATCGCTGGACCTGTGTTGGCATGGCATCTGTCGAAAATCGGCGCACGCGTCACCATCGTGGAGAAGACCCGCTCTCCTCTACCCCATGGACAGAACATCGATATCAGTGGCAGTGCAATCACAGTCGTCAAGAAGATGGAGCTCTTGGAAGAAGTTCGACGTTGTAACACGACAGAAAAAGGTACACAGCTCATCGACCCGCAAGGGCGCCCATTCGCATGCTTTCCCGTCAAAGAGGGGGCCATCGCCAGTGCCACATCCGAGTTCGAGATTCTGCGAGGAGATCTGGCGGCGATACTGTACGAAGCTTCAAAAGATCTTCCGGGGGTTGACTACAAATTTTGGACTACAGTCGACAAAGTCATCTCGAATGATGACGACTGTGTGAGGGTCAAATTGAGCAATGGAGAAGAGCAGGAATTTGATCTCGTGGTCGCAGCCGATGGCCAGTGGTCGAAAGTGAGGAAGCAATGTTTTACTCCAGAAGATGTCACCGTAGTCGATAAAGGCGCGTACGCCGCCTACTTCACCGTTCCGCGACTCCCTAGTGACAACGACTTGTGGAACATCTACATAGCTCTCAGGTCAAGGATCATCGGCATACGACCCGATCCCCACGGCACGTCTAGGGTGATATTCACTCTCATGCCATGCAACGACCGGCAAAAACAGGAGTGGCAGGAGGCGTCCAGGGGCGACAGAAAGACGCAAGAGGAGCTCATGAGGCGGGAGTTTGCGGACGCAGGATGGCAGGCGCACAGGTTTCTGGATGCCATGGGCCAAGCCCCAGACTTCTACTTCCAAGCTATCCAGCAGATCAAGATGTCCAAGTGGTCCAACTCCCGTGTTGTCTGCTTGGGAGACGCGGCATTTGCTCCGACACCGTTCACGGGGATGGGCACTTCTCTGGCCATCATTGGAGCCCACATTCTGGCAGGCGAACTGAGCAAGCTTGACGATGGCGAACATGTGTCCAAGGCGCTTGAGGCGTACGAAAATACACTGCGTCCATTTGTCGAAGAAATCCAGCAGATACCTGCATTCATACCAGGTATTTTGCATCCGGGGACAGCATGGAAGAGATGGCTGATACAGTCTTTGATATCGACAATGTCGAGAGTTGTGGCTCTTGCTACGGCGATCCCATGGGTGTCCCAAAGGTTCGCAGTGAGTGCCGAAGCGAACGACGACGGTTTCAAACTACCGCCATTCCCGCGCTTTGACTGAACAGCAATGATGACCTGCCTCTGAAATTAGTTCATCTTGGTCGCTAGGATTGATTAGTAATGTCATCATCTTTAGTCATGTATAAAGTTAGATCAATGATATGTTTCCCTCGATGTTTGTAAGAGTCAAGTGAGTCTGTGATGATCCTACAGTCGAGTGAATTGAGGCACTAAGGGTAAATAGCAGCTGCAAACCTAGACGGGCCATGCAGGTGTAGTTCTGATACGATAGTGATGGCAATCGTGGAAGTCAAGGCCAACAGGACGGGGCTCAGTCCTTCTGGCTCGGTACTGCATTTCTCTGGCCTTCGAGGACCAGTTTATTCACCAGGCCAGGAGCAAGTATCTCGCGCCGAAATCTCTCCTGCTGAAGAAGCTCTAGCGCTTGGAGCGTTGGACCAGGGTGGCTGCACAGAGATGATTAATAAGTAAATTTGTTCATTGAACAAGCTTCCCGTTCCGCGGATGTGACGTACTGGAGGCATTTTGCATATGTGGCCTCCTTGAAGTACTGGAGGTAGCTGAGGTAGGCGACGAAATCGGGCTTGTCAAACATCTTCTGCGTAGCGAGGTAATTGAGATAGGCGGGATTGGCGAGGCATTGCACAAACTGGGTGCACGTTAGTGCTTGCGTTGGGCGGGGGCACGGCGATGGCTGGGGGGAGATGCGAACCTCGAGTTCGAGCTCGAAGCGCGTGTAGCCACCAAAGCGCGGCAGGGCGGCGTTTTCGGGGGCTGGCGAGGCCGTGTCCATGTTGCACTGCTCTGGCTGTCCAGGCACGAGGTGATGGAAGAGGCGGTTGGAATAGCGAGATTCAGGGTCTTCCCCGCAATCACAGCCGTGAAGGGTGCGCTAAGGCAGCAGCGGACCTGGGCAGGGGCCGGGTGCGTTTGATGAACGCTTTGATGAGCTGTCAGGTGGCCCTGGGGAGGGTGCGCAGGAGAGATTGGACACGGTGTTCGCCGTGCTCACCGCGTTGGAGTGGGCGTGTGTTGGGTGAGGGCAGCGACAGGGCGGGCGCCAAGCGACGTGGAGAATGGGTGTGGTGCGCTGCGTCGCGGCGTGCAGGCGGCGGCGGGCAGCATCGCACTCATCGTCTTTTCTCCGCAAGGCGCAAGGGGCTGTATGCTGCGTGGCCCGTGCGCGCTGGCCGTGCTGGGCTGCTGGAGTGGTCGACTCTAATTGTCACGACCCGTGACTAGCTCGAATCAGGCGCAGTGCGACCACGACACGAGGTCCACGCCTTCAAAAGCCATCGCGCCGCTCCTTCGTCGACTGCCACCGGCTCGACAGGGACCGCCCGACAGGCCCTGCCCTATCCGCCCGTGCCTTGAAGTGTGCCCATATCCGCCGCGCTCCCCTTCTCCTCGTCGACGCTGCTGTCCTGCCTTGCCTTACCTTGCCTTGCATATTCCCTAGACGCTACATAGACTAACCGACTCAACCCCAAACACGGCCGTCTGCATCCCGCGCCGCCGCCAATCCTGCGGCGACCAGCAGGCCCACGGCCCATTTCCGCGAAACACGCACGCATCCTATCGCCAGTCTTAATCGCCGCCCCTTTGCCGTGCTGAGCAGGAATCGACGAGTGCCCAGCAGGAATCGACGGGCGCTGAGCAGGAATCGCCCGCCGTGCACGTCATCGGCCAGCAGCTGCACAGCCCGACCGCGCGCCGCGTGTGTGATTGGACCGAGCCAGCATGTTCGCAGAGCCGTCAGTGCCAGGTAGGGCCCCTTATCGCCTGTTTCACCGTTGGTGCAACGCCGGGTGTGACGAAAGCGCCCAACGTGGCAAGGAGACGTGGCTGATCGCAGTGCTTATCAACAGAACGCCGGCCGTCGCCTGGCCTCCGCCTCGACCTGCCCTCCAACAACCCCTTCCGCAACCGCGCGAGCTCGCCCGGCCTGCCCTCCCCCCACGACCAGCAGCGCTCCAGCTCTGCCAGCCGCCCCATGTCGCGCAACCCCTTCATCACCACCTTCGAGGCCGAGTTCAACAAGCAGGCTGCCCGCGGCGACCTGATTGACATTGACATGTCGGCCACGATGCGCGAGTCGCCCAAGCGCGCCACCTTTGGCACCGCCACCGAGGACCTTTTTGTACGTGTCTGCGCGTCTGCTGCCCCGCGCCACCCTCGTTGCTGACCATCCCGCCCGCAGAAGAACCTCACCCTCGACGACTCGGACCGCCAGCGCCCGCCCCAGCCGCGCCCCGCCCCCAACCGCAGCGGCACCGAGCCGCGTGGAGGCCACCGTCCCTCGCGCTCAGACGAGGAGGAGCGCGAGAGGCAGCGAGGCATGCCCAGTGGAATGGCCCGCCCACGCGGCGCCCCAGGCCCGCGTCCTCCACACCAGAGCAGCCCCGAGCGCCGCGAGAACCGCCGTCCGCGCCGCAACTCCGAGTCGTCCATTGTCGACAGGGGCAACTTGGACCGCGACGAGGAGCGCAGACGCAGGGAGCGCCGCAGGGAGCGCGACGACCGTGACAAGGAGCGCAAGTCGGGCCCTCGACGCGTCCGCAAGCCTCAGGGGCTCGATCTGATTGACAAGCTCGACGTGACGGGCATCTACGGCCCGAGCATGATCCACCACGACGGCCCTTACGATGCTGTCCAGCCCCACCGCAACCGCAGGAAGGACCAGCGCGCCCCCATGTCTGCCTTCCCCGTCGGGTCTGCCAACAACTCGCTCGGTGGCTCCGGTCCTCTGAACCAGAAGATCGATGTGGAGCAGTTCCACGGCAGGGGTGCAGAGGGCTTCTCTGATTTTGGGGGCACAGAGGGCGAGTGGAAGAAGCCGGCCCCCGTGGCTGAATTCAACGCCAAAGGCCGTGAAGATATCCTACATGGGACGCAGACCACCGGCTTGGGCACTTCCACGTTCCTCGAGGGTGCTCCGGCCTCGCGCACCGCCATTCAAGAGAACCAGAAAACCATGGCCGAGGGCGGCTTGGGCCGAAAGAAGTCGATTGCGCAGCGCTTCCGTGGAGCCTCGCAGTCACGCAAGTACGGCGACGGTCCTCGCATCACCTCTCCCGAAGCCCGATACGGCCCTGCCACCAGCCCGAATGGCGTCTACAGCGCCGGGCCGCTCTCGCAGACCAAAGCAACTGAGACGAACCCCTTCTTCAACGACGAGTACGACCAAGCGTACGACAAGAAGGGCGCGGCCATCAGGACTACCGACACGGAAGGCAGGACCGGGGTTTCACCTCCCGGTCGCAATGGCTTGCACCGAACCATGACTGCAGACAGTATTGGATCTCCAGGCGATGCTAAGGCTGGCGGAGGCTTCCTCAACCGGATGAAGAGTTTGAAGGGTGGTCGTAGGCGTCCTGCTTGAGCGAGTGCTATAGTCGATTGACTTGGCACAACGCGCGTTAGAAGACAATCAGCTCGGCTTGACGCATCCCAGGTCACAGTCTATTTCAGTTCGTCACATCGATGTGGGTGGACCTTGACATGATTCTCCCTTGACATCGTCACACCCTACCCTACATTCTCACTTCCAGGCGTTCAGTGGCGAATTGGATTTCGGAGCTTGGGAACCAAAGATCTGGATATTAATCCCCTTTACATTGGGCATCAAAATGGCATAGCAGGGTCCTCTCGGGTCACTTTTTTCTTTGGTGGACATTGAATGTGAAAACAATTGGGCGGTCACACACAGTCTTGTTCCACATTGCGATAATGGGGCTTTAATCGCCGGCGAAGCAGGTTCTGTAGTTCAATAAAAAGATCGAATGACATCTAGCTCGATGTGCACGTGCGAATGCATTCCGTGAATTCCGCGATGACAAAGTCTGGTAGCAACGTGACAGAGACAGCCGCCATGCATCCCCCCCCAAGCCAACAAGTGTGAACCTAACCCAAGCTCGGAGGCTTCACCCTCCCACGCCAACCGCATCCGTGAACCGGACCTATCCCACAGCGCGTCACTCTTCCCCCAAATCTGTCCGAGCGGGCAACTATTCCACGGCGCCAACCAACGCCACGATTCTGCGATCGCTCTATTCATCGCGTCCGCTCTAAAATAGCGGCGGAACGCGATCTGCATCGCTCGGATCCCTGGGTCCCGAACCGCCTCGCCATCGAATACGACATGACGTGCCGTGAATTCCAAATGGCCGCCCAGAGATTTGCCGAACCGGTGCTTGCTGCGGAGCTGATTGGCGAGGAAGAGCTGGATGACTTGTTGGAGCGTGTTTGTGGGACTGGTGCTGGTGTGAGCCGCAGCGATGTGTTGAGGGTGCTGGGCACGGGTGTGGAGAGTTTGGATGGTGTGTTGGGTGGGGGGTTGCTTGGTGGACGGGTTGTGGGGGTTCATTGCGAGGGGGGTGGGAGTGGGCAGGAGGTATGTTCTTTTTTTGGTTTCTTCTTCTATGGTGGTAGTATGAGGGGAGTCTTGAGTGGGATTGTGTTGACCATGTTGTGCAGCTTTGTCAGACACTCCTCGTCAATTCGCTGCTCACGTATCACGACTCGACGGCGGCTGTTGTCGATACGACGGGGAACTTTGATATCTTGAGGTTGTATACGATTATCCTGTCTCGTTTGCAACATGATGCAACGCTCATCGCTTCTTTGAATTTGCCGACTACTACTCCGGACAGTGCGCAGGAAGTTGAAGATGTAGCGGCTCAAGTCCTCGACCGTGTGAAGATTATGCGTGTCTTCGATTTCGTCGGCGTCGTAGAGGCAGTTGGCGAGGTTAGAGATGAGTGGGAAGGCAGATCGTCGAGGAATGACATGGTGGAGAAGGAGAAAGAGGATGTGGAGCCAAAGAAACCACCAAAGCGAACCATGGTTCCGGACAGTGAAGACGAGGAAGAGGACGAAGAGATGTTATTCGACGTCACTGCACCCACTACGTCAGTCCAAGAACCAGGACCTGAACCTGAACCCGAGCCGATCAACTCAAAAACCACTGAACAAGACCAAGACAGCAAGCCAGCCAGAACAAAGTTCATCCTCATCGACAACCTTCCCCACGTGCTCAACCCTCTACTGAAGAAGAACTTCGTCGAGGCAAACGCCCTGGCACACTCTTTCCTACATTCCCTCACGCGCCTCACGAAGACGCACACCCTTCACACACTCCTCATAATCCCGACAACGCTCCCGCGCGCGCCCTCGCCAGTTAGGCCACACCAGGAACAACGACCACAGCAACCGCCCCCTCCGCCGAGTATCTTCTCGAGCAACAATGCGGTGCTGGCGTTGGGGAATGTGCTGGGGCCGTATGTGGATTTGGGGGTATTAGTTACGCGGGTGCCGAGACGTAAGGGAGATGCTGGCGTATTTTATCGTGAAGGAGGGGCGAGAGGGAGAAAGTGTGAGATGGTGGATGTCATGGAGATTGTCAGTGATCGATGGGAGGCACGGGTTGGTGCGTGGGGAACATTCTGCAAAGGCGAGACAGGGATAAGGGCTTGTGTCTGAAGAGAAGAGTGAAATCGATGGTGTGGGGGATGATGTTGACGTTGGCTAGATTTTTATGTTTGATACCCCAATAACTTTTACTACTTCGACGGCTCGGAGAGCGTGAAAGTGTCGTCTCCTAAATTTTTCACCCAACCGCTCAAGCCTGTCCTTTGCGCTTCGTCTTTGACTTTTCTCCTTTCGTCCAGCATCTCACATCGCTTCAGGTCCCTATATCTCTCCTTGTCCAACATGTCGACTAGCATGGGAACACCCGCAATACCCGCAATCTGTACAGCGGTCTTCCACATACTTCTTCGACATATCGCACTTGCGCCTCTGGGATCCAACTGCTTTCTTCCCTGCAGCACGCCGCCGATAAGCGTCTCCTGCCAGGAAGGCGTCCACACGGCGCTGAGATTACTCGACATGGCTTTCTCATGTGGTGCGAGAGTGCGACGACTGAACCTGAATTCTCTTTCTGTGGAGTTTACCTCGAAAGGCTGGAAGCGGTAGCCACCTTTCCACGTTGCGTCTGTGAGGGCATGCATACGGCCTGCACGAGAAAACGCTCTTGAACATGCTGAAGGAACGAATTGGGAGGCTGGCAGGATGAGAGAGTGAAGGTAGGCGTTCCTGGGAGAGACGAGCGCAGAGGTGGTTGACGACAGTAGAGAAGTTGCTTGTTTGAGCGCGAGCTTGTCGGTGCAGGACTTGCTCAATGTTGGGGGCGCGTCAAGACGCGAGGGCTTGCATCGGACGGCGCCGAGGAGAGAGAAGTTGGAGCGTCCCCTGAGTGCGGTCGTGTTGTCTTCTGTCGAGGCGTCTCCAGAAGAGACGATGGGCGGCACACTGGTCCATGGTGTGGCGTCTTCTTGAGCGTCCATGGTCAGCTCCATGCTTGCGTCCCCGCAGGGTGCTTCTGAGCAGTACATGTGGACCTGCACATGCTCGCGGATGGTGAAGGGTTGCTGTTCAAAACCTGATTGTTCATCATTCGATAGGCGACGCAAGAAGTCTGAAGACGGATACGGTGGGGTGGATATCAGCAGACACTGATCCAGCAAGAAGCGGTTGAAAGCACGTACGGCGACGACCTCGGCATGCCAGTCGTGCAGAATGCTACCCTGTGCCAGATGCAGTTTGTTCGAGGGCAGACATTTCATGCCAGTCCTGGCAACGCTTCAGCACACGGCAGTTTACAAAATTCACGCAAGCAGACTATGCAAGAACAGGCTGGAGACGGTTCACGACTACGTACCCGAGCGAGACACACGTCAGCTTATCATCTTGGCTAGGTCATAAGCGTACGCCATGTGCATCTTCCGCATGCAAGTCAAGCTGTACCTCTAGATAGGACGATGCCGGCGAGGGGCACCCACTCCCTCGCGCCGTGTTGGCGGGATCGAGGTTTGCGTTTGTCGGGGAGCTGGTCGAATGTGGCGAGCACGCAGTCGGCAATGGCATCTGGGTTGGGGGCCATGGTGGTGGGGAGTCAGGTCAGTGCAGCGTGGACATGGGGGCGCATGGACGTTGCGGAGTTGCAGTGTTGAGGCTCGGAGGTGCATCTGACGTTCCATCACCACTTCCCTGTCACACGCTCCGCTCGAAACAGGCTGACAGCTTCACACACGCGCCGTTCCGCTTTTATCGCCGGCCTTCCCCTCCTTCCTCTTCCGCAATGCAAGCTTTCGGTGAGGAATGTCTACGCTCCGGCGCTCCGTTGCGTTTGCGACGCACTCGCTCACCATCCCAGTGCCCAAGAACCGCCGCGTAAGAGACATGTCGCATGCCTGTGCTGGCGAACTGCAGACTGACGCGCGTGCAGCCCAAGTTTGAACTCCACCTGAACGTGAGTCTGCCGCGCGCACCCGGCCCACGGCGCCAATTGCTGACGGCGGTGCAGATAGTCGACCTGAACAACGTCCCCCTCGTCTCGGGCCGCTCCTTTGTGAAATGGCACCTCTCGCACTCGGCGGCGGCCGACCATCGCGGACGCAGCGACAGCTGCCCCGTCAAGGACCACAAGGTCGTCTACAACCACGAGAAGAAGCTGCCCGTGCGCCTCACCATGGACAAGAGCGGCATGCTGCAGGAGAGCTTCATAGAGTTCGAGGTGGTGCAGGAGTATGGCGGTTCGGGCAGAGGCGACCGCATAGCCCTGGGACACGTCAAGCTCAACCTGGCCGAGTACGTCGAGCAGAGCGAGCTCTCTGCCGAGGGTGACGACGCGCCGGGCATCACGCGGCGCTATCTGATGCAGGACAGCAAGATCAACAGCACGCTGAAGCTGGGCATCTACATGAGGCAGATCGAGGGCGACAAGAACTTTATTGCGCCTGCGCTGAAGACGGCGCAGGTGTTTAGTGGCATCGCGGGCATCATGGCGGGCGAGCAGGCAGAGCTGGAGGACGCTGGAGGTATGCATGCACTGTTCACGGCTATACACTTTCACGGCCATGTACTGGCGCAAGCTGACAGAAGACAGTCGCGTCGTCGTTAAATAGCTCATCCCGCGAAGCTGGCGAACTCCAAGACATGTACCGCCGCACGCTCGCCGCCTACTGGTCTGCCCAACCCGGCGAGCTCAAAGCAGACGAGTGCATCGAGGACATCTTCGCAGGCGGCGACGGCTGGGGCGATCGCGAGAAGCCATACTCGCCGAAGCGCAGTGCGCGGTTTGCTGCAGATGACAGCAGCGGGAGCATGAGCGGGAGTGAGTCGCGCTATCTGCGCAGGGGCGGCAGCGTGCTTGGGAAGTCTCACGATACGCTACTGCCAGGGAAGAAGGCCCTCAGCTCGCCCAAGACACGCGGGGAAAGAGGGAGTCTGGAGCAGCAGGCGCATGAGATGAAGGCCGAGGCAGAGAGGCACCGGCATCGCCCACATCACGAGGTGCACGAGTTTGACATGCGGGAGGACTTGCGCAGCTGGAAACGCATCATCTGAGTGGGCCATGTAGAAATAGACGTGTTGACGAGATTGGCTGAGAATGACGCGCACGTGTGTTCGCGATGGATGGCAGAAATTCGTGATAGGGCTGGGTTAAGTTTAATCGATAAGGCTGCAGGAAAGTTCGTCGACACAGTCATTCATGTCCACGGCACGCCACGACGAATTGCCGCCCGCCTCGTCTCTATGCTCGCGCCCCGTGCCTCGAGCGCATTCGTATGCCTCCGATGTGAGCTCCAGCTGGCCCGCCCGCGCCTGCCTGCCCTCGCCCGCCGCCCGCTGCACCCAGCCTTTTCCGCTTCCACACGCCGCCACGATGGCCCCGACGAGCCCGCACCCCCAGCAGTGTCGTCGCCCCCAGACGTATCGTCAGCATCGTCGCCCACGCCGGCGCCACCAGCCCAACACACCGGCCCCACCATCATCAAAGTGCGGCGCCAGAGGAACAAGACGGTCAGCCAGTCGACTGCCAAGCTCGGCGGCCTCAAGCAGCTGGGCGACGACGCAGACATCCTCGTCATCCGCGAAGACACCGACCCCGAGCCGCCCGAGGTGAAGGCCGAGCAGGCCGAGCTGCTGGAGGTGCCCGACATCCTCGCCGCCCTGCAGCAGGAACGCAACGCCCTCGCCCCCGAGGACGTCTACAAGCAGCTCGAGAGCCTGCGCCCCCACACGCTCGCCGCCCCCACGGAGCCCCAGTACGTGTCGCAGACGACGTTTGTGAAGCTGGTGCGCATCCTGACCGAGGGCTTCACTGTCCTGCAGCTGTCGCACTTCTACTCGGTCGCCAAGAACGTGCAGGAGAAGAACGTCTACCAGGACCTGCTCGACGGCTTCAAGGCCCACAAGGACGAGACCAAGCAGTCGCCCGACCGCTCCGACTGGCACCCCGGCACCACGCCCCTCACCAGACGCCTCCCGGGCTCCGGCATAGGCCACAAGCCGAGGCGCAATGCCGTCAACAAGCCGCTGCTGGTCGATCGCATCCTGAGGGACGTGTGGAAGCTGGTCCTGCTCGAGGAGATTGAGGCCCCTGGCGAGCTCGAGCTGTCCCTGCGGCCGTGGCAGCTCGCCCTGCTCAACGCCGGAGGTAGGCATACTCCCCTCGCACCCTGCCGCCCTCTGCTAACCCTGCCCCAGACAAGAAGACCATACTCGACAACATCGGCCGTTCGAGACGAGCCAAACTCGAGGTCGACTGGCGGCACGCCGTCCTCCGCATCACAGCAGACAAGAACACGGCCGAGTACGCCGCCAACGATGTCGAAGCCGCTCTTGCGACTGTCGAGACGAAGAAGATGGACCTAAGGCTATGGGTCCCACGGCTGGTTGGTGGCAAGGCGGCGGATCTGGCTGCTGTGTGCTCTCAACAGGACTTTGACATGATTACTTCCGTCACTCGCGCCAATGTCCAGAGAGCCCACGACGGTGATCAGGTACGCCAACATGGTCGTTTTGGTCTGCCCCACGCTAACACACACAGCTGGTCATTCGTGGACTGGACAAAACCTCCGTCACAGAGGCCGAACAGATGCTCTTCGGTGTCCTGCCCTTCACGGCACCTGCCACTCGCACCATTGACTCCCTGAAGCTGGGTGGTGACAATAACCCGGGTTACCTACTACCCGTATTGGATGAGGGTAACTCCCTGCACCACAAATTCCGCAGTACAAAATTAGGCCGTTGGTCGTCACCCATTGCTCGTTCATCAAACTCTACACCCGAAGAAGATCAAATCCAGCACGTCAAATCGAACCAAGCAACGTCCAGACTCGTCGACCGAGCTATGTTAACTCTTATGCAAACAGCAGATGAAGCTACCAAAACCGCTCCAAAACCAAAAGAACCTGAGGAACCCGAAGAACCCGAAGAACCCGAAGAACTCGAAAAGCCTAAAGAGCCTAAAGAGCCCAAAGAACCCGAAGAGTTGGCGTCTTGGTCTTTGGAGCCCGAGTTCAAGTTGACAGCAGACTTTGGTCAAGTGCTCTTTCCTCTCAAGAGCACATCCCCTGACAAGGCAGTCAAGACGGCTCTCGCTCAGACGTCCCAGTCACCCTTTTGGCTTGCCATGCCCGGCCTAGCCAACATCCTCACTTCGGATAACCTTGGAACAACAGCGCGCACAGAAGCTCCCTCACTTCTATACGATTTCGTTCCCGCTCCCTCTTCTGAACAACCTACGGCCTTCGAGGCCCGCCAAACCTTCCCGAGTCTTCACATTCAAGTACGCACGTCACGCTTTGGAGGCAAAGCTGATGTTCATAAAATCAGTCTTGGGTTTAAGGAGCGCGTGCATGACGTGCTACTCCCAGACAAGGCAACAGATGTGAGATTCCATCGATATGGTCGCCTGCGATTCAACCAGAATGTCGACGACGAGAACATTGCCAAATGGACAGAAGCTGTTCGCGCAAATCTTGAGAGCGGGGGCCGTCTCACCGCGCCATCGCTCTGTGTCGAGGTCCCCAAATGGCTCCTATACGATGCTGACGTCAAAGGCACCTGCACTGTCAGATATCTCTGCTCGGGTATCCATTTCAGGCAAACAGTCACAGGCAGCTTTCTCAACGTCCCAGTCTCTTACAGCGCAGTGCAATCGGGAAAGGCGGGTGCCAAGGGCGGTTGTTTGACCGCGTACTACGGCAGCGAGTATAATGACAACTTGTTCACAAATCACATGGGGATGAAGGAGTGGTTGAAGACGTGCCTGACTATGGCAGATCATATTACCAAGGCAGGGAGCAAAACGATACCCGTGAGTAAGGTGCGGAACCCAAGAATGGAGGTTAGCGAGAGGAAATTGAGGAGGGCGAGGGCGCGGGACGAGGGTGTTGCCGCGGGCGAAGACGGAGATGAGTCTGCGGGTTTCGATGACGACAACGCCGCAGCTCAGGACTCAACCTCGGAGTTGCAAGAGCAGCATCAAACTCAGGATGACATGACCGGTGATCAGGTCACATCGGCCGAGCCAATTTTCGTCAATGAAGATGGTGTGATTCAGCACACCGCTGCCGAGGACATGGAAGACCCATTGATGGCTAGTATGCTCGCATTAAACTCCACCGAGCCGGCCGAAAGTGAAGACCAGAATGAGGGTCTGGAGGGGGAAGAAGGCGATCAGCCGATCAAGTCTTCAGCATGAACGCCTGCGTTTAGATCCACTTTTTGTATTTGGGATACTTGTTGTACATCACTACTGTGTTAAGTATATTGTAACATATTCTTCACGGCAACAGCGCCGTATCTCAAATCATGAACCTAATCAGCCAGGAAGAGCAATGTGACGCGCGTGAAGTATTATCTCAATATCAAATATAATCAAAGGGTATCTCAAATATCCAACACCAGCCAAAAGAAGATATGCGCCATCTATGCCAAACAGACCAAGCTTCAGCCTAGCAAACCCCTTCCTGTGTACGGACTGCCATTATGCCAACAAGAAACACAATCATCAGTACAACATCCACGCTCACAGGAAGCTCAGTTCGTCTGCGCTGTACTCCTCCTCATCGTCGTCATTGACGATCCATCCCTTTCGTCCGGACACGCTTTTCCTACCGCTTGCCCGTCTCCTCCGAGGCCGCGCAGGCGTTTTGCTCAACTCGTCGTGTTCATCATCGTCTTGTCCTCGGGTTGAGCGTGACCGCTTGCCTGACGATGAACAAGATCGTTTCAATCGAAGCTTGCTGTTCCGACGTCCCGAGGACTTCTGGCTATCTTCAGAATTCTCGCTCTCACTCTCATTCTCACCATCACTCTCACTGGATGTGTTTGGATCGACTTCTTCGTACGTCTTGTGCGTCAAGTTCCGCAGACCGCTCGCGAGGGATGTTCGCGAGCGTTGCGTCCGGAGTCGTGAAGTGAGCGCCTTGACTTCGTTTACACTGCGGCGAGATCGGCGTAGACCGCCCTCAGAAACCCTATCCTCCTCCTTTTCCTCAGGAAGCTCTGGGTAAAACTTCACTGGTGAGTCGGGAGGTGTTATGCATGTCCGTTTGACGATGACGACAATGGGTGAAGACGCACGTGTGCGCTTCCCAAGTGATGAGGTTGAGACGCGTGGGCGTGCTCTCTTGATCGGTGAAGACTGGGGAACTACATCGTCGTCTTCTTGCTCGAACGCTGTCGTCTCCCACATGGAACTCTCGTTGTGTTCTTCTCCCATATTTTCTTCATCTTCAGACTGTATTGGTGTGGGTAGCAACTCCAGAGCCCGTAGAGGTTGTCGTTGTAGACGCGTGATGTCCTGCTTCGCGAACGGGGTGCACGCTACCCATTCGCCGATGCCTTCTTCCCATCTAAACCCCCCGCCTGCTGATGGGGAACCGGTCTTCTGTGGCGTGGGTAGTATGACTAGACGGCCTTGCGAGTGCATTTTCTTCTCGATCTCGCGAGCATATGCCATGTGCTCAGCCTCTCCAGTGCTTTGAGCAAACTCCATTACAGATTCTAATGCAAGTCGCTTGAGCGTCCATGATTTGTGCGGCAGTCGACACCCGGAAAGCGTCATCAGTGCTTGAACGAGGCGTTGTAGTTGGCCGAAACCATCGTCTTTCCAGATTCGTCCAGTGCCGCGTGCTGTTGATGAGATAAGTGCAGGAAGAGTAGCGAGTAATGACGCGGAGCTAATCCCGTTGGATGAGTACTGTACAGTCAGTGTGTTGATACTAGTGACCAACGTAGGTGGATCTAAAGATATCATAGTACTATCCTGACGACATCCATCCAAGTGCACCAAGAACGATGCAAACGTTGTCCACAGAGCTCGTCGAGCAAAGACCTGAGAATCTTCTGTATCTGCGCCGAGGAGATGTAACTCGTCGCGAATGTCTCGCCGCTTCGTGAGGGCTATTGAGAGGGCGTCCAGCGTCCAAGTAACTCTTTCTGCGATGACCTTTCCTGTGCTATCGTCGCGGCTATTGTTGACCAGAGCTATGCTGCACAACACTGTGATAAGACTCGAAAAGGTCGTGTTCAACGCCTGTCGGAGCTCTTCCTTTGACGATGGTACAAAACGTCTGGCAATAGATCCGATCACCTCATCCTCGAGGAGTCTCGCATCAGGCAGTCCCATGCCAGCAAACATGGTCGTCTCTAGAAAACGAAAGCTTTGTGCAAGCGTCCGATAGTCGTTTTCGCTGATGGTTCTCACGAGTCGGTCCCAAAGCGGGCGCATACACTCGGTTGCCAGCCACTCTAGAGGAAGAAGCTCGTAAGCGATTAAATGGTCGAGGAGGTCATAAAGAAACCGGTAACGTCCAGTTCGTTCGACAAATCCCATCACGCTCGACATGTAAAGTGATCTCTGCCCATCGAACAAATCCGTTCTAGTGTTGATTGGGAGTGAGAAGACGTCCAGCAGGGGCAAGTATGCAACTAAGATTTGCTCAGCCTCGTCCCAGGCGGAGACATTCAAGCAGTGCGTGACAAGGATCGACAAGCTCTCCAGGCCCAAAACTTCGTCTGCAATAGCGTCGCAGATTAGCGAGGTGCCATGTGCTCGAACAACCTGCTTGAACAGATACCAACCCTGCCCTGAGCGCTGCTCGAAGTGACCTTCCAAGTGCTCGTAGACTTCTTTTGCGACATCTCGGTCCTCGGCTTCGTCCTCATTTTCTTCCTCTTCTTGGTCCAGCTTCGCGAAGTGCTCCTCGAGCTCGATGTAGGCTGGCAGCTTCCTGAGACAGGCTCCCATTAACGACCTTGTCCCCTTCCATCTCTTCTCACTCCCCGCCATAGTTGCTTGGAGCAAGTTCGCGTAGGCTTCCGACAAGCCCTGGACTAGTTTCTGCAGATCGGACGGCAACTGCTTTACGAGGTTTTGTATTCGGTCGACACTGGCTAGGAGGGGCCCGGAAGCCTTCCCATACTTTCTGAGTGGTGAATGCTGCAGCTGAGGACTGCTCTGAAACTGCCCTCCCATTCGCGCAATGAGAGGCGTGAAGGCGATCTCGCCTGGACGTGCGACACTGCTAGCACTCAAGCCGCCTTGCCGCACCGTCTTCCTGCCTCCACGCCCACCATATGTCTTCTTGCTGGCCGCTCCCGACTTTGGACCTGGTCTCCAGTCCGGATCTCTGGCCTTTTCAAAGCCTCGAGGCTTATGTGCCGGTCGCGTGAAGTTGGTCGTTTTGTTCGGCGAGCCTCTTGTGGCAAAAGCTGTAGAAGCACTCCGCGTCTCTCCGTTGCTTCTTGGTCGCGCAAGCTCTTTCCGTAACTTGGCGAGTTTTGATGAAAGTGGTCGAAGCAGACGGTTGCATCGCGAGGTCGTCCATGGCAGGCCATCGTCGGTGGCCATAATTATATGCGTAGCTATATTATCGAATACATGTGATAATTGATACGACGGTAAACTGGTCCAAAATATGCTATGTGCTAGGCACGAGGTCGAGGTCGAGGTTCACGTGCTCCCCTCGACTCGACCGGACGTTGTTTGTTTGTTGCCAAAACATAGCCAGTCGGCGCTAGTAGTTTAGTGTCGGCCTTTTCGAGTTAGTCTCTCGAATCGCAAAAATGATCGACTTCGGTCCATAATTGGCTTCTATTAATCGCACTGCGTCACTAGAGCCTCGACCTGTATAAGAGCAATCGAATATGACTACGATGGTTGGGGCTGAATCTGTACAAACGGGTTCGTTATATCTGATACCGGGATGACAGGCATGGAACACGTGGAAACTATCAAGTGCAAGGTTCCATTTTCAGTAAGCATTGAAGGGGTTCTGCGGTTAGAATGCCTCGTGCAGTCTATGGGTACCTGGCCGCTGTAGGGTTGAGGTCTTACGCCAATAACATGGCGGGGGACTCTCATTGCGCTCAAAGAAATCCGTACAGTGGCCTGAGAAGCACACACGAGATCTGTTCATACTTCGATCGTTCTGATGAGGATAGATTTGACAACTGTAATACGAAGGCATTTCCTTCCTCGACGTGACGCCGAGGAATTTGTCTGTTCAGTTTCGACACATTCAACGGCCACGGACTGGCGACGAGAGGAACTCGAAGGCGGTGTCGATTGGTAACCACGTCAGTCTTTATCACATGCAATCGCTCAGAGCCTGCATGCACATCTACTTTGACTACTTATGCTAAAAACCTATTTATTGCTAAAGAGAAAATCCGCAGGTTCGCGTAATTTGTCCACAAAAGAAGTTTCCGATATTGAAGTCAACTCACCAACCTCACCGCCTGTCACGACTTTTTCTAGCGTCTTTCCCAGTCCCAAATGTTTGGTGCTGGTGGATCGGGGATGCAGGTACGAGATACGGATAGATTGGAAATGACATGCACGCCTCACTGCTGGGCCCCCTTGGCGCATGCAAGCGAGATGGCAAGGTGCAGAAATATCACGTAAAGGAAGATTGACGCTGCAGAGTGAATTTCGAGTTCAACTAAACAGTCCCGTAAACAGACTTGAAGTGGCAGCGTTGAGTAGACGACGCTGAGAGAGCGCTAAATGCACCAATCTTGCAGAGGGTTTGCTCCGTATCGTCAACACTAGCAACCACTCCACTTGGGAGAAGCCTACATCAGCGCTTGCGCTCGTTAGTTGCAGACTTGGTCATCCTCGCAACAGTTGTGCGCGAGCGCTTATCCATCGTTAGATAGGACCCAGGTCTTCTAACCCAGCGAGTTTCGAGCTGTGGGGCCGCAATGGAGAAGTTGGCATTCGTCATTTGCATGAAACGTACTACAACCTGTCAGCAACTGTCAGATTATATCAACAGTTTTTGATGTGTTCCAGAACGTTCTCATGCTCGCTTTATCTTGCCTGCGCTGAAAGCTGTGTGCAGGAGATGTCGACTTGGGAGCAGTTGCTATAATGATACGGGATGCATGCTTGAACCAAGGGCGACAACAGGCCATGCATACGTTGTTTTCGGTGATACTTACAGTTAGAATGCATGCGAGCTGGTCAATGCCTTGTTCAACGAGAGCACAGAAGTGGTGTTGAGATTGGTGGCGTTGACATCTGACCGATTAGAGTTGACTGGTTGAAAGTCCTTTGGAGGAGGGAGCACTCGATGTCAAAGGTAAAGAGAACACGACAGCGGGGTGGTCACACCTCGGTCATGTAGCGAGTATCGCATAGCACGCCTGTACACTTACGCCGCCAGGTGTCACAAAGGTCTGGAGCCGCCTGTGTAGTACGCGTCGTCTCGTTCGGTGGCATCACAGCAGCTTGCTCTGAGAAGAGATAGGCTCGCGTGACGCCAGTTTGGAGCTTACGCGTGGCTACCCCAGCTTGTCGACGACATGTCTGACTTCGGCAGCTTCAGCTTCAGTTGTCCCGATTTTTCAGAGACAGGTGAACTTGGTTATCAATCAAAGTCTGCCTCGGGTAGCACGGCCACGACTAGGAATCGAGATTCTGGTAGGACAAGAGATTCCAAAGTGGAAATGACAGCAACAGCGGGGAAGAGTTCACTCCAACGCCTGAGACATGGATGTTTGGCCAGAACGGCGGACATCTCTTTTGGCAGAAATTGTTCCAGGGGAGAAGCAATTCATGGTGACCAGGCAGATCCTAGAACATGCGAAGATCCGGTGTGCATGCGGCACTGTGTTTGCTTCCACGACCGTGAAAGTCGTTATTCGTTCGGCAATAGTTGACACTCGATAACGAGTCGTTGCATTGAGGAAGGTGGTGGTCGAGGATGCGGAGCAGTTTCCAACCTGACAAGGCGCCGCGTGAACCGGGCCGGCATGGATAGCTGTACTCAGCAGGGAGGTGCTCCATATATTTCAGATTAATAGGTCGATGACGAAAAGGCTTTCTTGGCTCAGGGCTGTGAGGCAAGGTTCAGCTGGAGCATGCACAACGCAATCAAAACAGCAGCAGACACGCCGGAGATATTCGTCTTGCCTTGATTCAATGTCGTGAAGCAAGTTGTGTTATCCTCCAATGCTCATAGGGCAGCATGGTTGTTCTTGTCGATGACGCAGCCTTTTGTTGTGTGGTTGAATCACAGGATTCCTTTCGGAGCGATGAAACAACCATTGCCTAGTGTCTCGCTTGTGGCGTCGTACCTGCCGTCGTTTCAGCAGCCTGTGAGCCCACATCGAAGGCTGCGCTATCCAAGCCCTCCCGAATCCTGAGCGCTAAGTGAATCCTCCAATCGTCCCTGCTTATGCGCTGATCCCTCGTAGCAATCAAACTCGCCTCTCCCTCTTTACGCAACTAGTCCGCGCAAGCGCAGGCTGTCCTTCTCTTCTCTCATACACTCGTTACCTCAAGTCGTTCCTTTTCCTGTGGATCATCCTGTCGCGGTGCGTCAGCCTTCCTAGTTCACCTGTTGCATTCCCTGGTGGACACTCGTCAACAACCTTTGTGCTGTGGTCTGTTTGCCCTGTCTTCTAAATACCCACATCAGCCGTTGTGCGGTTCCCCGGACGTCAACTACGCTCAGCCATTGTGTTCCACACCTGGATTCAACGTTCCCCGATCTAAAGTCGGCCACGCCCAGCGAACGAGCGCCTCAATCACACCTTCAATTTCACAAGCCATTCTGCAGCTCTCGCCGTTTACATATCTGTCGCTTGCTGGCCAAGACGGATACCATTCCTTACAAAACCTAGCCCATCCTCGCTCCTTCCTACTGGTTATCCGGAAAACCTCGAGCAAAGGTTGCTAAATTCCAGTCTTTATTCAAGACGACCCCCCACGAACCGAAACTCTACTCTCAGTCGCAACTATGACGTTCACACAGGCTCTCGGGAGCTTCACCAAGCGTGCAGGAGGAAAAGAAGAAGACCCGACCGCTGGTCTTGAGAACATCGACGTCCAACACTACTTGGGCAACATCTGGTGGATCTTTGTCATCGTTTTCACGCTCTACCAAGTCGTCCTCTTCTTCGCTCGGTACATCCGTACTGTAGCATGCCTCAGCAACGATACTCAGAGGTATTTCTCGATTCCCAACACCTGGTATGCCCGTTTCAAGAAGTCTTGTCTTGACGCGCCTCTCTGGCGCACCCGCCATCACCAGGAGTTCAAGTTGTCCAAGGCCATTGGTATTGGAACACTTCCCAGTCGATTACAGTCATTCTTCCTCATAGGCTACTGCGGTGTCAACATCGGCTTCTGCGTCTGGAAGATCGATTACAGCAGCTACACAGCTGGCGCTTCGGAACTTCTTAGTCGTGCTGGCATCATGTCGGTCATCAACATGATTCCTCTGTTCATTCTCGCAGGCCGCAACAACCCCATCATTTGGCTCACTGGTATCTCTTTCGACACCATGAACTTGATCCATCGCTGGTTTGGACGAATTGTGATTCTCGAGGCCATTGCGCACACTGTTTGCTGGATCGCGATCAAGGTTCACACCAGTAAGTTTCGCTGCACACATGCTGACCAAGTCTGAAACTAACTCTTGAACAGAGGGCTGGGCTGTTGTACAGGCATCGATCACTGGTAGCGAATTCATTATGACTGGTTTCATTGTACGTATACTGGAACCTACTTGAATGACCAAATCTAATAGACAATACAGGGCACTGTTGCGTTCGTCTTCCTTCTGATTCAGTCTCCATCACCAGTCCGACACTCGTTCTACGAGGTTTTCCTGCACGGCCATATCGTTGGCGCTGCGCTGGCTCTCGGCGCCGTGTGGGTGCACCTCAAGGAACGCCCACAGCAGCTTATGCTGTACGGCGTCGTTGCAATCTGGGCAGCTGAGCGATTTCTTCGCCTCGCCCGTCTCATCTTGCGCAACGTTGGAAACGGCGGTACCAGCGCCGATATCGAGGTCCTCCCCGGCGATGCCATGCGTATCACGGTTCGCATGGCTCGCCCATGGGGTTTCAGACCAGGTCAACACGCGTACCTATACATGCCTTCTGTTGGACTCTGGACCAGTCATCCATTCTCTGCTGCTTGGAGCGAAGAGGAGGAGGACCTCCACACGATTTCCGCAATTGCAGACGAGAAGGGGCTTCCTATGAATCGCACCGATGTTCTCGAGAAGCAGAAGACCAGTGTGTCATTTGTTGTCCGCCGAATGACTGGTTTCACAGACAAGCTCTTCCAGAAAGCGAATGCGGCTGGCGGCAACCTGTCAACCCGTGTCTTCCTTGAGGGTCCTTATGGTGGCGAGGATCTCAGTTCATATGGTACCGTCATGCTTTGGGCTGCAGGTATCGGTATCACTCACCAGGTTCCTCACGTACGTGACCTGGTTGCTGGTTACGCCAATGGCACCGTTGCCACCCGCCGCCTCACACTTGTTTGGATCATCCAGACTCCTGAGCACCTAGAGTGGATTCGACCATGGATGACTCAGATCCTTTCTATGCCCCGTCGTCGCGAGATCCTAAAGATCCTACTCTTTGTCACCCGTCCACGGAACACAAGGGAAATCCACTCGCCATCTTCCAGCGTTCAAATGTTCCCCGGTAGACCGAACATTCAAAACCTCGTCGATCAGGAGATGCAGGAGGGTATCGGTGCTGCTTGTGTCAGCACTTGTGGCACTGGTGGTCTGGCTGATGACCTTCGCCGCGCCGTTCGCAACCGTGAGTTGACCTGGAATGTCGATTTCCGCGAGGAGTCTTTCTCGTGGTAGATATCCTATCTTCACGCTTGTTCAGTTTACGTCCTCGGTGTATCCTCACATTATGATCCTATGGGATATCCCATTGGTCGCGTCTGTCTTTGCTATGTTTTGTGGATAGTACAGAATATTTAAGGTTTTTCTCGATTCTTGACTTGTGATCATTTTTCTTTCATGTAACTATATTTTGTCTTTCAATGTCAGAGCTTTGACACTGTTTCTTTTTCTCAATCACTCCTTTTATCTTGAATTACGACTACGGCACGGAAGCACGCGGGTGGTTAAGAACGCTTAGATAGAAGTGCTCCATCTATAACATTTGGATGGCACCATGATGCAATTCTTCCTTTGGTAATGAACCAAGTGACGTGCCAACTCACCGTTTGCGATCACTCAACGTCTCATGCGAAATCCTTCGATCCCGATAGTCAGAAAATGAAACTAGAGTTCCCACCATATGTTCGAGAGCATGTTGCTCATCAAGATAATAAGATGCCAGCACAAAGTCAATGCAAGCAACGACATTTACAACACGCCGACTCGGCGTTATCGACGACGTACCTGCATGATGGACGGTCGGCACCAGTCACAACATGCCTGCAGTCAGTTCTTGAAATATCCCGGCCTCGCAGAAGCGACGAGAACAGCAAATCGAGATCTTGTAGAAAGAATCCAAGCGACCGCGCGTCATGATCTCGCTTACCAGTTTGATTCCGAGGACGTTTCACAGGTCTTGAGACGACGTAGGCTGAAGGGTTTGGGTTCGTTCACCGATCAAGCGCTTTCCGAACTGATATGCGTCCTGGGAGCAATTGGCAAGCCGTGTCGAATGAACCTGTACGGTAGAGATGGATGGAGCGGATAGCAATAGGGCGCTTGACAGTACGCAATTCTATACCACTAGCCAGTTGTTCTTCCCGGTCTTCGATAGACAAAACGGTTTGCCAATACCAATGTATCATAACACAACAGACATGGTACAGCTGTCTGATATCTTGCTGCATCCACATGAATGATTGTAGCGGATGTCGTGTTTGTCTCGAGGTTATACATTTGTACTCCCAGGAGATGTCTGCTCGGACAGTACGAGGGGAGCCGATTTCGTATTGACTTTACATGCATTGGCGTGTGGATTCGAGACAATGGATCAGAACTTAAAGCCCAGTCTGCATTGCTGAGCCAGTAGTGATTCAGTTTCTCGAGGTTTTAGGTTTGTCTACATTGAGCCTCCAAGATAAGCTCACATCGTCAGATAGGTTGTGATGGTCATCACGCCCCCTGTCAGCCTGTGGCCTCAGGACTCTCACTTGTCGCAGCATCTTCCATCGCATAGCGATCTTGTATGCCCTTCCAACCCCTTAGTACCACATCAGCTGAAACCCCTCTCCTGCCCAGTCTTTTCACGGCCTCTTCAACCGACACAAGCTCGGACTTGTACGTCTGTTCTTCTGCGTCGACACCTGTGCCCTCATGATGCAGAGGCTCATACCCCTCAGGTTCCATCGCGACTCTGTCACGGAGACTTAAATTCCGAGGGTACGGCGGAGGAGGCTTGTACGCCGCGCCGGCTTCGGTCTCCAGATCTTTTTCAAGACCCGGAGGAAGTGTTTCGGCAATATACCAGTATAGAACATATTGTATCGATCCCATCGGCATGAGCTGCATCCATACTGGCTCTGCGGTAAGCATGGGTGTGGAGACGCGTGGGTGTGCTTCCGGTTGACGGTGCTTCGTAGGTAGAGGAAGAAGGCGGTTACGATAGCCTGACTGGGGGTATAGTTAGCAACTGCATATCACTCCCGTGAGCAAGATGATTTGTACTTCTTCATAGCCTTCTCTCTCTGCCCCCCTGCCGCTCTCTTCACCCGAATCCCGTCTACCCTTGGGTAGAAAGTAGTACGTCGTTCCACGACGATCTTCTGCGCTGCATATCACAACTCTGCCCGTCGCAATATGAAATATCGCAACACCAGCTCCGACTACGAGGTCGTTGCCGGAAAATTGGGCGATGATGGGTGGGAATGAGGAGCGTGGTGTGTTCGTGTTGGTAGACATAGTTGGGTTTGATGCATTTCTATACGTTGAGACTACGGTTGAGCAATTGTAAAGCGACAAAGTGTATTTCAAGTAGTGTCAGTAGCTGATGTAATTAGGCTGCTGTCGCCCTAGATGGGCTCCATTCTGCAGGAGTCACAGATGTGGTTGGTGCCTGGGATATAGCTGTTCAGACTCTGGAGGTGGGGAATATTGTGGTGGTTGCCTTTTCATACTGCTAACAGCCCCTCCAGCTTAGCGGATGTTAGATGACGTCGTCAGAGCATCTCACAATAATATCATGTATATTTACTGCACATTTCAAAAAGTTGCCATCAAATGTGAATTGGCCTGCTGGCCCAATGGCAAGGCGCTTGACTACGATTCATTCGAAATCAAGAGATTGCAGGTTCGATCGTAAGTTAACCCATATTCGAGTCACGCTCGGTACACATTCTAACAACTCCCAGCCTGCGTAGGTCACAAACTTCCTTTTTTGCGATCTGCTTGTTACTCGCAAGTTTATTTTTGCTTCTTTGGTTTTTCGGCTTTTTGCCATCGTCATCACTATTTCGAGAAGCAGAAGTCGTGGTGTATTGGTATTAGGCGAGGATTAAAAGCTGCGCAGAGAGATCTTTCGTACGAAGTAACTGTGTCTTCCAGACCTGCAAGTGTGGGGATCATCATCTGAAGGCGATGTATGGTAGGGCAGCTGGAAACGGGGATGGAACTTGTGTGAGCTTTTGCACTAGTATTGTGTGGAGGAACTTTGTATCGAGAAGTTGAGATTGATGTATAGTTTCAATCAATGTTCATATCATTGGTGTTACGTTATTCAGAGCCTGGTCGTCTGCTGTTCTTCTCATTCGAGTCACAGCGACTCCTACCATTATTGAGCGTCTTAGTTAATGTATTAGATACATCCGAATTCTCCCAGTAACCACCAACTCTCACTACCGACTCCAGATTCTGTGTACCCGGATGGTGTTCTTCCTTCTGCCTCGAGTTTGCAGAGCTTGGTGGCTATCATCTGTATCTGTCTTTTCCGGAACATCTTCAATTTTGAACAGCATGTTCACGTCAGGCATCCAGTCGGGTGGAGTGTTGTCCCGGAATATCGTCACTTCAGTGATGTGTTTGATGCCCAGCTCGGCTTTGTATTGCGCAAGGAGAAAGGCGATAGTGGCGCCCATTGGTGATCCTACGGTGCAGTTAGTACTGGGTCTCAGGGTTGACATGTCATAGTAGGTAACGCTTACCCAGAAATACCTTGCCTTCCTCGTCGTCTAGACTGACTGTCACGCCGGGCCAGTAGGGGACCACGGCATATTCGGCCTGTCTCAGCATCCGGGCTATTAGGGGTACTGTCTGGTCGTTCAAAACCGTGGTGACGAAGTAGTACTTGAGCTTCTTGGGATCAGGGTTGTCGCGCGAATACAACATCCACATAATGTCCGAGGCACGACTTAGTTTCGGTAGCTCGACTTCCGGGGGATCATCCTCTTCCCAATTCTCGATGGCTGCCATCTTCGGGCTGAGCAGATATTGGGCAAGTAAAGCTACAGTCTTGAGTTAGTTTGAAATATCGTGTCTCCCGTGTTGTAGGACTTCGTATAAATACCTCCTCCAGGTTGGTTGACAGCAAACCGATAGTAAGCACCTGTACCCTTCCACATGGTTAGCGCCGTGAGTCGATATCATCCATCGATGGTTTCAGCTTACAGTATAGCCTTGAGTGTCTACATAGTAAATTTGCTCCTCAGGCGGAATGTCATCATCCTCCTCGTCTTTTGCGTCCTCATCTCCGTGTTCGATAGAGTAGCATACATTGTCTCCACCTTCTGTAGTGGACAAGAGGCTGAGCCCGAGATCCTGGAGTGCTGTTCCAATCTTATTGTTGTTTTCGATTCCGGGTTCTCCTTCTTCCGAAGCGTCTCTGAAATCGCAGTTGAACTCTTGCTCATACGCGGACTCGAACCAGTACCATTTCTTCAGCTCCGCTGCACCTCTAAATCAATACTACACTTGAGAAACTGAAAATGCGATGTATCACTAACCTCTGTGAAACTCTGTAGTACCGGCGAAGATACTGCGTGCTGATCTTGGTGTTCTCTCGTAAGGATCTGGCCACAATTCTCCTGCTTCCTCGTCTGACTTGTCTAGTAGACAGGCAAGCCAGCTGCCCTTTGCCTTGTATTTGTTCCATTCTGCGTCAGTTGCAATCTTGCTTGGATCCCAGCCGTTTGCCGCACTCTGGACTATGTCTGGATCCAAGACGGCAGGACCGTCGCCAATCACGCTGGAGCTCTCGCCGTTCTTGTCAAATCCCTCGACTGAAAACAACGACGCATTGGCGAATGAGGTATTGAGACCGGGACAGCATGTCGTGCCGTTGGTCGCTCTAGCGTGAGCAACAGTAACAAGGCATACGATGGCAAGGAAAGCAGTTGTGAGTCTCATGTTGTGTCGTTGTGAGGTTTATGACGAGTGTCAATTGAGTGTAATTCCATGGAGGATCCAGATGATGCAGAGGAGTGAGAGCGATTACCTGTCGCAATAGGGAGCTAGTGACAATGAAGGTGAAGGTGAGTAGACTCAAAATAGACACAGTGGGAGAGACAAAGCCTTGTGGGTGATGCGAACGGAAAGCTCGCTTGGAGTTGTCTGAGGATAGTCTCTGGACAAGGGTTTGAGGACAAACTGAGCAAGTATCCATTTACATATCTGCTTTCAGTTGCTGTGTATCGTTGCTATACATCAATCGTGACTGAGTCTGTAATGGCTAGTCGGTACAACAACAGGCTCAATTCTGGTAGAAACTTGACATGAACAGCCGATGCATAAACAAGACCAGCAAATGCTCTTCTAAATAAGATCCCATTCCGGTAAAGTGCCAGCTTTGGCAGGCTCCACAGTTAACATGTTATATGTCCCAGACATCCATCAGCCTCAATGACAACCTCACTTTCACGAACCGAAGAAAGTAGTTTGACTACTTGTGCAACTCCGAAACTAACCATATTGCACATAAAGGTATGGTATAAAACGGCCTGATTGAAATATCTCCCAAGTTATGAGCTTACACAGATTATGCGTCACGTGACGAAGCTGACAGTCGTCCCAGTAAACAGTTGGTTGAGGTTCGAGTGAAGTCGATACGAGTTCAGTCAACCCATGTCCTCCTCAAGGGTAAGTTCGATCATGCTATTTGACCTATGTTTTTCTGGTTTGATGGGCCATCGAACAGCTGCCATGCTTACAAGACCTGCGCTCATTACCAAAGAAGTGATGTGAGGCTTCGGTATCTCCTCAACTACATCGTTCTCATCCCTCAAGAGCTCCGACCGCTTGCCACTACGAGAGTAAAAGATACGAGATGTCAAGAAGGGAACGTAGGTATTGAGGCGAAAGAACCGAGGGCTTTGTAGCTCGCCTTTGGAGGTGGTGGTAACCGAACGTTGCCTCTGAACCTTTGCTGCTCCGGAAAGAGCCGGTTGAGGCTGCTCTCGAGCCTTCTTCTGTGTGGTAACGGACTTTTTTACATGGACTTGATCCAGTTTCGCATTCGAAGGCATGACTGGAGTTTTCTTGGTGGGTATGAAAGGGACTAGAGGTGTAGTGTCCAAATCCATAAAGCATGGCTGCATGCTTTCATTGAATTCGACTGGCTCAAACGAAGCGCCCTTGTTCCTCATGAAGTTCTGCTCAATGACTGAGCTGCCATGCAGTAGCGCAGGCTGAGACGCGCCATGAAAGTTGTGGAGATGCTGAAGAAAAGTCTCCTCGGATGTGTAGAATTCTTGGTTGCACGAGCGATACCTATGGTGACTCTGCGCATGTTCGACATGAAGAGCACGATAGCCTGCACCGCAGAGATGGCAATGATGGGCGTTTGCGGATGGAAAGTCTGGACACAAAGGTGGCCCTGCGTTGTCGGCGGCGACGTCATCAAAGCTTTGTAAAAACCGACAGCTCCATACACGGCAGTGTGAGTGTTCATTCATGGACTGGGTGTCAGTGAATATTTTCCGGCAGTAGCGGCATCGGAAAGATTCGAATGGTATAGCCGAATAGAGATTTTCCAGATGATTCTCCATTCGTTCAGGCCACCAGACAGCTCGGTCTAGCTCTCGAGCGACAAGGTGTTCGGCAATATGTTCACAGCGTTCGAGCCAATCCTTGGATTTCTTTCCACAAAAGCCGCAATGAAGCATGGGATCGTCCTCCTTCATTGGAGCGCCAAATCGTCGCCACTTCATTGCGAGGTCCTTACATCCGAAATTGTGGCCTTCTGTTGCCATCAGGCGGGCCTGGCAGCCAACACGGACTGATGGATGCTTGACGTTTGCGAAGTGAACGTGATGTAAGTGTTGTATGAAATGGTCTCGGCGGTAGAAAGTTCTTTGTGATTCAGCCTTGTTTCTACATTGTTGGTACTTGTGAGTTGCCAGGTGAGAATCGTCAGGGTGCATCTGCCCGCAAAAAGGACATGACGGAAGCGGTGCGTTCTTCGTGTCACAACAAATCCAGGTCGTTCGTAGGGCATGTACTGAGTCCTCGTGGCGGATCCATTCGTATTTGGTCTTGAAGGCTCGAGGGCAAAAGGTACAGAAGAAAGGGAGGTCTTGCTGAGGTTCACCAGCGTTATTGACCCCATTAAACTTCGGACGATTATACGGCGACTCTTTCCAGGCCATACGTCTTCGACCACGTCTTCGATCTCGACCAAAGGACGAGATTTTGCTGTGACTACCGTTCGAAGAGACAGTGTAGGTGGTGAGCGCTGTACCTTCAGATGAGGCGATTGATGTGACGATGGAGCCGTGCCTTTGTCGCCTGAAGTCCGAAAACGCATCTTCTTGGAAACTACCGCTTCCACTCAAAGAATTGTTGTCGATAGCCGCTTGCACATCGGAAAACTCTACTGCTTCTTCTTGATACGACTGAGCAAGGTACACAGCCAATGGCGGCTGAGGAGGCTGGATGGTATCTTTGACCTGTGCATCAAAGATCTCGAGGCTGTCTTTGGAAAGTTTAGGCTTGAGCGAACGAGCTCCCTGGTGAGGTATGACTGAGTCATCAGGTTGGGAGTCTGTTCACCTAAGTAAGAATGTTGTATGGGAGATGTGCGTGAGATACTCACCCCCTTTCTTCCTAGCTCGTGTATTGTTGAACCAGTTGCGGACCTTCTTGACTTCCAGGTTTGCTTGGTGAGCGATGATGTCCATCTCCCAGGAGCAAGGGTAAGGATTTGCAGCAAATTCATCCTCGAGTATCTGCTTTGCTTCGAGTGGAATACGATTCTGAGGACCTTTGTGTTTGGCAGATGCAGGCTTCCAGCTAACAGTGGGGGTTTGGCGGGGCGAACCAGATGACCTAACTTGAGAAGGGTTGGATGTGATTCCGGAATCAGTCTGATCGTTATGTTCTGCACCCTGTTGATCGAAGTGCAATAGAGCCGGCTCTGACTGTAGGCTCAGAACACCAATAACACCTTCTCTATCATCCCCACCAAGGAGTACCGAATGATCATGTGTAGGAAGAGACAATGGGGGCGAAGGCTCAGCGCACTGAAATGAGCATGGAATGGCTTCCAGGCTGTCCATGTGCCATGTTGGGATCGCACACGGTTGGACTTGTGCGTATCCTGGTGTCAGTGATTGGTCCAATGTCTGATCAAGTGGCCACTGCTGCAAAGGAGGAAGGGCAGTAGTATCTTCGTGGACTTCGTGGTCAATGATGGCTGGCTGCCAGTCCATCGCCATAAAACTATTTGCGGAAGTGAAAAACTCATCCCGATCTGGGCTAGCCCCACGCGCTGCATCAAAGTCAAAGAACTCGTTGATGTCTCTCGAGTCGTCGAACGCGTTCGCCGCCATCTTGACGGGTAATGAATGGCCTTGCATTGGCGAAGTAACGAGTGGCTTATGCTGGAGACGAGCACTATCATCAAAAGCCTAAGGATTGCAAACTCAACAACAAGTACGGACGAAGTAGGTGTATCATGACAGGGTGCGGCTGGTAAGTTGACAGTGATGAGGTGAGTGACGTTCCTGACGTCTGATGAAGAAGGCGCGACGATCTCTAGGCAACCAGACACAAGCGAAACCTTGAGAGTCGTCACACAGGATCATAGGCAGACTTTCTGGGATCAGTCAGGTGTATGCACTTGAGTTTGAAGCTGGATGAGGAGCTCTGAGGAAGACGTGTTGGTGCACGAAGAAGACATGCCAGTGCATGGGACAGATTTCTGGGCCGTGAACTTGTCCACGCGTAGAGCGGAGATCAATGCATGAACGGCGCCATCCCAATCGAGTCTGGCGGGTTTGGCTCTTTCCGCGGCCAAAAAAAGTTCACTCCAGCAATCCCACCACCAAGCTAAGCATCCTCACCTTCACCGATCGCATTCAGCAATCCACCATGGCGGCAGAAGTCCAACTACTACAGCCTCTGAAGCTGCCCAAGGGCCCCTCCAACCTCACGTCCGAGCAGAAATATTGGAATGCCTTCGCCTCGGAGCTGCGCCTGGACCCATCGCAACATTCCTCGCCTGTAACTCACATCTCGATACCGCCGCCAGCGCCTTCGAACCTCTTGTCCGCGACGCAGGACCTGTTCGCCATCACTACGGGCTCGCGCGTACAAATATTTTCCTCGAAGACGCGCAAAGTGGTCAAGACGATTTCGCGATTCAACGTCGACGACATTGCGCATTCAGGAAACATCCGCAGAGATGGCAGGATTTTGGTTGCAGGAGGAGACAGTGGCGCTATCCAGGCGTTCGACGTGAAGAGCAGGGCGATTCTCAAGACATGGAAGGAGCACAAGCAGCCCGTCTGGGTCACGGAATGGCACCCTACGGAGCTCACGAACCTTATGAGCTGCTCGGATGACAGGACAGTGCGATTGTGGGACCTGCCGAGCGACAAGAGTATGACAACTTTTGAAGGCCACCAGGATTACGTACGCTGCGGTACTTTCATGCCTGCTCAGAGCGGGCTACTGGTCTCTGGGAGTTACGATCAGACGGTCAGGCTGTGGGACTCGAGAGCAGGCGGCAAGGCCGTCATGGTGTTCAAGCACGCCGCACCCATCGAATCAGTCCTCCCCATGCCCTCGGGAACCGCTGTCCTAGCATCCAGCGATAACACAATCAGCGTCCTCGACATCGTCGCCGCAAAACCCATCCACATTCTGCGCAACCACCAGAAGACTGTGACCGCACTGTCCCTGGCGAACAACGGCGAGCGTCTTCTCAGCGGCGCCCTCGATGGACACGTCAAAGTCTTTGAAACAACGGGATGGAACGTTGTGGGAGGGCTAAAATACCCCTCGCCCATCCTCTCCCTCGCTGTCGTCCCGTCTCAGAAGGAAGACAAGCACATCGCCGTAGGCATGCAATCCGGACTCCTCAGCATAAAAACCCACCTCTCTGGCGAGCAGAAGGTGCAAGCCCGCGAGCGCGAGAAGGAAATGAAGGCGCTCATAGACGGCAAAATCGACGAGTACGACAAGACTAAGAAGCGCAAGCGCGGAAAGGGATGGGAGCAGCGCATCCGCGGCAAGGACTTTACAGGCGAGAGCGCAGATATTGTCATTGAAGGGAACGCACGAGGGAAGGCAAATATGGGGACGCAATGGGCGCATGCTCTGCGGTGGGGAGAATACGCAAAGGCGCTGGATCTCGTCTTGGACTCAAAGGTATTTTCACCTCCCCATCTCCTACACTTCATACTGATACACCCCTCTTCAGGATGCCAACGCCCGCCCTCAATCTCTCTCCCTGTTGACCGCCCTACGCCACCGCTCCGCTCTCCGCACCGCACTCATCAATCGCGACGAAGTCACACTGCAACCCATCCTGCGCTGGCTCATCAAGAATATCTCCGACTACCGCATCACACGACTAACCACTGACGTCGCTCTTGTAGTGCTGGATCTGTACGCCGATCAGCTAGGTCGAAGCGAGGAGATTGACTCCCTAGTCGACGCGCTGACGAAGAGGGTGGTTGTCACAGTCGAGGCGAGTCAGATTGCATGGAGCGTAAGGGGCATGGTAGACATGCTTGCTGCGAGTGCGGGGGCCGAGGAGGCCATCGAGGCGTAGTAAATCAAACCTGTAGAAGGAAACGCGTATGGTATTTTTGTTTGCATAGCGATGGCGTTGGGGTCACTCGAAAAAGTCACGGATCAGGTTGCATGTAGATATACACACCCGGATGGAGCAAGCACTGCTTTGGGTGATGGGACGATGCAAAATGTAATGTTGCTCGAATGGTATATTGTACAAAGCCGTCTCGGTGCCGATCAGATTGCAACCTCAGACGTACATATGCTACAAATAGGATCCTGCAGCGTTTGCCTACCACAAGCAGTACTGTCGCTGTGCCGTGATTGGGCGGTCGGGTAGTGCGGTCCAGAGTTTGCGGTTGTCCCTCTTCTTCTTGATCTCGTCTGACAGACGCACGCGTGTCTTTTCTTCCTTGAGGAGGATGGAGAAACCTGTTCGTCGTTAGCGTCGTGTCTCCACATACCCAGCGAGATACCGTGGAGTACTTACTTGTCGTCCTGCGCGTCAGCATGTTGACCTGTCCCCTTGCCCTGAATTCCGGGGTCTTCCATTGCTCCCCGCGCCCCACCCACGCCTGGTCCACGTAAATCTCCGACGGGTCCCGTACCACCTTCTTCGTCCCGTCCTTGAGCTCGATGATCTTGTTCGCTGCCTCCATTTCCCTCAACTTCTTCCCCGTTGGCAGGGGGACGACGCCTGGATCCTGCGCATTTCGCTGCTCGGTCCAGCGCTGCAGTGATTGTTTCTTGTCGGCCAGACCCATGCCCCGTGCTGCTATGGCTTCATCCTGTGCGATGAGGAGGCCTTTGTGAACGTCACGAGCAGTCTTCTTCTTGGAGAAGCGGAGTTGGACGAGGGCCTCGGAGACTGTCTTGCCGGCGATTTGGTTCATGACCTTGGTCAACTTCTTCACCGACGTGGGCAGGAAGTGCGACTTGTACAGACTCTGCCGCTCGGTGCGCATCAGCTTCTCCGCCTTGGTCATGCGGCCGTGTTTCTTGAGGCTCTTGATCACCAGACGGCGTTCGAGCTTCCGGCGGGCTTCGGGCGCGGGATCGAGGATCATTGACGAGAGCTTCTCGTCGTTTTGCTTCTGTGCGGCCTTCTCCTTCTCCTTTATTTGGCGGCGGAGCTCTTGGAGCTCCTTAGGCGGCATGCCGGGGCGATAGCCAGGGAGCTCGCGCACGGGGAGAAACAGCGAGGACTTGTGCCTGGAGAGGGTGCCTTCGCGGATCGTAGGGCGCCCCGACTTGGGCTTGCGTCCCTGCTTCGCTAGGTAGTCTTCGAGCATCGGGTTGGACAGGTCCGGCTCCGAGGCGGCCTTGGGCTTGGGATGGAGCGAGAGATGGCGCTGGGCGGCGACGGGGAGACGTCTGGCGGGCGCCCAGCACGTCGCGCGGGGACGGCAGGCGGCGAGGGCTGTGTGCGGTCAGCGTCGTGTGAATGCAGGGCGTGGGCGACTCACCGGCGAGCCCCAGCCGGCGCGAGGGTGTTTGTGCACTCATGTCGATGCTCGGCCCTCCAATGGCGCGGTGCTGATGGATCGCCTGGTCGTCTGGCTCACGGGGAAATTCTGGAAGGCGCGGCATCAGCCGCCGCACGTGCAAGGATAGCCGTCACGTGGAGATGCGGCCAAGCTCCTGTTTACAAAGCAGAAGCAGCCCTCACGACGGACGCGCGAGGCCTGCCAGCTGCGGTGCCACCTCTGTCCAGAACACCTCTCGCGCCTGCGACTTGAGCGGCGTCAGGCAACCGGCCCCGAGCATCCATCCCGTGTCCTTGCATGCGCCATCAGGTCGATCCGTCCTCCGTCACGCCCAGATTAGCCTGTCTGGTGGGCCCGAGCGTCCGAGCTTGACGGCTGCTTTTCACTCTTCCACACCCGCACGCTTCCTCTCACTGCGACGCCAACGCATAGGGATATCAGACCACACACGCTCCTTTCTCCCTCGACCCGCCGCATTCCCACACCGTCCCATGCTGCTCGCGACGAGACGTTCGACGCTCCACCGGTCCCGCAGCAGCTTGCGACCTCGGGAACTTGGTCCCCAACAAGACCCTTGCCACACGTGAACAATCGCAAAGCGTCGCTCCGTGTACAGTGGAAAGAGAGTGCAAAGAAAGCGATACCCGATACACACAGCGCACCGCCAACATGGACATCAACTCGCTGCTCTCGCCGTCAGACTCGCCGGCCCGCGAAACACCTCCGCCTCACTCTGCGCAACCGTCGCCATCCGCTCTGCGCTCGCCGAACAAGCGCGCCATCCGCCACGTGCCTTCGCGTACGCCCTCGGGCTTAAGCCAGCAGATCCTGTCCTCCTCGCCGCAACCACACGTCGCTATCCAGCAGCTCTCGTCGCCGGGCTTCCACCATCTCACCAATGGCGCAAGAGCCGTCCACGGCGCAACAAGCACACCGCAGCCAATGGGCTCGCCGCGCGATGTGCGCATGACCCCACCTCATCCCATGTTTCGGCAGACATCGACACCGAGCATGGACACATTGGCAGGTAGGTACTCAGATCCATCCCAAAGGAGCGAACGCGGACAAATGCGAGGCTGCGAGATGTGCTTCGCCTCCGAGTACAACTACACATCACAGCATAATCCAAACACTTTGTGTTGCTCCAATCAAAGAGGATTGATAATTGACCGTTTATCAGACCTTGCGACTATGCAGCAACAGCAACAGGCTGTGCGACAGACGTCTGTGGGCCGTCACAAGCGGCCTGTCACGTAAGTTTGTACATTCCATATGTCCTAGCTTCAATCCCCATGCCGCGTGCATAGAAAACCCCCCTTGCATTGTGCTGAAGCCGCCTGTTGTATAGCAGCATGTTTACTGGGATTGCTCACGGCACGTTCGGGTGACGCGACGCCACATGGTCGCGCTTGCTCGCGATCACGGGACTGTCGTTGCCTGTTTGGGGAGCCTTGGCGTTGTACTCAAACTTTCACCACTACATTCACGTCCTAACATCACTGCAGTCTACAACACCTCGGGCAGCAACTCTCCTGCGATTCTGTCACCAGCATCATGTCGGAGCCCTCGCCGAGACCACGAAACTTTGCGACGAGAGCTCTGGAGCAGCAGCACATTGATTATCTCAATCAGCTGGACATAACTTTGCTCGACAATCCATTCGACTACTACAGCCATGTCCAGCTGGTCACCGGGATTCATCAGGGCTTCCAGAACCATCTCTCATCCATTGACGGCGACCCGCATGCCTATGAGCTAGTACACACTCTGCGCGACGTCTACCGGGCCATGTCAGACAAATATCCCCTTGGTGAGAGGCTGTGGCACTATCGGCTCAACGACGAAAAGACACTAGCGCGGAACGTGGAGGAACGCATGGGAGTACTTGAGCTCCACAAGCAGGCGACACAAGATGAGCCCTACAGCGCGAAACTCTGGGCTGCCTACAGCGAATATGTCAGCTACCTCGTCGCGTGCTGTTGGGAACAGGTGCCGCCAGAGCAATGGTCCGAAGAGGAGAGACTGATTGGTCGCGAGCTTTTCAATCCGCAGCTTTTGCTGGACACACTACAGCGCGGAGCCGAGAACGTCAAGTACAATCTCCAAGAAAGCAATCTTGTCTGGGATCGCTATCTTCAAGTATTGGAAGAGAATCTCGAACGAGGTGGTCTAGATCGCGGAGGCCTAGAACAGGAGAAGGCTAGAGTCGCTGCAACCTATAATGAACGGTTAGGCCAACCACACGCAACATGGAAGAACACCCGATCGAGGTACATCTCGTTTGTCTCGCGCTACAATCTGGGTTCGCCAGAAGATATAATGGACCAAGTCACCTCAAAGAATTCGCACATCATACAGCAGCAGGCCAATCGGGAGGAGTACGAGTTCAAGGTGCTCCAAGCGATACAGCAAGGCGACCAGGACGCTGAATATCATGCTGTGACACGGTATCTGAAGTGGGAGAAGAAGACAATGGGCGTTTACAGTTTTCACCTAGTCAATGCGCTTTACGAGCGTGCGACGCTTCGATTTCCGGTCGATCCTTCAATCTGGAACGACCATGTGGAGTTCCTCATCTGGCAAAAAGATCGCTCAGTGGACCTACTCAATGTGTTGGAGCGCGCAACGCGTCACTGCCCTTGGTCCGGGTCACTCTGGTCCCATCGCATACTGACTCTCGAGACTGAGCACAAAGCTTTCGAAGACATCGAGCGTGTGAAGCATACAGCAACTGGAACGGGACTCTTAGAGCATACTGACATCGAAGAGCTCATCAAAGTACAAATCGCATGGTGCGGCTATCTGCGACGGAGAGCTTTCGACGATCCCAGAGCGACTGAAGATGACGCAGATATTGCCGAAGTCGGGATTCGTTCTGCATTGGAGTTCGTTCGAGAGGTTGGCATGAAGAAGCACGGGAGAGAATGGTCCGATCCAAGGTACCGTCTAGAGCGTATTCACATGAAGTTCTTCTCCCAACGTGGCCACTACGATGAAGCTCGACAGATCATAGAGTCCTTGAGCGAGCAGCAAGCAGATTCTTACGACTTCTGGTATCGTTGGTACATCACCGAGATGATTTTCTGGGCATATGGTGTAGCGCGAAATGAATGTCAACCTGGTCAGCACTTACCACCGTCACCACCCTCCCGGGCCACTGCAGTTCTGGAACGTGGTTTGGAACGCCTTCATACCATCGATCAGCCGGAGCCTCTTCTTGAGATGTACTCGAACCACTGCGAACAGCACGAGTCAGTAATCAAAGTGCGAGCCTCTACCATCGAGCGCAGGCGAGCTGAGCGTGTCATTACGATCCGGAGAGAAAAGGAACGTGCGATTGCAGAGGCTGCAGCCGCCCAGCAACAATCTCAGCAAGCCCACGTAGCTGAAGCTTCAGGGAAGAGGAAGCGGGATGACGTTAACAATGACAACGACGCTGCTTTGAAGAAGAGCAAGATCGCAGAAATCGAAGCGGCGCCTCTTCCTACGGTATCAGTAAACGAGGACGTCAGAATGGCCAGCGAGGCTCCTTCTGACGCACAGTCGACTGGGCCCAAGCGAGATCGGGAGCACACTTCCATCATTGTGCGCAAGCTTCCTGCTGACACCACGCAAACGCGGATACGACAGTTCTTCACTGACGCTGGCATCGTCCGAAACCTGGTACTAAAGCCTGAGCAGGACAGCATAACGGCCATTGTCGAATTTGAGACACCAGAAGAAGCCACCTACGCTCTCAGCAAAGAAGCGAAGGGTTTCGAAGGCCACAATATTTCCATTGAGCGAGGCGAGAGCACGACACTGTACATTACCAACTATCCCGCGCACGCCGACGAAGCCTATTTGCAAAAGCTTTTCAGTCCATTCGGAGAAATCGTTGCATTTAGATTCCCTTCTCTCAAGTTCGATACACATCGTCGGTTCTGCTACGTGCAGTACGCTAACGCTGAGAGTGCGGTAGCTGCAACCCAGCTTGACGGCACGGACGTAGAAGGGCTCAAGCTTGTTGCAAAGATCTCCAACCCAACCGCCAAGAAACAGCGTGGCGGCGCCACTGCCGAGGGCCGCGAGGTCTATATCTGGCATCTGAACTTCAAAGTCAAGCAGCGCGAGATCGAAGAAACCTTCTCACGCTTTGGAGGCATTGAGAGAATAAAATGTCCTACCATCAAAGGCAACGGCAACAACAAAGGTTTCTGCTTCGTCGTCTACAACACGAAGGAATCTGCAGATGCAGCTGTTGCTGACATGCACAACAAGAACTTCTGGGGTCTGGAGTTGCACGTAGAGATTGCCAGCGAGCGAGGCGACTCAAAGCCCAAGATCAAATCGACTCTCGAGAACGCTGACAGTCCGGACACTCGCGAGACAACCCCTGCACAAGCTGATTCTAAGACTGGAACCGTGAGCGAGCGCTCAATCGCCTTCCTCAACCTCCCCGATACAGTGCCTGACACGCGCATCAAACCGCTTGTCGAACCCTTTGGCTTCAAGAAAATCACCCTCGAGCCCCGACACGGTGGTGCTATCATCGAATTCGCGTCCATCGAAGGCGCGGGCAAAGCCGAGATTGCTCTTCAGGGGCGTGATTTCGAGGGCAGGAAACTCCGCATCGGGACCGTCCAGGACCTGAAGAAGCAAAAAGGCGAATGGAAAGCGAGCAATAACTTCATTCAGCCAGCGCGTGTGAACAGACCCAGTGCAAGTGTCCGGGGCGGAGGACGCGGTCGTGGAAAGCCCGGTCTTGGTCGACCTGCGGTACCTAGGGGCGCTGCGACTGCCAACGGAGAGGCGAAGAGTAACGCGGATTTCCGAACTATGATTCTGAACAAGCACAAGAAAGACGAGCAGGGTCCGGATAAGATGGAGGAGTGAGTAATGGAAAGCGCGGGTCGGGGGAGGAGGGGTCATGTCATGACTTGCATTGTGGCGTTTTTGGGTTTGATCTTCCTTTTTATAATATCTGGACGGGATGGATGGACAAGATGAGATCTTTGTCCGTCCCCGGATATGTGCATAGTTTAGGCGTCAAAAGGGTGTCGTTTGGAGATGGTGAGGAGGTGGTGTGGCGATGTGATAGGACGGCGGGTTTAGTTCATGCAAGCTTCTCATGCGTACGTTACGTAGTATAGATTTAATGAGGGTGTTTTGTCTCTTCTTTGATACCCTGCTCTTCCTTCAGGTAAGGCTTTTCGCCTAAACTAAGTTGGGGCGCAGATCGAATCCCAGCACATCAAAAAACCACAGATATTCTTACAGACGTTCCGCGGCACAAGAACAGGCAGGGTAGTCATCAGCCGCGTAGCAAGGTGGTCATCAGCCGCATAGCAGGGTGGTCATGGGCCGCATAGCACCATCCGCATAACAGGTTGTCATTACCCGCACAGGGCTTTCCAGAACCTCTTTCAACCAACAACATTGCGCTAAGAAAGCTACTGTGGTATCCAGGGTAAGTTTTATCACTTTGCCACCCTACGCATAGGCGGTCCAGTAAGCCTCTGCAAAGGTGGTGAAGTGATAAAACTTACCCTGGGTACCACAGTACACACCCCAACTAGGTATAGCGAACCCTCTCTCGTCTAGAAACACTATGCTCTCCCTCCCATCTTTCGCGCACATTTTGGTACAAAGATGTTAGCCTTTTGCGTCAGACTATCCTAGAAGATCTATTTCGACTGATCCTTGCTTACAAACATGAAAAACTGCCCTAATGATGATGAGGTTTCTGGGTGTAGAAAAGCTTGACTTGTGCGGGTGGTAACTATCTGTTATGCGGGTAGTGGTTGACCGCTGCCATGAAGACAAGGCCTCGCCTACCGAGATGCTTAATGGCACGGGAAGAAATCTGCGGGGACTATGATTGGCTTTGATGGCTACTGTACCACTGGGGCGCGAGATGGAATCCAGGCTAGTGTGACTGGCAACGTTCCGGAGTTCTTTCCGGTAAAAGTCTGGGAGCACGGGCAAAATTTCAGCGCACGAAGGCAAGTTTACCATCAGGCTGAGACGTGAGACAGGGAGATGTCTTGTCGCAAAAAGCCACATAGTAGACGACGAGCCTATGATAGGACGGCGAGTCCGCCAAGTCCGCTACCTCGTTCTGTCAGCCGATGCATTGACCCAGTTTATACCATCATCGCGACGAAATTCTGTCACGTGAGTAGGTTCAGCCCAGTTCCCTCGCGTGGCCCGAAGTTCTACCGTATCGCATGCTCCCGAGCCCGAAGGCGCGTGCAGGACGACTACACGTAAAGAGAGGAGGGCAAAGTGACAACATGTCCTATGGGGCTATGCATTGTATAAACGTAGTGACTGCCCACACTATCCGTTCCATAGTTCAATTTACTGGATCTGTTACCAAACCGAACCATTCTCATTACATTGGACATCCCCTTACATCACGTGATGATGTCTTCCGACCAGCTGCCAAATTCCGACCTTTCTTGGTCATGTTTGCCTGACAACATTTACATGAGTACAGTAGACTTCGATCAAGAACTCAAATGGTACCAAGAGAATTATGCACAACAAGACTCCGCGCAGATGGAGCACGTTGATAATTGGCATGGGGATATCGACACATCTTTGGGTAACTTGACGTGTTTCATCTCTTATATCTCTTCAAAGTGTCTTGGGTGTGCCTATGTCGTACTGACAGATCTTCCGACAGGTGATCTAGTATCGAGTCAGAACTTCATACAGTCTTCAGCATCCAACGATCTTATGCCTCCAACCTTGGATCTTTGCTATACGGCAGGTGAAAATGCAACGTTATCATTTTTACCAAGCGACCACAACACGACAAGTACAAGACAGTCGGACGTCTTGTCTGAGTCTATGAGGTCCACACAGAGTCCCATGGCACCAACAGAGATATGGTATGCAGTCGTGCCATATACTCTGTACTCGGCTAACCTACGCAGTAGCCTCAAAGTCGAGACGCATGCTGCCCTGCAACCAATTTATAACGAAAATGCTGCCCAGAGCGTCCAGCAAGTCCTCGAAACACCTGACAACACTTCCGCCACTGCGTCATCGGCTTTCAACGTCCCAACTCTTTCATTCGAAAACAACAACGTCAAAACATCGAGGTCGGATACAGCCAGGAATGGGGCCTCAACCCCCATAGAGGTTACTGACGCTCCGATTGGCCATGTGTCGAGGAATGGAACGTTCAGATGTCGCCCACAAGAGTGCGCTGGCACGATCTTACAAACGGGTGTCTCATCCCAGCTTTTGAGACCTACTCAGAGTCTTAACCCAACAGGACAAACACGGTACGTAACTGTGAAAGATACGATAAGCTAGTCTGACGCGATTGTAGTAGCACCTTGATCGAAACGTCTGTCGGTCTCAACCAATCGCAAGACGGGGTGATTCTCCCAGGCGATGACCAAGCCTTCGAAGCGTTATATAACCCTTCCAACACTATGTGTTCTGGTTTCGATAACCCAGCTTTTCTGTTCCAGAACAGCAGTGCCGAACCATCGAAGCCGATCGCTACCACGAATGAACATATAACATCCACTGACGATGGCGATGTTGTAGTCGGGTATGTACTCAAGAACAAGAAGATCAAGTGCCGTCAACAAAGGTGTGCCTTCAAAACATTCGGTCGTCAAGCAGAATTCGAGCGGCATTACAAAAATTTCCATGCCGCTCAAAAGCAACAGTTCTGGTGTCACATAATATCCTGCAATCATGCTCAAGCTAAAGGAGGCGACCCGTTCCCGAGGAAAGATAAACTGATCAAGCATGTTCGGGAGGCACACGGAAATGATATGCGGGCTGCACCACAGCTTAATGGAAACCTCTCGTAGGGATGAACTCAGTATGTTTGCTATAATGTTGTAGATGAGATTGGTATTGGCGTTCGGTTGGTATTAGTTTCCTTGGGTACCCTCAGATGATTAATAGATTCTTATTCTCTCGTCGATACTTGTGTTGAGTCCTTGCGATTGTTAATTGCTCGGTTGTTTTCCTCAATCATCGGGTTTGTTTCTGCGATAACCTGACCTCTGCATACGCATGCGATTGAAAACGAGGAAATCTTGATACCGGGTAAGCTATTCTTCTCCCCGTCTTATGGCGACCAGGCTAGCCCAGAAGGTTCGAATTCCCTTTCTTGCAACATTGTCTTTCTGGCCTTCTTTTGTCACTGCCCGGGGTTGTCTGTTTCTGTGCTGACCTTACTGGGTGGAAATCCCTTTCCTCGGTTGTGCGGATGGTCTTCCAGAACAGGCCTAAACTCGACTCCATAGCCTGAATATCTACCTTTTGCCGACAATCTTTTCTCGTTCCTCCTTGCATGAAAACCTCTTGTCGTTGACATCTTTTTCTCAGATGTATCGAGATATCTTGTAGCCCTGCCCTGCTTTTCCATCCTCTGATAGTTGGAGTCAATCATGTAGACTGCAACAACTGTCCAAGTTGCCCCACCCCACCCCCACAAACCACAACGTAAGCCCCTCCATACAACATATCCCAGCACAACACCTACCGTCAAGCCAAGAATGTCGTCATCAAAAGTGTTGATCGGCCTGATGGTCTAGTCGTATGATTGTCGCTTCGTAAGTTTTACCATTACCACCGCCGCTGCCAAACTCATCCTAACATCGTCGTCAGGGGAATATATCCTGGGTATTGAATACCTTCAATGTGACAGGTCCCGAGTTCAAATCTCGGTCAGGCCCTTTTTGCTGTTGGTGTGCTTCTTTTTGGTGTTTGGGGTGGACAGGAAGGGAGGTGAGACGAGATGAAGCGAGCGTTTGAGATGAAGATATATAACAGCTATTAGGTTGCACGACAATATGGGTGATTAGCTTAGGTTCATAGCACGTCATCTAGTCTTTATTCGGAAAAGCCAAACCAGTATCTTATAGGTTCGCTTCTTTCTTCATGTTCAAATATGTTTCCAAACTTACGTCACTCCAACATGCGATCCCCAGTACATCACCACCCCCCTACGGCTGTATCGACTCGCAGATTAGCCGCAATGCGGGGTTCTCGCTGCGAGATATCCCGCCAATGGACGAGTATGTAAGATGCAGTGCCTACAAATAATCACATCTCCCCAGTTCCTATCAGGCAGACTTTCAGACCCCAATAATCTCAGCTCTATCTAAATTCACACCCTCACTCTATCTACACCCATATCCACATCCACACCTACACATCCACCACCATGACCACGCCCGAAATGCCCTCCGACCTCCCCGAGATGGAGTACCGCTTCCTGGGGCGCTCCGGGCTGCAAATCTCCGCCATCTCGCTCGGTGGCTGGCTGACTTACGGCGGACACGTCGGAGATGAGAAGACGTTTGTGTGCCTGAAAGCCGCGTTTGACGCGGGCGTGAACTTCTTCGACTGCGCGGAGGGGTACGCGGGGGGCGAGAGCGAGAAGGTGATGGGGCGGGCGATCCAGCATTTCGGGTGGAATCGCAATGATATTGTTGTGTCGACGAAGGTACATTTCACTCCGTGTGTGTGTGTGTGGGAGTTTGTGCTGATGACCGATTGCTAGATCTACTGGGGCACGCACAACTCGGCCCTCCCCTCGCCACGGAACAAGATCAACAACCTCGGTCTCTCACGCAAACACCTCATCGAAGCTACGGCCGCCTCACTCTCACGTCTCCAACTTGACTACGTTGACATCCTGTACGCGCACCGTCCCGACCGCCACACACCCATTGAAGAAACAGTGCGCGCCTTCAACCACCTAATCGACACGGGAAAAACGCTATACTGGGGCACCAGCGAATGGCTAGCCAGCGAGATCGAGCAAGCATGGGCGGTGGCGGACCGTCTGGGGCTGATTGGGCCGGTGGTCGAGCAGCCCGGGTACAGTCTGCTGCGGCGGGAGAAAGTGGACGAGGAGTTTGCGAATGCGGGATTGTATGCAAGGAGGGGGTTGGGGTTGACTATATTCTCGCCGCTGGGGGGCGGGTTGCTGACGGGGAAGTATGTCGATGGTGTGCCGGAGGATTCGCGGCTTAAGACGTCGGATGATCCGTATATTCAGTCTGTTATTAAGACGGTGGGGACACCGGAGTGGGATGCCCAGCAGGATAAGATTAGGAAGCTTATGGGGATTGCAAAGGGGCTAGGTACGGATGTTGCGACGCTGAGTATGGCGTGGGTGTTGAGCAATAAGGATGTGTCGAGTGCGATTACGGGGGCGAGTCGGCCGGAGCAGATCTGGCAGAGCGTTAGGGCGTTGGATGTTTATCGGACGCTGAAGTCGGAGACGATGGAGGAGATCGAGAAGGTGATGGGGAACAAACCTGCGGATCTGACGATGAGGTTTGGGTAGATGGTGGTCCGTTGATGCCATGATGATTAAGGTTTGAGAAGAACTGCAAATATACATACAGACATGAACAAGTCCAAGCAGCAGTCACTACACCCCGCTCCTCCTCACTTCCTCCCCTCAACCATAATAATATGATACCCCTCACTCGTCCTAACCTCGCCAATCTTCGGCGCCCCAGTCGTACTAGGTTCCAAGTCATACGCGACCTTCTCGAACTCCTGAAACAAGGAGCCACGAATTTTCCAGCCCAGGGAACCGCCTGTAAGGTTAAAGAAAAACGTCAGCCCCATTACCCTCCCATAGTGCAAAAAAGGGACAAACGGAAACTCACCCTGCCTCGCCTTATCCTCACTCATCTCCCTCGCCACCTCATCGAACTTCGCCCCATTCCGCAGCTTCTCCAGCGCCTCCTCTTTCTTGCTGTGCTTTTCGCACAGGATGTGGCGCACGTTGATGCTGGTTGCTGGCTTCAACTTGCTGGACCCGCTTTTACCGCCAGCGCTGGAGTCGGAGGTGTCTTTGTCTTTGCCTTTGCCTTTGTTTTTGGGGGGCATGATTGGGGAAGTTGTTTGTTGTTGATGTGAGTGGGAGATGGGAGATGGAGGCGGTTGTTTGGAGCTTGGAGTTTGGGGTTGGTTTTGGAGGGGAGCTCTGGAGCTTCGAGCTTCGGTGATGCGGGGTGGCAGAATGGTGTGCATTGGGAAGGCGGTAAGCTGGGCTAAGCTGAGTTACCATGGTGGATTTTGTATATATCGAAGAGGACGTTGGAATTCACGTTTGCTGGGCGAGAAAGCAAGGGCAGACAGACATCACGAGGCGAGTTTAAAGAAAGCGTGTCCATCATCGCAGATGAAATTCGTTACTTTATACGTTTATCCCCCATCGATCTACCAATCAATAGCCATTCCGAGACCCATCATCTTCGTACGCATGCATGTATTCCCCCGACTTGTTCTTGGGAGGAACCGCCTCAACCTTTGCGCAATTGCTGTGCATTGAACCAAATCCCGTCCTTCCCCGTGCCGCGCACGACACTCATCGAAGAGCTCGTAGCAACATGTTTTCTTCAGTTGTCAACAATCCGTTTTCTTGCCCATGTTCATCCATCGCCATTGACTGTCACGCCACCGCCATTGACCTCTTTCGACACGGCAAACAAGTCCATGATGCTCTTCCGCGGCTTGTGCTCCTTCTTCGCCGTGTCGCTCCTGCTGGGTGTGGCTAAGTGGACGCGCCTCTTCTTGATGTCATCGAGCAATGGCCTCAGAAACTCGACTTTCTCAACCTCAGAACCCAGAAGCGACTCCTCAATCCAGTACAGGCCCTCCATTGTCAAGAACTGATTCTGCGCCTCTTTGATGCTGGCTTGGATCTTGCTGTAGTCGTAGTCCAACGCACCTTCAACGGGGAAGCGTAGATCTTGGGCTAGGAGCGCGTCGTCGTATTGTCGCAGGATCGCTTGGCGCTGCTCTTGTGTAACGGGTATGCGGTGCCATTCGGAATACGGGGATGGAAGGTGTGCGAGGTCGAGTTCAGGTAGTCCGAGAATGCCCACGAGCTGAAAAGAGCAGATGTATGTTTTGTCGGGGAGTGCGTCCGGACTGCACAGGTCGTCCGATGTGGCGTATAAGAGGGGGAGAAAGACGACAGATACGCCGAGTTGTTCGCCGGAGAAGTGGAGGGGTCTGTCGGTACCGAGTTCGCACGCCCGCCGTATGGCCAGGGGAAGTTTCGATAAGCGGTCTTGTCGTGCAGCGAGCTGTTCTTGTCGTTTTGCCTCGTCCTCGGCTTGTTGGTGGGCTTCTTCCTCTTCTCGCTTGCGTGCGTCCTCGGCTTGACGCTTTGCTTCTGCATCAGCTTCAGCTTGCTTTCGTGTTTCCTCCTCTTCTGCAGCCTTGCGCGCGATTTCTTCTTCTTCCCTTTTCTGTGCTTCAGCTTCGGCTGCTTTGCGTTTTGCTTCAAGCTCCAGTCTTTGTTCTTCTTGACGACGCTCACGCACTACCTCTGGTGTTGCAATCCTCTCGGGCGGCGCGGGTGTTGACTTTGCAGATGCAGTAGGTGTCCTCTTGCGACAGAAGCCGTCAGTTGACGCATCAGACAATCGTCGCTTCCTGATTTTATCCTCCATTGTTTTGTACTTGATCTTGTTCTTGACAGGTTTGCGTTCGTCTGGAGAGTCAATTTCAGGCGTGGGTTTGGCACTCGCAGTTTTTGGTTTTGAGCGGACTTTGGTTGGGGGTTTCGTCACGTAATCTTCGTCGCTCTCGTCTGAGTGATTACGTGGAGGTACCGTTCTTCTCGTCGAATCGTTATCATCCGAGCGTGCTTTTAGCGTCGCTTTGACTGGCTTGGTCTCGTCGCCCTCCTCGCCCTCGCTGTACGAACGAGGCTTGACTTTTCTTGTAGGCGGCCGCACGTCTTCCTCGCTTTCTTCCTCGGACGTTTCGTCGTCGACAACCCGCTTCCGTCTCTTCCCTTCCCGGTTCGCCATTTCTTTTCCGGACAACAGACGCCGCGACTTTTGGGGTGCAGCAGCCATCGAAGACGATTTTGTAAGAGTAGCTGTCCGCGGTTCTGAGCGCGGCGATTCCGATCGTTCTCTCCGGGGAGGTGACCTTCTTTTCATACGCACGGCTGATGTATTAGGCGCTTCCTTCCTGGTTCTTCGTGGGCTTTTGTGCGTCAGCCTATGCTCGTCGCAAGCACGCTTGAGCATCTCCCTCTCCTGCTCCCATTTTGGGCCTCTTCGTTCTTCGGAGATCTCGTAGTAAGTCTTGCCCTCCTTATTCCGTCGCGTTGGATCGAAGTGGTCTTGTTCGAGAATTAACTGGATAATCTTGAGGTGCCCTCGGCCAATGGCGACTGTCATGGGAGTCTCGGGGTGCTTCGATGGGTCGGGGTCCGCTTTCAGGCCACTCGCCAGAAGAATGCTAAGAATGTCGTAGTGGCCGCCTCTTGCTGCAGCAACACCGCAAGTAATGTTGGGCCTGATGTTGCTGTTAATCAGCTCTCCCACGGCAATAATGTCACCGTCGCCGGCCTTTTCGATCAGAGTCTCGACGTTGTACTCGTTGTAAAGCAGTCGAGGCGCAGACTTTGCTTCCTTTGGCGCACACAGCTCCTGGTCGTTGATGGATGAAATATCGACTTCCCTTCTCATGGCTTCCTTGAGCTCCCTCTCCATCTCCTCGGCGTCGTCGTCCTCGTAATCCAGTACGTCAATTGCGCGCTGGCCCTTTTTGTTCTGATGATGTGGGTTCACACGCCCCTGGTTCAGGAGGAGTTTGACAACTTGCAGGTGTCCATTCTCGACGGCGTCGATAAGCGGAGTGTCGCGATCGTTTGATTCGCAATCAGTCCGGCAGCCCTTGCGGATAAGGTACTCGACCACTTCCGTCCAGCCGTGCAGTGCAGCCTTTTGCAGGGGAGCAATGCCGGCAAAATCGAGCTGGTCCTTGGAGTCTGGTGCCTCTTCGTAGGCTGCTTTGACAGCGTCCAAGTCGCCCTTTTCGCTTTCCCGGGCTAGTCGCGTCGCGCCAAATCGGTCAGTCTTGCGTGTGGGGGCCATTGTGCGTGCAGGCGAGGTCATAGCACGGTGGGAGGAGCGTTTGAGCCGTGTGTGCTGGACGGGGTTGGGCGTCTGTGCTAGTCGCGGTGAAGAGGAGTTTTCAGAGCTGGAGTCGGACCAGTGCTTGTGGTCAGTGGACAGAGACAGGGCTGTGATTTCACGGCGCTTGCGGCCCGCGACACCAGATATAACCGACTGGGTCGACTGCGAGCGCTTGTGAGCGCGGCCAAAGCCCGGCAGCGCGGGTGAGTTGGGCTGGCGCAGGTCCTTGGGCACCTCTGTCTTGGCCTTTTGTCGCGGGGGCTCGGCTGCCTTGGGGAACGAGTCCTCGCGCAGCTTGCGCTTGCGGTTCTCAACCGTCGAGGCGCTGCGGCCGCGAGCCGTGTGCTGCACGGGGGAGAGGGTGGTCTGGATGGGCGACTTGGCCGAGTCGGACGGGCTCGTGTCCTTTGTGTGGCGCGACGTGGTGCGACTGCTGGGCGACGTGGGGATGGGGCTCTTGCCGTCGCGGTCGGAGCCGTGGCGGGTGCCATTGGCTTTCCCTTCGCTGGAGCGGCGGCGGCCGTTGAGCTGCGGCGAGCTGGCACGCGACTCTTCCTTGATGGAGCGCAGGCGTGCCACGTGCACGTCGTCGTCGTCGTCATCGTCGCGCTCCGTCTTGATCAGGCTCGTGCCGCGGTTGCCGTCCAGGACCACCGTCTCGGCCTCGGACTCGTTCTGGTCATCGTCGTGGGGGTGGTGGTGATGGGGCTCCTTTGTTGACGGCGCCGAGACGGGCAGCGGCGAACACGGGCTGCGCAGGCGGGCGTCTCGGGAGCCTGGGGCGAGGGCGGGTGCGTTCAGAGCTGGCAGGGCATTACTGGTCATTACGCATATACAGAGGACACTGCGGCCTCATGTCGGCTCGCCGAAGGAACAAAGGCGGTGGGCAGCAGCAGAGGCAGGCGCTTATCGGGCATGCACGTGCGGCCGTCGCGGGCGGCGGGCGTGGTGACAGCGGCGACACGGGCAGGAGAGCAGCAGCAGCAGCGGCGAGGGCGTGGACGGGGCGGGCGTGGTGTTGTGGTGAGAGCGAGGTGCAAGGCCGGGCGATACGGAGACGAGACGAGAGGCTTGCGAAGGGCTCCACCACTGAAAGCGCTGCACCGTGGCCTGGTTCGCAGCGCGGCCCCAGACGCTGCCCCAACCCTGCATAGCGCTGCGAGCCCGTGGTGAGGGCTCGTCGCCGCGTCTCCAGCAGCACATCGCGGTGCGCAGCGCCAGCACGGGTCGGTACCGCTCTTCGTCCTGTCGACTGGCCCGAACCGTTCGCTGTTCGCGCCTGCCCGTCTGCTCTGCCTGCCCAGCACCACGCCTCAACAGTCGACGCCCGCATGCTGCCATCCTTGCAAGGCACAACCCGGCGCCAAAACGGCGCGATCGGCGGCCTAATTAGCAGCCGTGATTCAAAACACGCTCAAAACAGGACTGCGCCCCCGACACTGCCCTCGACACCCTCATGGCGACGGCGACGGCGACAGGCACCCAGCTCGCGGGCCTGCTGGGCCTGCGCGTCTTCTACCTCGCCGCGTCGTTTCTCGTACGATGCCGCGACACCACTCTGCCCTGACCACGGCCTACTGACCCGTCTGCTCACCAGGTCCTGCTTCTGCAGGCTGTTCCTGCCCTTCGCACCCGCTTCCTGCCCTATGGCTCGCGTGCAACATCGCCAAAGCCCGCTCAGTCTGGGCATGCTTCCATCGCCAGCCAGCTCCTCGACTATGCCGCATCCATCCAGGTCCCCCACAACTACTTCACCCACTTCTACATCATCTCCGTGTCCTGCTCACTGTTCTGGGGCTACAAGCTGCAATTGTGGTCCGCTAGTGCGCAACTGCAGGTAGTATGGTCTCTCATGCTGCTCCAAGGCGTGCGTCGCATGCTGGAATCCCATGTCTACACGTCGAGCAGCAAAAGCAACATGTGGTTCGTACACTGGCTGCTGGGACTCGTCTTCTACCTCAGCATAAACGTAGCCATCTGGATTGAAGGTCCTGACAACAGCCTTGGAGAGATGGGGTGGAAAACAGCCGTCTTGGTGCCAGCAATTCTAACCGCGCACATGGGCCAGCACTCATACCATGCCTACCTTTACCGCCTGAGAAGTGCAAACATGGGATATCAATTACCCTCACACCTGCTGTTCCCCAATCTTCTGTGTCCACACTACACGTGCGAGGTGGCCATCTACGCCCTGTTGTCGTTCCTAGCCGCACCAGACGGCAGGTGGGTGAGTTGGACGCTGCTATGTGCGACGATCTTCGTGGCCATAAACCTCGGCGTCACAGCGATGGGAACAAAGAAGTGGTATGCGGAGAAGTTTGGCGTTGAGAAGGTGCGTCCTAGGAGGAGGATGGTACCTTGGGTATGGTAGACTGGAATGATCCAGCGACTTGCAACCAAGACAACGTAGAATCTAGGCGAAAACCTACGTAAGTAACTATAATCGTGGTGCAAGTGCTTTGTCTTGTGGTCAGCATTAAAAGCACGTCAAGTAGAGCATAACTACGGGACCCCAATACCCGTACAAACATAACCGCGAGGCTAAGTCGCGTTAGTATACTACGCCATAGCATCCTAAGTCAATATCTGGTACAGCCTTATCTCTCTATAGACATCGTAGCGAGCCACCAGATGAAACTGAAAGCCTTGCCTCGTGATGATGTGTAGTAAAGGCGCCGTCCAACCACCAAAGTGAGGCGAGCCGGTCCCACAGAAACAAGGCGACTTCAATCTTCGAGTTGCTACGAGGCTCCGCCTCCGCGATAATACGAGTACGAGCAGCAACACAGTCACGGTACTTTCTAGTTTTGCCAAAAGCTTTGGATATTTCAAATAGATACCACAAGTCTGAGTGACTGCAACATATCAATCCAAGAGATCTGGACGACTGCACAGCTCGTGGAAGATATGCAGCCCTATGCATGATAATCACGATTCATTAGTAAATGCGCAGCTGTAGTTACTGAAGCCTACTGCCGTCCCGCACACTTGTAGCCTTACTATAGGTAGATGGGCTGGGGTGCAGACCAGCCTCTTCTTGTCCTCCATCATCCATCAAGTGACCATGAGGTGGTCGATGCGCTTGCGTCACACTACCGCATCCATACTAGACTGGTCTTATCAGTGAAACGTTATCACGCCTTACTTGCCTCTTGCATGCAGCTGTGCTATCTCGCTCTGCTTGCAGTTAGGAGCATCAAGTGGATAGCAGTGTGAAAGTGTCTTCTGCACTCGAATCTGGCTGCATTCTTCGCTGGCCGACGTTGTCCTCGCTGCCTATGCAGGTGTGGACCGATTCACCGGGGCCGAGTGTGGAGTCGCGCTAGCTTAACTAGCCGCATTTTAGGCAACATCGACCTCATCTTACTCCACCACTCTCGACTCTACTCATCAACCATATCCACAAACAACACCCTACTGCTGCATCTCTCTCGTTGAATATCGCAGCCACGAGACTGCAGCGCCGTTCTTTATCTACCACACCAACCCATTCCATCCATAGCCTTGCCTGCACATCCAACATGGCGGCTACCAACGTGCCCGTGACGCTGGACACACCCATCGTGGTCAAGCTTCTGTTCCGTGGGCAGAGTAGGAAGTTGAAGCTTCCTCTGAAAGATCTCGGAGCTCACGTACTCCCTGACAAGGTTCGTTGTGTTTCCTCAACACCTCGGTTCGAGAGGCGACAGCCTGACCTTCGCCTCTTGCCCTCGCCATAGCTTCTGGAATAACCGTATACTGACTTTGTTGTGAAATACAGCTTCGAAGCGTTCTCCAGCTTCAGCCTGATGAGCAGGTCGTGTTCGAGCGCTACTCCGACTCGGCTGGCGCCTACGTCACACTGGACTCCGATAAGCCGCAGGTCTACAAGACGCTGTTCCGAGCGGCGAAGGCGAAGCTCAAGCTGCGCTTGAAGGCGACCATTCCTGGCGAAGAGGTCGAGCTTCCAGCTCCAGCACCACCAGCAGCTGTCCAAGAAACTGCTCGCGCATTACCTCAGCCTAGCTCGCTCCATCGCTTGAGCGCCGAAACTCTCACACCACAGGTCATCGCGCCCATCTCTCCTGTCATCGCGCGCTCTCCCAACGCGAACCCTCCCGCACCCAAGTGTGAATCCGCCAGTCCCATCTCCCCACCTCAGCCCGAAACATGCTCCAAGAAGCTGCCGCGTTCATTTACTGCCCGCCAGAGTAAGTCGTGTATCCGAGCTCTGTCCGGACCAACGAATCACTAACGAAACGACTAGGTTTCTTCAATGACCTTGCCAACGCTTCCCAGTTGGACGTCGATCTCGCTTTCCACAAGTCAGCACAGAACGACATGGATCTTGCATTCCGGCCTAAGCCGTCAGCGTGCTCCTCATGGGTAGTATACTGCAACAACTGCAACCATCCCATGGAAGACGAGCACTTCCACTGCGGAATCTGCGACAGCGGTGACTACGACCTCTGCCCTGCTTGTGTCGACTTGGGCATTCACTGCCCTGGAGCGGGCCACTGGATGGTCAAGCGCTTTGTCAGGGACGGCTGCGTCATCAACAGCACCACTCAGCGCATGGCTACGAAGACGAAGACCGAAGAAGTAAAGGAAGTTCCCGGAGCCTTCACCGATGAGAAGGAGTCTGTTACATACGAGGATGAGGAGCCAAGTCGTACTTGCAACTGCTGCGTGAAGATCCTCCCCGAGAAGGAGTTTGTTACATGCACCTTCTGCGATGACTACGACCTGTGCCTAGACTGTCACATCTCCAACAAGCACGGTCATCATCCTGGACACGCATTCAAGGCGGCCGCCCCAGAAGCCAAACTTCCTACTCTGGCCAATGTCTTGTGCAACACTGGCAGGAACATTCGCCACAATGCCGTCTGCGACGGATGCGACAAGTTCATTTACGGTGTGCGCCACAAGTGCCTGAACTGCCCTGACTGGGACTACTGTTCTGACTGTGTCTCAAATGCCAAGTTTATACACCCCCGTCATCGCTTTGTACCTATCTACGAGGCTTTGACTGAGCCTCTCAACAATGCTAACCGTCATTATGGAATCTTCTGTGACGGACCTCTCTGCAAAGACAAGGAGAACGTGTCATACATTGAGGGCGTCCGGTACAAGTGCGCTGTTTGCCACGACACCGACTTCTGCCAGAACTGCGAGGCACACCCAAGCAATAGACACAACCACACGCATCCTCTCATCAAGCTCAAGACCTCTGTCCGTCACGTGAGCGTCACTACGCAAAACGATGATGTAACCGGGATGTCCGCCCGGCTTGGTGACCGACAGCTACCCACCGCAACAGAGACTGTTCAGGTTGCACCCTCTACCAATGCTGCGACTCAGGTTCAGACCATTGTGGACATGAAGCCTTCCCAGGAGCCGCAAGTCAAGAAAGAGAAGATTGCTATCTGTGATCTGCTTGTGGAGTCCGCTGAGCCAGTTCAGGAGAAGGCGTCGGTTGCGGCCTCTGAGATCACTGGGACTGAATCTCAACACTCCACTTACAAAAGCCTGCGAGACGTGTTGGCTGAGCAGATGGCGAAAACCCTGCAGCCGGCTCTTCCTGTTTTCGAGTCCGGACTCAGCAACGTGGCCGAGCTCTATACTTCCAAGTTCGAAACGCTCCCGGCGGACTTCTTCTCCAAGAAAGAGTCCAAGTCGGAGGAACTCGACGCTCATTTCATCCGCGACACCGTCGTCGATGGCTCTAAGATCTGCCTCGGTTCGCAGTTCGTTCAAGTCTGGACACTGCGCAACCCTGGCCCAGATGCCTGGCCTGCAGGCTGCAGTGTTCGACACGTTGGTGGTGACAACATGCTCAACATTGACAACAGCCGAGCCTTGGGCCAAGCCGAGCTGTCCAGAGCTTGTGAGAGCAATGTGATTGACCGCTCTGTTGAGGCTGGTGAGGAGATCTCTTTCCGTGTTGTTTTGAAGGCGCCCCAACGCGAGGGCACTGCTATCTCTTATTGGCGCCTCAAGACTGCTGAGGGAATGCCTTTTGGTCACCGACTGTGGTGCGACATCACTGTCGTTGCTCTGTCGTCACCTACTCCGGCTCAGCCTATCGCTGTGCCAGTTTCATCCTCCGAGACGGTCGATGCTTCTGGCTCTTCTCGCATGTATGAGCGCATTTTGCAAGCCAGGCAGGAGAGGACCAAGTCTGTCCAGCAGTCTCATGCCCAGCAGCTTGAGCAGCAGAAGATGGAGCGCATTCAGCGCGTCCGCAAGGCTGCCGTTGAGCGCCTGATGGAGAACCGTCGTCGGGAATCCGAGGCTGTGCGAGCTGCCATGCAACAAGAGTCAGCCCCGAAGGTCGAGGAGCCAGTCAAGCAGGAGGCTGCTGAGCTCCCGGTCGAGGAGAAGTCAGTCGAGCACCAGGCAGAGCCCGAGCTTCAGACTTCCCGCATGATCTTCCCCCAGCTCGACAAGGAATCTCCAGAGTCAAGCACCTACGAGTCCACCACGACTGCTCAGCCTGAGTCGCCAATGTCGGAGAAGAGCACCATCGCCCGTACCGTCACTGTGGCCGACGATGATGAGTTCTTTGAAGATGCCGAGAGCGTTGCTCTTCACTCTGATGACGAAAGCTTCATGACGGACGAGGAGTACGACATCCTCGACGCCAGCGACGAGGAGGGTTTGTAGGTGATTGTTCGCGCCTGCAGATGGCACAGTCTCCCCTTTGGTGCGCTTGATCGTCTTGCTTTTTGCGTATCTTTCGGTGTTTAGTTGGCGTTTTGGGCTATTGGACATACACTCCTTTCCACGGCAGGCGAGGCTGAAGCCGCTGCGTGGATGGATAGGACAGGGCGCTGCATGGCGCTTCTGGCTTGGATCAACCCTCAACCCCCCCTCCCAATTTGCGTATGGATATGGTTTCTTTTCCTTGCCCCCTTTGCCCCTTACCTGTGTCTCCCTGTCTCCTATAGGCTCTAGTTAAAATGCAATGAATGCTACGAGAAGAAAGGAAAATCTGCGCTGATTGTGATTGTAACATAGATGAATCCGTAAGGAAGTAGGTGAGGTTAGGTAGTGGGTGATGTGTGATGCAAGACTTTGCTGACTGCTTGCCTCTTTACAGCTTCTACACTTGCATGTGTTTATGTGTCGGTATGCGTAGACAGTACATTAAGACCTTGTGATGAAATACAACATAACAAGCACAAAAACAAAAATGCAACTTGCCTATGCCCTCTATACCAGCACACTACTCTGCCTCGTTTATTCATGTCATTGTATTTGTATCCCAGCCTAGCCAGCGCTACACACATATACATCACTTCCCACAACTCCACACACTGCAAGCCTGCGTAGATAGATGCAAAAAAACACGCCGTGTGTCTTACTTATGCGTAGTTTCTAAACTTGTATTTGTCGTTAGTCTTTCAACGTACAGTGAGGAGAGAGAGCACTGCTTATCAGTAACGCGAGGAAGTGAACAAATTAAGCACTGCGTAGTTTTCTTTTTTGGAAGTACGCAAGATATGAGTGTAGAAGAGTAGAGTGTGTGGATAAAGATAGAGAAGAAGCTATCACACTATTATAGATAAGGGAATAAGTAAAATTGTATTTAGTCGGCTACTTTGCAAGGAACATATAGATGCAAATGCATAAACACACGCATACACATAAACACACGCGTACACATTTGAATAGTCAAATAGATGCAGAATGCCTATAAGCACTAGACCTCCCTACCTACTGTTTATTATCCGCACGCATGCGCTTTTCTACCCAGATATCGCAATCTTGAACATAACGTGCGGGGTTGTAGTATGTTGGAAGGATAATTCCATAGATATAGTTTGGCTGTTGAAGATGAGCGTGATAATATATTAGGGCAGTGATTGCACGTCGGGGTCAAAGGTGCGGATGTTTGTACGTGTACATACCAACCAGCTAGATGCTCTGCGATAGATTGTGATCGAAATACGCGTATAGCATTAGTAGATGTTGAGGGTTTTGTGATGGGTGGGTGGAAGACTGGTTGGTGTAGACGTGTAGTTTGTGAGTAGGAGGTGGGTAAAGTAGAGTTAAGTAAAGTAAAGCCTATAGTGTACAACTCCCCGCTACTACCCCAAACTCGTGTATTATGTCAAAGAGACTATTGCTCCATTTACCAAACCATCGCACAGTGGAATATAATGCGAGAAAAGCTATCTATCTCCGTGAGCAAGAAGCGGGGTTACAAATCGCGCCGTTCAGGCAGGATAGCAATAAGCTCCACTCAAGTACCTAGCTTTTGGACCTAGGACTAAGTCCTGCTTTCTCGCAAGGGGGCTGTATGGGCGGAGGTAACCTCCGCTACTTGTTCTCACGTTGTGACTGATTGGTAGGCAAGGGGCTGTAAGTAATAGCTCCCGCTAGGCTGTCTTGGCCCGGACGCCTCCCGCTGGGTCAGCGTAGTCGCTACCTAGATCTCCGGGCAGGTTGTGTTAGTTTTGGTAGGCCCCGTTAGATTGTATTGGCCGCGCTGCTTATACCGTAGGTAGTACCAGGCGGCCGGTTAGTGTCAGGTCTTGTAAGTGGTGACTGCAGGTGGGAGTTCGAAGATCTGGATTTCTTTGCAGTGAGACTCGATATTTCATGGCTAAGACATGTGTCTCGTGCACGTTGAGGTTGATAGAAGGTTATGGGTGTGGCGTAGACGCACAGTCCAAAATTAGCGTAGGTGAGGCGGTTCGAAGCACTAGGGGCGACGCCTCTTGTCTTATGGCTCAGCCAGGTATGGAAGAAATGCTACGTTGAAGTGAGGAACAGTGGATTTGAGATATGCTGTAGTGGAAGATCATTCGATATCTCTTGGATATTGTTCATCCATTATGTGTCCATGCTGCAATCTCGTTGACGAAGTAAGTCAAGATTTTCGCTTGAGAACTGATATATCACGGCTTGTATACGCGGCTAGATCCTTGATTGACAAGGTGCTATGCAGTAGCTACATGAGTCTCATGTCTAGTATAACATGGTTGTCAATAGTATTCGACCGGATCGCTTTTCGTACGATAGTCATAACTGGATGAAGGGACTCAAACAAGCCTCGCTACCATCTGGGCACTTCCAGCTTGACAGAAGGTATGAAACAAAAGCTGCCGTCTATGGCCCGATCGGAAATTTTGACAGATTAGCGGGTTTCAACATTATGGTGTTTGGGATTTTGAACGGTAGATCGACGACACTAGTATGCGCTCCAATGGCCAACATCCTTGCATAGCAACTTGCAGACGGCCCTTGTCGAACAACAGGGTAGCAAGAGATAGCGCACGTCCTGCAAGGGTCTGAGTTTGTAGATTGACAGCTTCGGTGTAATTGTGTTCTCCACGTGGCGTGGGTCAATTGACCATTTGTGCAACCGACATGACCAATTGGTACTACCACGATCCATCTGATCGAGGTGATGTGACCGATCGAAGTATGGGGTGGGTGATGTTGTTGAGCGAGTTGCTACTGTTTTTACTGCGCCTCACATCGGGTAGTACGCGAGATGCACTGATTGCGGATGGGTCTCGGATCAGGCTTGGTACCCAACGCCTCAAGCTTAGACGTGCTCACAGGCTTTGAGCAGGGTTGCTTGACAAACTGATGACGTGTGGGCGGTATGTTCCACTGTCTTGATCCCAAAATGGAGGAGAGAGAACGGGTCCGCGGATTATCAGGCTAAACAGCTGATGCTGGCGGTACCTACTGGGCCGAAGTTCGGGGTGAATGCATACCGGTACACACGCATGGCAATTGTCTTCGGAGATAAATGTGGGGATGAAGGTCTTCCGACCATGTTGCTCGAAAAATCTCTTCGGGGACTAAACCGGGGTCGAACATGTTTTCCAAGAACATCGCCCAAACTGGTCAATGATGCCAACATCGGTGAAGGCATGACATGAGCTGGTAGACATCTGCTGCGTCTAGTGGCCTCCAATCGGATTCCACAAATCAACGGAAAGCGGGACGAGTCGTGCTAGCCGAGCAAGCCAGACTCGCAGGGAAAAGTTTGTGTATTGGATCCATAGAAGGTCGAGCGCAAATACGAGTGTTGTGTCATATGCTCGATCGGTTGTTTAGGCAACCCACAGATCTGCTCTTGTAGAATCGTGGTGAGCTCAGGAAGAGCTGGCAGCAGTTTGTGTGAGCAGATGGGCCATGCCGGTATCAAGCTCAGTAGGAGTGTAGAGAAAAGATGCTCCTCTACTGCTGTACCGCCTGTCGTTGTGCGGGCTACACAACGTGAGGCATGTCAACCCCGCATTGTACTGTGGTACCACTGTAAGGTTGCAATCAGCGTAATACGTCCGAAGCGGCTCACGTCTTACGCCGTAACCCTTGCGCGTCATGGATAAACGCCGGCGGAGATGTCGTTTGCTGACGTCGTGACTACTGCAAGGAGCGCCCGTCGTTGTGGTTGGTTGAGAAGGATGCACATGCGTCGGCAGTTTTCATGTGGTTCGAGCGCCTCCCCGGGGTATTCGGACCTTGTTCCATCGAGTTACTGGGGAAATGCAACAGGGCTACTCCGCAGAACATCCCCGCAAAAAGGATGCTTGGCATTCATGGCGTATGTACCTAGGGAGTTGCTAACGGCACCAGCGGACAGAGTTGTCGGGGAAGTGATGTCTGCCTGCCTTGAAATTGCTTATTCCGTGCAGGATAAAAGCTCCTGTGCTCCCTGGCATTGTTCCCATCTTCGCGCAACCAGGTCTCTTCACCTGTCTATCATCAGGTAGTCTTATTATCGTTGCTACCTGACAGCTCAGCCTTGCGTCATGCTGAGGCTTGCACAAGCATTTTTGGTGACGGGCTTAGTTGCCGCACAGCAGGTAAGCAAACCCCAATTGCGCCACACAGCAGTTTGTTTTCAATGCGCATCATCGTTTTGAAGCTGCAGAGATGCTTCCAGGGTTCGCACAATTCGTTGTCGCTTTGTCTCCATTCATCCGCCCAGTACAATTCCTCGCCAGAGTTTGTTGATGTGTGATGGCTAACAGTAAACAAAGTCTACCAACAGCTCCAGTCCCTTAGACAATGCTTACTCTCCGCCTTTCTACCCAAGTCCGTACGTACAGATATATAATTCGACAACATGGCCGTTCGAGAAGACTGACTTTGTCCAGATGGGTGGAAGGTCTCGGTGGCTGGGAAGCCGCTTATCAAAAGGCTCAGGCCTTTGTGAGCCAGTTGACTCTTCTCGAGAAGGTCAACCTCACCACCGGTACAGGATGGCAGGGCGAGGCTTGCGTTGGTAACACAGGCTCCATTCCTCGCCTCAACTTCGACTCTTTGTGCCTGCAGGACTCCCCGCTCGGTGTGAGGTTTGCTGATTACGTATCTGCCTTCACTGCTGGCGGTACGGTTGCTGCGTCATGGGACCGAGGCGAGCTCTATCGTCGAGGATACCAGATGGGCCAAGAACACAAAGCGAAAGGTGTTGATTTGCAGCTTGGCCCTGTCGTTGGTCCTCTTGGTCGCCACCCAAAGGGCGGCGTAAGTCCACCATGCAAGAAGTGAGAATTTAACTAACTGCTTACCAGCGTAATTGGGAGGGATTCTCGCCCGATCCGTACCTGTCCGGCCATGCGATTGCCGAAACAATCCGTGGTATTCAAGATGCCGGTGTCATTGCTACGACCAAGCACTTTATCATGAACGAGCAGGAGCATTTCCGCTCGCCTGGAACTTTTGAGGATTATGGCAATGTTGATGCGATCAGCGCGAACATTGATGATAAAACTCTCCACGAACTGTACCTCTGGCCATTCGCAGATGCGATTCGTGCCGGCACCGGCTCCGTCATGTGCTCTTACAACAAGGTCAACAACTCGCAACTCTGCCAGAACTCATATCTTCAGAACTACATCCTGAAGGGCGAACTCGGCTTCCAAGGTTTCATCATGTCCGATTGGGATGCTCAGCACGGTGGAGTTGCTTCCACTCTTGCTGGTCTTGACATGACGTGAGTTTGGCCCATCACATAAATTCAAGACGTAGCTAACGACATCAACAGGATGCCTGGAGATACAGACTTCAACTCTGGCAAATCGTGGTGGGGCACTAACCTTACCATCTCGGTTCTCAACGGAACAGTGCCACAATGGCGTATTGATGATGCTGCGATCCGTATCATGGCTGCCTACTACTATGTCGGTCTCGACGAGACCACCCCCGTCAACTTCGACAGCTGGACACGCGACACGTACGGTAACGAGCACTATTATGCCGAAGAGGGGTATACCCAGATCAACCAACACGTCGATGCTCGGTTTGAACACTTCCGCAGCATCCGCGAAGTGGCAGCTAAGTCGACGGTCCTCCTGAAGAACACTGGTGTACTGCCCTTGACCGGCACGGAGAAGTGGACTGCCGTCTTCGGTAATGACGCTGGAGAAAACCAATACGGACCCAATGGCTGCTCTGACCGTGGCTGCGACAACGGAACTTTGGCCATGGGATGGGGCTCGGGAACTTCTGACTTCCCTTACCTTGTCACTCCTCTCGACGCCATCAAGAACGAGGTCGCCAGCAACGGTGGCGTGATTCAATCCGTCACCGACAACTATGCCTACACTCAAATCCAGCAAATGGCCAAGGAAGCCAGCGTTGCCATCGTCTTCGTCAACGCCGACTCCGGTGAGGGCTACATCACAGTCGACACCAACTTCGGCGACCGCAACAACCTCACTCTATGGGGTGATGGTGACACGCTGATCCAAAACGTTTCAGCCCTTTGCAACAACACCATCGTTGTCATCCACTCGGTCGGCCCAGTCTTGGTCAACAGCTTCTACGAGAGCGAGAACGTAACCGCAATCCTCTGGGCCGGTCTTCCCGGACAAGAATCTGGCAACGCCATCGCCGATGTCCTCTACGGCCGCGTAAACCCTGGCGGCAAGCTTCCCTTCACCTTCGGCAGCAACGAGACCGAGTGGGGACGTGATCTCATCTACACGCCCATCAACGGTAACGCCAGCCCACAGGATAACTTCGATGAGGGCGTCTTCATCGACTACCGCGCCTTTGACAAGCACAACATCACCCCCGTGTACGAGTTCGGCTTCGGAATGTCGTACACGACATTCAGCTACTCGAACATCACCGTCACCAAGGCGAACGCTGGTGCTTACACTCCCACCACGGGCCAGACGATTGCCGCGCCGACTTTCGGTTCCATCAACCCCAACGTGTCTGCGTACCAGTGGCCCGCAGATCTGCAGTATGTCGAGGCTTACATCTACCCCTACCTGAACTCGACGGACCTCGGCGAAGCGTCGCAGGACCCCGAGTACGGCATCGACGTGACTCTGCCTGCAGGCTCAACCGACGGCTCGCCCCAGGCGCGCATCGCTGCCGGTGGTGCGCCCGGAGGCAACCCACAACTCTGGGACGTCTTGTTCAGCGTCGAAGCCACCATTACCAACACCGGCAGCGTTGCCGGCGACGAGGTCGTGCAACTGTACGTCTCCCTCGGCGGCCCGGAGGACCCCGTCATCGTCCTCCGCGGCTTCGATCGTCTGTCCATCCAGCCGGGACAGAGCGCTACGTTCCACTCGGATATCCTGCGCCGCGACGTGTCGAACTGGGATACCGTGAGCCAGAACTGGGTCATCACTGAGTACCCCAAGACTGTGCATGTTGGTGCTAGTTCGAGGAACTTGCTGCTGCAGGCGGATCTTGATCTTAGTGAGTATGCTGCGTGAATGGTGTTAGGGGATAATTAGGGGGGTTATGGTGGGGTGTACATACTCATAGGTTTCTGAGGAGATTGCGATGTTGCTTGTTGGTTTCGAGCGGCCTCGTGTTGAGGTTCTGATGAGTGTTGTCGGAGCCGTAAAAGAGTATTAATGATAATGATTATGATCCCATCTTTTACCTTACTTTCTCGTGTAATTGATCCCCAGTAAGATAACATGCTCGATAGTGTTTTACACCACACAGCATAACGATAGTTTGGGTTTCGAACAACAATTACACCCGAGACTATGCGTGAGGTTAACGTTTGTATGCGCACACAAGGCTGGCTAGCACTGTAACCACGAAAAGCAAAACACAACCTGCAATTAGTTGTCCACCAAACGACATCGCAATTCCACCCAACACAAATCCCGTTCGTAGAGCAGAAAAACCTTCTCAATCACCAACCAGGTCGGTATCAGAGCGTTCTTTGTTGCACGAATAAAAAGCATCAGCACGCACTTTGTAAGAAAAAAAACCGGCGATTCTGCGTCATCCATGGCCTATCGGGACCTCCTCCGACTGGGGGCGCGTTGGGTGCCGCACTGGAATAACAACGCGTGCTGCCCGATCCGAGTTTTATGGGGCCCAGTCAACAAAGAACGTCATGACGGTTATTTTGGGGGAACGAGGGAACTGTGGGGGGGTTTTTTCTTGCAGAGAGGCTGGTGTGGCTGGGGGTACGGGGTGTGTGTTAGGAACTGGGAATAGGGAGTGTGTGGTCGAATGTGCGATTGCTGGTGTCGTGGTGAGGCTGGTGTGATTGTATCGTGCTTGTTTGTGTTTGTGGTTGTTCTCGAGCGTGGGCAGACGAGGTTGGTGGGATTGGACTGGGGTGGCTTGGCTTGGTGCATGAACGGTTTTCGGCACACGGTTCGCGTCGTCTGGTCGGGTCACGGGGATGAGCACTGGGCACGCACGGATAGGTCTTCATTTCGTAACGTTCTGTCTGTGGCTCTCTATCGATAGCAGCATTCCTTCGTCATCTTGCGCGCGCGACATAGCCAAATACAAACGTCGCCAGACATTGCCGCCGCCGCGTAGGACGCAGCCCGCACATCGCATCGCGTCTGACGGTCGCTGCAGCCAATCTTGGTCGCGTCAGGCAATAACAAACAGCGCGACCTGCCAACGTGCGCGCCACCACCACCACCTCCCCCTCTTGCGACACGACTGCCCTCTGCGACGAGTTGTTGCTGCTGCGCGCCACACACAGCGAACCGCACACGGACTGACGGTAAGCATGCACCACCTCCTCGAGTCACGGCGGGGCGCGGCTTGTGTTGACGGTGTCGACGGGCTCGTCGCTGTTGCCAATTGCCCGCGCCGGGACTGGGCAGTCGACGTCGGCCTGGCTGTGCCTACCATGGTTCGCGCAGGCAGCCCACGACGCAAAAACAAATAAATAATGCGCCGTGCCCATGCTGACGGTCCTTCTTTTTCCCCCAGACACCCCCCGCGCATATGCAACATGCCGCCCTCATCGAGTAGGAGAGTCGGCCTGCGCTCCCGCCGCGAGCCAGACATGCACCCGCAGTCCGATGCAGACACGCCCGACTCCATAGCCACGCCCTCGCGCAAGCGCAGACGGGTGAGCAGCCCCCGCCGTCCCGCTACTGACGCCGCCTACTCACGCCTGGTCCAGCTGAACGGCGTCCACGACGTCGCCGCCGCCGCCGAGCCGCCGCGCGCCCGCATCACCGAGTCGGTCGCCAGCAACGACTCTAACACAACGCTGCCCAACGGCGGCGATGCAGAGCACCCCGCCGAGCCCGTCGAGCGCCAGAACCTCATCATCGCCTCGCTGCGCAGCCCCCAGTACACGCCCAATGCCGCCGTCGACTACGCCAACGACCTGCAGGCCCGCCGCAACGAGGGGCAGAACATCGCCGCCTTCGCCAAGATCGCCGCCCGCGACTGGTGCTTCTTCGTGCAGGAGACCAAGGTGCTCATCGGCCGCGCAGACTCGCAGGTCCGCCCCCAGCCCGCCAGCTCCCAGCCCGACATCTCAGGCCTGCCCCCGAGCGAGCCTCCTGCCACCAACTGGGGCGTCCACATCGACCTGGGCCCCGAGCGCCAGGTCTCGCGTGTCCATGCCGAGATCAGCTTCGAGCCGCAGGACCAGACGTGGTACATCCTCGTGAACAGCCGCAACGGCCTCAAGCTGGACGACCGCAACCTGGCCAGGGGTCAGATCGAGCCGCTCCACTCGGGCGTCTGCATCGGTATCATGGGCACCCAGATGCTCTTCCTGCTTGCCAATCAGGAGGATCTCTTCCACCCGCTGCTGTGGCGCCAGGTGAAGAACGAGGATGCAGCAGAGTCCGACAACGACGCCAACCAGCCGCCCAAGCCCCACCACCATGCGCATCCCAGCGGGCCCACTCCAAAGCGCGAGCACTATGACCCCTTCCCGCCGTCGTCACATCCACGTCACAAGCAGCAGTCGTCTCAGGCCTTCTACAATCAGATGACGTCCACGCCAGGCCGCCCGCATCCAGGCACGCCCCTGACCTTCCATCAAGAAATGGATCCCCGCAGCAAAGGTTCGCCCGCCTCCTTCTCCCGCGGCGTCGTGTTTGACTCCGCCGATGACATCGATTATAGCCTAGACTCTGCCAAGGATATCAAGCCACCCCATAGCTATGCCCAACTGATTGGCCAGGCCATCCTCAGCAGCGACGAGCAAATGCTCACGCTCTCCAGCATCTACGAATACATCAAGATTCGCTACGCCTTCTTCCGATTCACCAACAGCGGCTGGCAGAACTCGATCCGCCATAATTTATCTTTGAACAAGTCCTTCGAGAAGGTTGCGCGACGAACGGACGAGCCTGGCAAGGGCATGAAGTGGAAGATCACCGACGCTGAGCGTGACGACTTTATCAAGAAGCAACTCCTCAATCCTCGCAAGGGTGGTGGAGTCGCAATCGAGTATCGCGTGGACGGTTCTGGAATCAGTTCGCCTACCATCGGACACCAACGCGACCCCCCGTCGCAAGCCACAGAGCGCCTTGTTGGTGCTCTCGAGCATGATTACAACCACCAGACCGCTCGCGTCAAGTCACCTCCACGTTCCACTACACCGCCTCTATCGTCTGTTCCCATGGCAAACGAGTCTTACACACCTGACCGCGGCCCACGGCCCTATGGAGGCTTGAAAGCATCGCCCAACATTCGTGAACACAACCATTTCGTCACTCCCGCTAGGCGTCTTGCATATGGACACAACGACGGTCGCGCACCCACCGACATGAAGTACGACCCCAGCAGACACCTCGAGTCCTCTCCTGGCGTTGATCCCGTCAAACCCTCGCTTCCGGGCTTGAAAGGCGAAGCAGCAAACTCACCACCCACTCTCTACTCCGACGCAGCAACCAACAACATCCACAGCAACCACGACACACATCGCATGAACAACGCTCTCGTCACCCCACTCGTCTCGCGCCACGCTCCTCGTCTTGCCCCGCCTAGTACTGCGCAGGTGCCTAGTCAGTACATTGCCTTTTCGTCCCCGGCCCCGTTCTGGAAGTTTGTTGATCTGCCGAGTACGCCCGCGAGGGGCCTGTTGGATCTCAGTCCCATCAAACTTCAGCATCACGATGATAAGGAGGACGAGGAAGCGCAGCCTAGCAGCCCGCCGATGCTCCACGATGAAAGCGCGGATCCGGAAGACGACGATGCAGATGCAGATGCAGAGGCTGACGCCGACGGCAAGATGGACGACAACGACAACGAGGACGAAGATATGCAACCCGACAGCCCGAGTCGCACAGTCTCACGCCCAGTGAGTCGCCGCGACATCGGCGAGATGCGATCACGAAGCAACTCCAATTTCGCAGGCGGCATGGTGCGAGGCGTCAGTCTGACGAGCTTCGAGGAGGAGGCTGAGCCCGAGGAGGAGAGCTTCGATTTGAGCAAGTAAGTTATCTTCAACCTCATCGAGGGCGGTATTTCGTGTTCTGGACACAAGCTAATTTCTATCACAGGGGATTCCAGAAAATCGGCTCTTTCCACCGCAGTATGGCACAGGCTCATGGTATTGGTATCGGGCTTACGCCGCCGCCTATGCCCGTTGCGAGGACGAGTGTGCCGGCGAATATGTAGGCGGGTTTACGAGGGGAGTAGGAGGTAGTTATGGTGGTGAACGTGGTGTGATACGACTATGATGCGGGATTGGGTATGGATGTATGGATGCTTTGTCTTTTCGTCGTCGTGTATGCATGTTTATCTTTTCTGTACTGTTTGCGAAGGTGCTCGGCGCTGTGCTGTGCTGTGTTACATTACCAGAGGGTGCTTCTGGGTCCGCATCATGGATCATTGATCATGGATGGGTGGGTGGAAATGGACGCTGCGAGTTTGCTTATATGGGTTGTTTTCTTGTACAGATGTAGTAGTCCTGACTAGGGTTAGGAATTTTGTAGGGTGGGGAGGTACGGATGGTGGGCTGGGCTGGGCTGGGAGAAGGAGGGGGGAAGGGGGGAAATCTACACTTACTGCTCATACAAATGTCCGCTGTATTCTTGTTACGGTGATGTCCCACATGCGCTCCTATCAATCAGTCCTCTCACCCACATCCACACCAACATCACACCACATAACCTCATCCACGAGCAAGGAACAAAAACCAAAACAAAACAGCATAACATATAACTTTCATTCGCATTTGCATTTGCATTCCCCCACCCTAGCACCCATCTAAAACCCCCCATCCCTTAGCATATCCCATCCCATCCTCAGTTAATCTCCTTATGCGGAAACCACTTGCTAGCCTTAAGATGTTTCTCCTCGAGCGGCGCATCCAAGATACCCAGGCGGCGGATTTCGCCCGCCGACGGCGCGTCGTCGCGCTTGATGTTTGCTTCGGCCTTGCGGTATGCGGCTTGGAGGGCGAGGGTGCGTGCTGCCTTTTGGAGGGGGAGGGGTTAGCGTTGGCGTTTTGGGAACGGGAAGTGGGAGGGGGATAGTCTGGGGGTATGGGGAAGATGGGGATATGGAGTAAGCGTACTTCTTTCTTGTGGTGCAGACACTCGTAGTAGTCCTCGAGGACGGGCACGCATTTCCTCTTCCCGGAGTCGTCTTCGGCGTTTGTGTTTGTTACGTAGCAGGCGAGGACTTCTTGCCAGAAGGGGAAGCAGCGGGAGGGGCCTGTTGGGGAGGGGTGTTAGCGTGGGTTTGGGGGGGTGTTGGAGGGGGAGTTGAGGGGAGTTGGGATGAGGGCGGCGGGCGGCTTGGAGCGTTGAGTGGCATGGCGGAGGCGCTGTGGTTGTAGATGTGCAATTTTCAGGGGACTGCGTAGGTTCGGTGGGCGGTGCGTATGCTCGTGGGGTGTCGTCGCGGCCGTTCCTGGTTCGCGATCGTAGTAGGTTGCGCAATTAAAGCCACTGGCGGGTTTTCTGGAGCAGTGTGACACCCAAAAGTCTCTCGTTTTCGGTACAAGGCCTATCATGCAATATCGAAGCCCTCGCATCGTCGCCGCCGCCGTTGTCGTTGTTCGCGCTCGTTTCGCAGCCGGTCGTAGTCGTGCCATTGCTCTCCCCTCCGTCCCTCCGCCGCCCTCGAAATCTTCCTCCAGGCTCAAAAGTAAGGCGTGCAGTACGTACCACCAGCAAGACCATATCCGGAAGCCATTGTCGCGGTGCAGATGTGGGGTTTCTTGCCTCAGGTGTAGAGCTTCATTGACGTGCAGTCAAGCTCGGCTTAGTCATGGGTAAATGATCGTCGCTCTTGGCAACGACGACTTCCATTTTGAGTCAATTTCATCTGCATGTTTGCATGACTCTGCTATGTTCGTCGTTGTTTGTAGTAGCAATGCTCTTGAATCTTGTTTGATTACATTAAATGGCCTGTTGACGCTCAGATGGGCCATGAATACCATTTGTTTACGTTTGCTCAGCCATCTCGCGTTCTGAGGCGTGTTCGTTGCGCATTTTCAGAGTTTGCACTGATACTCTAAATCTTGGTTCTTTTTTTCCAATAGTTCATTTGAGATCTACAACTCGTTGGGTCGTGATTCCATTGACGAAATTCCCAGTACCAAGAAATTCTATAGAGCCGCGCGTCAAGCAAAGCATTGTATTTTCCTGTCCTGTGGGCGGCGGGGTATTTAAGAACCATACTTCCGCTTTACTACCACGTGTGGTTTTCCGCGCAGATCATGCTGATCCCAGAAAGCTTACGTTCACGGTGAAGCCTTGAGATTTAACTCGGTACTGTCGTGCTGATACACGTTTATTGCGGTGTGGAGAGAACGGTTGCAGTCGGGGTCCCATCGTCTATCACTTCCTAAACGAAATAATCCGTTCCTGCCTGTGGCTTCGCAGATGATATGATTACACTGATGAGAAGCCTTTCTGATTGTTCTTGGTTTGGTGGGGGCTTGGGTTTGTATGCGGGATCGGTTCACTAACGCTGCAAGGTCTTAGCCTGCACGGGTTTGAACAACTATGGTTCGTATTTTCTCAGCACACCAGATTATCGTGTTAGGAACGACCGGCCTCCGCTTTATCGTGCATGGCTGTGCTTTCTTCGGCGATATCGGGCTGATTCTGACGTATGGCGATGAACGTCGTTGCTATGCGCCTCAACTATTCCACCACATCCACCACCTCCACCACATTCAGAAACCCGAAACACTGAAACCACGGATCAGACCTCCCGAGATGTAGACTTTGATATGAACGATCTGGTAAATTAGTCATCGCCCTCAAGAAGACCAGGGTAAATTATGAGCCCTGTGCACCTGAACTACGAATGCCACACTGGAGACTTCGATCGACGGGAAACTGATCCCTCATACCATCTTCATGGATACGGATATGTTGAGCTGGAGGTACCAGTAGATCAGGTGCTTTGACGAGCAGGCCTTCACACGAACCGACGAGATATACTTCTTTCTTTTTGAGATTGTCGGTGGACTCGTCATCCAACCTCTGACTTACCCAACCAAGAAGAGGAGGACGCTTCATTCGAGGTACCGTAGCCTCCGCATAGATCACGAATCTTGCTCTACATCTCGGTCTTATGGGTTTCTACCTCTAGATGAAGGGGTGAGTGGGCCTTCTTGGGCGGAACTGGTGTTTCGTTCATTCCGCCGTAGGCCAGCAAACCATAGACCCGTTTTGTTCTGTTTGAAATCTTAATCCATCTTCAAGTGGCGCTGGGTCTCTCCGAATATGAGACTCTGTCTGATCGTCAAGCGGAGGTGAAACTTTGTCCGTCATGGATGCAAATACCCATGGTGGAGGTGACGCTCAATTGACCCATTGAATCGGAGAGTCTCAAGTAAGGTAAGATTGCTTTTGTGGGCTTCTTACGTTTCTATAACTTGTACTTTAGCTGGATCAACAGAACTATCGAAATTATACTCGTTGTACCAATTCTTGACCACTCGCCTCAACGCGCGTTCACTCTATTCCGTTCTCGTTACGAATCTGTTCCCTGGTAAAATTGAGTTTCAACGAACGCGCGTACTCGATCCTTGCTTCGGTCTTGCTTTGTGGGCATTCCAGCATTCATGCTTGGGCCGACTGTGAGCTATATATATTTGCCGATGACTCTCTCCACAATCATAAAAACCACTACTTCTCTACTGACTACAGTCACACGAATTGAACACAACTCTAGGATGAACGCTCCATGCGATGGCCTGGAGTCTTCTCCTGTTGACGACTATACTCTCACGCCACAAGACTACAACGTCTATGTGGCTTCACGATCTAACGGCCCTTCTTCCTTGACATTGATCGACATTGTGTCGAGCATCGTCTTCTCCAATGGTCCTAAAGTCTCAGTCTTGACTGAAGCACCTAAGCACCTGTCCCGCTTCTCGTCCCACCTGGTCTCAAGGCTTACCAAGGCCTTGACTTTTATCACCTTCGTTTGCCTCTTTGCCCAAGCTTCTGCTCAGGCAGACAAGGCGTACCGTCCACCTGGTTGCTACTGGAACGATGATCACCAGGGCATGTTCTGCATCGACGAAGAACAAACTGTCAGGCAATGTGCCGCAGAGGGTGATGGCTTCCGTTGTGATGATAACAACCCTTCTAACAAGAGGTCTTCTTCGACTTCGGCATTCTCTTCTGAAAAATGTGCTGCCGCGACATGGGCTTCTGCAAACCCGGCCATGGCTATCAACAACACTGGGGACAATATACAGTAAGTATTGACACTTTTGTAACCAGCCTACCATTTTGTGTTCAACATTAGAACAAACATTGCTCTATACGTTATTCATCTAACTAACTATCTGTTCTCAATTCAGGCACGAAAACAACGTCATCGAAGGCATTGCTCAAGAGCTCTTCTTCTATGAAAACGAGGTGGCTTTCTACGACGCACGCTCATGGGAATGGTTCAGTCGCTGGGCTAAAGACCACGAAGCACAATTCCAAAAGCAGCGTGAATCCCGAAAGAATCTCACAGTTCACCGTTTCTTTGTGGAGACTACGCTTGACTGGAAGGACGATAATATGCCCTGTAATGACAATGAATGTCTCGCCCCTGGGGTAAGTATTGTGTCTTTCTTAGATCTTCGCTCCTTCTCAGTATTGTTTTGAAACATCCCGAAGCAGCTTTGCTAGAAGATTCTTCGCTGACAATCAGTTTCTCAGGTCAGGTCTCATACGGTGAGAGAACGCTTCAGCGATGACCGGCATATGGCACGTAACATCATCAATTCTTTAAAGGCTCTAGAGAAGGCTGAAAGAGAAGTCAAGGATTACACCCAAACGCTCGAGGCTGCAAAATCTCACTTGGATCGATATTGCAAAGAATTTTCCAAAGTTTTCTTCCACCCTGAAACCCAAGGCAAAAAGAGGATGTGTCTCGCGACAATTATTGAGATCGTCATGGCTGTCGTCGGTGCAATCATAGCTGTGGCGTTGATTGTCGCGAGCTGGGGAACTCTTACTGCTGGTCTCATGGCTCTGGAAGCTGGAATAATGGCTACAGAGGACGGTGTCACTGTTTCGGCGATATCGGGTGCAAGATTCGTAGAGGCATTGCTAATGCCGATCATGACAACAGTCACCATTCTCAAACGTCTAGACTCAGAGACATCAATACCTCAGGTGTCAGCCGAAGATGCAAAAGTCGCCATTGCCTACTACGATCTCGTCGACAAGGCAATGAGCCCTACATACCCTGTTCCGACCGGGGAAAACTATGTAGATAGCAATGGCGAGATGTTAGATTCGGGAGCGTTTGGTATGTGGGAAGGTTTAATCACCAGCGGACTTCACGCGAGTCCAGAGGGCTCTAGTATTTACGAGCAGACCGAGGTAACGGCAAACTGGATCTTCGACAGGTATCCCAGGAAACCTCGGCCTCAACCGTTCACGATCTCCAATACTACTCAATCCCAACTGATCGACGATAGCCAGTCAATGGTGACTCGCATCTCCAAGATGTTCGGGATCCGTAGAAGGAGAGGTGATGAGCCGTGCGATCTCCGCGAGGACCATTCAAACATCGTGCTCCGTCTGGTTAATGCAGACATGACACCTATGGATATCTCTCAAGCTCTCGACTTCTTGGAAAACAACTTCGGGAAAATACACACTCGCTGGCAACAGCTGCGTCAAAGTGTTTCCAAATTTCCATCTGAGCATTTGCCGTTGGCGATACCGCGATCCGAATTCCCAACACCGAAGATTGAACTACACTCGGGTGGTGTCTACCTACCCTGGGGAACTGTCTTGGCTGGTCTCCGCTTCGATGGCGCAGAAGGGAAAGAGTTTTCCAAACAGGACGACTCCTCGAAAATGCAATGGCGATCGAAGGGAAAGTCGGGATCACATCTTCAGAGACGTGGAGGGCACTCTATCGATGTTTCCGGTCACATCCTCCATGAGGTTCGTGGAAATTTGGACTCACTCGCGGCATTGAACATTGTCACTCCGATGAAGAATGGGAAGAGAGATGAGTCTAACAACTGGTCTATCAGGCAGGAAAAGGTTGGTGACGATGATATCTTTTCCGTTGACATCCAGGCAGCAAAGGTCTTCGAAAACGAGATCCACCATGTGAAATGTGGCGTGGACAACTACACCGGCGACACAATCCGCAACGAGAAGGGATGCCACCGCTTTCTCAATGGAGTTGTTGGACACATTACGGGCAAGATTAAGAAGTCGCATCAAAACGCAAACAAAGCTCCCACGCAGATGGCCAAGTACGTTTCGAAACGGTTCTCAACGTACACAATGTGGACCAATGTCGAGCGTCTCACAAAGACCACCAAGGCTGAAGACAAGCTGTTCAACAATCTCAAGAACAGCCTTGTGACGAAAGGATACAGCGACGGAAACTGCTTCGTTCGATGTGGAACAGGAGGTTCATTCTATGACACAGGCCTCGGTCCCATTTCCAGGCACGAAAAGAGCCTAGCATGCCAGACGGTATGCTACGATCCGATTAAAGATCGCTACGAACGCCTGTACGGCTTTGGCTCCGAGAAGCCCGCAGAACTCTCACCCTGGTCCCTGAACGAACAGGTAATCAACGACGTTTCCTACCGCGCATACCAAGACAACTTCCGGCCTGGCATTGTGAACCTGAATCCCTATGTTCCCGTTATCCAAGACGAAGCGCCTATCCTGCCCGTCTGCGTTTCGGAACTTGAGTACAACAAAAACGGCCTTGTTTGCAGCTGTGGAAACAAGTACGGCGACATGACAGAGTTCTTCGCCAACTCGATCAACTTGAGATCGGCGTATGGAAACAAGCAGTCTGAATGGAAGGCTATCAGGAGTTGTCTTGATCGCATCAAGCCATATGCTTACCACCAACCGGCTGTCTACTTGCTCAATGCCTGCCACGTCATTTACACTATTGTAACTCCTCCCGGAACCGGCTCTGTTCAAGGTAAGTTTTGTTATGTTCTGTCCGTTTCTTCAAAACCGTTTCATCTGACACTTACCCCCACAGAATCCCACGACCTGGGCCATTACGGTCACAATCTGCGCGGCTGCCGCATATACTGGGACTTTTACCGACGCAACACGCATCTTTCAGACGCACAGTTGGATGATGAGATGTGCAAGCTGTGGGCTCAAAATGCGAAGGACTTTGACAGGGGGCCCAACCACAAGCATCCTGACTTCAGCTACGTCAATGACTTGCTCGAGGACAAGGCATGTGACAGCTACAAGCGGCGTTGATGGGACACAGGGAGTGGTTGGGGATAGATGTGGAGCCGACGGGGGGACCGGAGCGGTTGAGAACAGAATGGGTAGAGTAGGCAAGATGAATACGTGCGAGACGGTCTTAGTGTTACTACTTGTTGGAAAGTGTATATATCCAATCGATGCATTGCAGAAGTGGTCGATTGCTTTTGTATTTCCAACACTACACTCATCCTATTGGCGCGGACTAGAAGCACAAGATCGCGGAGTTCTAGACCTCATCTCAGATCTGCCTCTGACAAGAGTATTTGAACGAAATCTTAGTCTTATCCTTCTTGCCAGAAGGAATCGTTTCTTCATACGATACCAGTGCTTCACCGCCAGCTCGAGGTCTGTTCGGTTTGCCAGCTAGGGGCTCCGATTGCGTCCCAAATGAGTACGACTTAGGAACTGGAGCTGGTGCTGGACGTCTGTTCACTTTACGGCCAGTGAACACGATGTTTCTGGGCGTTCCTGTGAAGCATCTACCGTTGGCGATACCATAATCTGGATTTTCAACATTGAAGATTCGACTTCGGTCAGCTAGGGTTTACCTACGCTTCACTTGTCGGTTTTTGCGCACTAGTTACTACTGAAAGTCTATGCTCCCGTCGCGCGTCGTATTCGGTCTACCGGTTGTGGATCTTTAACGCTGTGATCAGACCAGGTCCATCGGGGTACGCGATGGAAGTCAGTCACGCGGCCAAACCCACTATCTGGCCTGGACCAAGTTCTCCCACGCGACTCACTTCCATCGCATACCCCGGTGGTAGGAATAGGCCAGTTTTGGTCAGCGCATTAACACTCGCGGCCAGTGCATTCATGTTGGATCCCCCGAAACCACCCTCTTCGTAGAAAAGAATTGATAAATGAAACTTGACAACTTGAAAACCTTGATGCCTGGACACATGATCGGGGGTGACAGGATGAAGAACTGCGTCGACCCAGACCTCTCATTGCGAGTCTTAGACCGTTGGTGGAAATGGAGAGAATCGCATCGCGGTTCTGGAACACGACAACAAACTCGACGAAGACATTTTAATTTAAAATCCATCAAATGGCGTTATCTATTAGTACGGAAACAGTTAGCCGGGATCAGCCGCACCGGAAATCCCCCACAATCGACCTTTGTGGCGGGCTGAACATCAGCCTCCAGGTACCCACTCATCCTTGTTGGACGGAAATGTGACAGCCTCGCACCCACTGTCGTAAGGTCAATTGTGGATACATCAAACACACACAACTGCTTCCCCCGAGTTTTGGCCAAAATTGGTAACCCGAGAGATCAATTCAGAGTGCCTCTCTCCGTAGTTGATGTTCTATCACTCTGAAAGCTATTTCTTAACTGACAACCCGACGTTTGGCTACGGATTTGGAGCCTTGTTGAGTAGCTGAAGCTAAAATGCACTCAGGGGCAAAAATTTCCACATGTTCTAGTATCAAGCCACACAGCGAAGCGCCGAGCTGAGCAAGCACCCGACTCCCGATGGATCTTGCTCTAGCCTACTTAGGCCCGGGTCAGTGTTAATCAGGGCCTGATGGATTGAAATCGACCGCACTTGCTTGCTTCTGCTCGATTAAGATGATTACATAACAAAGTCTATGAAGCATATCGGCGCAACCAAGCTTTTCGTTGGACGGATTCCCCTGCATGGTTCACTGTCGAGTGTATTGGCTGCAGGGGACGGCAAAAATGACTTGGTTGATCGAGCGTTTGAGTACTTAAAGATCGCATGGCTGCTGCAATAGCTACATACAACGAGGCTCTACTTATAAACATATCGGCGTGGCACCTGTCTTTCTCGTAACATCCTTCAAAACACAACATCAACGTTACCACAATGCGTCTACTACTTCCGCTTCTTATGGTCCTTGGGGCTTCCGAAACATTTGCACTTCTGGATCTTACAAAAACGGTCTCGTCAACAACATTAACGAGCCAAGCCTGTGTGACAGGGTCCAAGTCAACCAAAGCAAAAGGCGCTCTCCCAACATCTACCGTTATATCGACCAGGAAAACTCCAAAGCTCAAGGTCACCTACAAAAACTCGACCCCAGTTGTGACATATACTGCAAAGCCCATTACCAAGACAGTAACGAGTGTTGGCACCTCTGTCACGACTAAGACAGACTCCGCTGTCACAGATACCTACAGGTAGAGTCACCTTTGAAGCTCTTGACGATATTCTGCTAACCTTTCATGCTCCAGTACCACATTGACCCTGTCAAGTACTATCACATCGATTGCAACTACGACAACTGTTTTCACCAGCACAGATTCAATTTCTACAACCACTACATCCACCGTAACCATTCCTACGCCCGCTGGCTACGTCCCCATCCAGCAGTCATCGGGAGAGACGAACTATCCGGTTCAAGCTAAGGCTCGAAGCATTGGTCATCCGCATGATGTCGCTAAGAGGGATGCCAAGTTCTGCAAGAACGCTCCTGTCATGTACCCCTTCAGCGTAACATGTAAGATTGAGCCTTTCACTTGGTCGAACTCCTCGCTAATCACCCCTTAGGCACAAAATACATCCAAGTTGAATACACGATTGAAATCATCAAAACCAAGCCCACGTCGACTACCACTGTTGTTCCGAAAGCCTCAACCATGACCTCAACCTCGATCAGTATTAGCACGACGACTATCATGCCCCGAGCCTCTACCACACAAACCTTCTCAGTCACCTCTCTCATCACCACATCCACTACCTTGACTGAGAGCAGCACTGTTACCACCACAAGCACTGTCGTCGTGCAGAGCCCGGGTCCCACGGTGCTCGCCGCCTGCCAAGACTACATCTTGGGCCCTCGTGTCGCAAGTGGCAAGTACGCCTACAATTACGACACCTCGGCTGCCAATCCCACCTACCTAACCCCAGCCGTAGCCAACGGCTACGAATGCTGTGTCGCCTGCTTCAATAACCCAAACTGTCTGGTTGGCGCATATTCGACTACGGCCAACGTCTGTGTAGTTACTGTTGGAACTACGTGCCCGGCTAGTCAACCGTTGGCCGGCTATTTCACGGAGACGACAGGCCAAAATCAGTTCAATGCCCAGTACTGGAACGGTCCTTGCGGAAGTTGGGCATATAACAGTGCTGAATAAGGCGCGATAGATCTGTCATCTAGCCATCTTTAATTGTAATCCATTATAATCAACCATTATTCATGTCCAATTGTATTCTATTTCAAATTGTCATGATTTTTTCGAGTGTACCAAATTATCTGTGCCAAACATTGTAAGACATTTCAGACGTTGAATGGGTCTTGCTTGTCGACCTCAGGCCCTATTTAGTGGCCGACTGAAATGATGAGTCGAGCGAGCTCTGTTGTTGACACTCGCACTTTCACTCGGCGACTCTGAGAATGCTGTCATGAGTGAAAAATATCAGTCTTACGTAAATCTGAGGGTAATTTTCCCTAGCAACCACCATCCTTGCAGAAAGAGTAGGAGTGAAATGTGACATTCGCTGTCTAGTCAGATGCTAGGCCAAACTGATATATACCCAAAAGGTAGAACAGCGGTCTAGCTATACGAAAACCAACTGCAGTCCTTTCACCCAGCTAATTGTGACATGATATATATTTCAGTAATACATGGGCTGTATCTCCGAGCATAAGCATCCTGATTTAGCTACGTGAATTGTTTGCTCGAGAGAAAAACGTATGACATTATCAAGAAACGACGGAAGGATGGGGAGAGGTTGAGTGTGTTGTCATAGTGTGTTTATGTTGAATGTACTGACACACAGACACAATACAGTAATAAACTAATGTTATAACGCATCACACGGGCTGGAGCTGACTATCTTTACACACTGTAACAATTGATAAGAGTGCACAGTGACGATGACACTGAAGCAGAGCTAACCAATAGCATAGTCTCTTGATGACTGGCTCCTTGACGTACTCATATAAGAATACTTATTCCAAAGCCTAGGTGGCAGTACACTGATCGAAGTTTTGTTTCTCAACTTTGAGCTGTGATAAACTCTTCGACCAAGAGACGGGTAAAGACCATACATACAGCATACATAACTTAGAAAGTGTATATTCAAAACAATGTGCAATGAAGGGTTCCTGATTATCTAGATGTTGCCATTTTGGGAAAGCAGCACGTTTCCCTCCACAAAAAGACAGTCCAATCACTACTATCTATCAAGAGCCCATCCACGCCAATGTCGACGACCATACATCGCCAGAGTGTAACAGCTCACATGACAACACTGCATAACCTCCCACAAGCAGGCATCCTACATGCTCCCAAGAATCAAGATCTACAGTCGCAATATAAGCTCTGCTATGCCTTGAAGGATGTAGGCACGTTGTCGCTTGTCCTGATTCCCGACCATGAACTTTGGCTGAGCAGGAGCGTCGTGTACTGAGCTCCGCCGTGTTGTGACAGGAAGCGGTTTGGTGTTGTATCTTGTATCGATGGAGCAGCAAACCGCTGAGATTTTGGAGTAGCTTAATGACTACCTGAGCGTACTACTTCCAAGGAATTGAAGTATTTGGGTATGAGGTTGAGAAGAGGATGCTGAAGTAATCGAAAGCGTCTTGCAAATGTTGATAAGGGAAGGTGAAGAAGGAGTTGAACGCAAGGTCGTGATGATTCAGCAGGATGGTCTGAAAATTTTCGTCGTCGCTTTCATGTACTAGTTTCGGCCTGGGATCGATATTCTCAAGGTTCGAGAACACGTTGAAGGGGTCCGGCAGATTTTCATGTTGTTAATCGATAGCAAATGGAAGAAAGTTAGGAGTGTGAAAGGTTTCAGACGTGGTGATAGACAGGCAGCAGCAGTGGGGTAGAGGGTTGTTGATTGCGCGAAATCACGCATCTTTTGAGCAAAAGTCGGCCAGCATAGCCCACGAAAACATACTACGGTATCGCCAGGCTCCGCGATCACAGCTTGCCTGTATCGCTCACTCAAATGTAGTCTTCTTGCCTTGTGATTCCACAATTGCGTGACTGGCACGCTGAGCATTAGTATGCGCTGCACCGCTCTTGATCGTTCGTGGGTCAACCTTCTCACGCGGCTTCCACTCCCGCGCTTCCTTCTTACCACTTTTTCTGTCACCACCACCTTTTGAGAAGTTTTGCCATCGATCTGGGTTCACGCCGTCAACGGCATCAGGCTCCTTCTCCTTGCCATATCTCTTGTTGTAGCGTGTGGTTGCGTCCTCGGCAAACTCGCAGCGCAGCTCTCTGCCCATGAACTTGTTGAGAAACCATTTCCTCTTCTTATTGCTCTTCTTCAAATCGTCTTCGTCGTCGGAGCCATCGCGAGCCTTTTTGTTCTTGGACAGTTCAGCCTCGGTCTTGTACACAAAGCCATTGACAGCCGCGGTTGCAGCCTCGACATCTCCGAACGTTACCCACGCATAGCCCTTGCACTTGCCCGAGTCCTCAAAGGTGGCCATGTGTATGTGCTCAAGATCTCCGACCTGTGTGTAGTGGGTTTGAAGATCCTCCTTGGTGACGTCGAACGAGAGGTTGCCGATGAACACGCGCTTGTTTGGGGGGTGTGCTTGCTTGACCGCGCCTTTTCCGCGACCGCCACTCTCTTCGACCTCTGTCTTGGGCTTGTCAGGCCGTCCCTCGAAACTCTTGGCATTCTTTATGAGCAGAGCGCGACCGTCCATCTTGGTCTCAGTCAGGGCAATGGCCGTGTACATAGCCAACTCTGTGGAGAAATCGACGTATGCGAAGCCCTTGTTCAACGGCTTGGTGGTCCAGCTGGGGTTCACTGGCTTCGTGGGTGGCGGCAGGTGTACCCTGGTGATCTGCTCGCTCGTGATTTCGGTGTTCTCGACCAAGAACTTGCGGAGCGAATCTTTTGTCGCAGACCACGGCAGGTTGCCAATCCAGACGCCAAACTCTGAGCGCTTCCCTGCCTCGGCGATCTCGACGCCTGGCTTTGCACCTGTTGAGGCTTCGGTGCCATCGGCGGCGGCGGGCGTGGGGTTCAGCTTCGCTTTCTTCGCTTTGCGGGCGGCTTTCTTGGAAGCAGGCTCGGGAAGGTCCACGTCTATCTCAATCTCGTCGGGAAGAGCGTCTCGCTTGCGCTTCTTTGCTGGTGTGTCTGCGTCGTCGTCTGTGTCGGGCTCGACAATCTCTACGGGCTCGACCTTGGGAGCTGATTTTGACCGCTTCTTGTCTTTCTTGTCCTTCTTTTCCTTGCGCTCCTTCTTCGCGACAGCGAACTCCTCGTACGACGTCATCTCGGTATCTTCAGACATGGTGATATATAGTCTGTGTTCTGTCGAACTTTTCTGCCGTTCGCATTTTCCCAAGAAAAAGTTGTGGGTCGTATGGCTTACTCATCGCATTAGCGCGTTGTCATCCACATGAACGCGACATATCGCGATTTTGGTCTCCAGTGCTACAATCGAGGCATCCAAGTATTCTGCTAGATCTCCTGAAGGCATGAAGAGCGTTGTGCGATGCATGGAACAACCGCCCTTCATCGCTCACCATATTGACGAGTCCAATCCTAACGTAGCATGACTGCTCGCCGTACCTAGGCCAACCACATCCTAGTTACGACTTTGTTGCAGCCCTTCTAGCATCATGGTCATCAAAGAGGGCGGAGGGCGATATGTCTCTTCAATGAGAGGGGCTCTGCGGCCGACTGAACCATCGTTGTATCTATTCTCGCGCTGAAACCTACGCTCAGCCTTCTTGAGAACATCAACGATCGATCGGCAACCGTCAGCAGAAAAGCAAGGCATCCCAGGTACCTTCCTAATCGTATAATTCTCACCGTGTACTGTATTGCGGGGTGTCTCTTTGCTCCTCCACTCGAGCCAATGAATTTCAACTTTCGCGAGGCTGCCTGCAGGCAACACTCTCACTCCGTCTCTTAGCTTTGAGTCAACAGTCTTCACTTGACTCAGCCTTCTTCCAACATCTGCTATTACCTCTCATATTTATACTTCGTTTTCTGTAGTCTCACTCTCACATCTGTATTCTCTCATCATGGGTTCCAAATCCTCAAAGGCCGTGCAGCCTCAACAAGTAAATGTCACTGCCTTCGAACCACAGCATCATAAACATGCAGACGAGACCGAGCCCTGCCAAGTTACATCATCGCGACGGCCAGTGTTGAAATTGGAGACTTTGTTCCAAGACGACAGAAACATTACAACCTCAACCGCTACTACTGCCCTATCTGCATCATCACAACGACGCAACAGTGCAGCGGCGGAATCTTTCAAGACTTCTCTTCACAGCATGGATCCTGAAAACACGACTTCTTCTTTTCACGTCTTGGAGACCGCGGAAGGAACGGAAGCAGTCGTAAGCGTACCATCAGACCCTCCACCAGTACATGACCCGTATTCGTCAATACCAACCAGTCCGTTTTGGGATCCGACCAACCCAGATCATGAACCAACCAGCCCGGTCAGCCCGACCTATGAACCAATCAGCCCGAGGTTCCAACCAGTAGACATAAAATGTCTAACCTGCTGTACACAACTTCCAAAAGAGGACGATCCGAAGTATGCAAAGGAGGTGATCAAGCCTTGCAGGTTATGCAACAACTCATTCTGCACTGCTTGCGTCAAATCCATGTTCATCGAAGCATGCAAGGACACCTCTCGTATGCCGCCGCGCTGCTGTGTTCAGATCAATCTCCATCATGCACGACCGCTTCTGACGGAAGACGAGGTGGCAGAATACAAGTCCAAATATGAGGAGTGGTCCACAGCGAAGCCATTCTACTGCCCGGCACCAAAATGCTCCGTGTTTATACCAGATAGACTCGTACCACAGAGCGCGAAGAATAAAGGGAAGCTGCGCGTGGATTCTGGCGTCGGTACACCAACATCGAACACATTCGCGTGCCCAAAGTGCGAAACAGATATTTGCACAGATTGTCGACAAACTGCACACGCGAATAGTTTATGCGTCAAACTTGAGTTCGGCATTGATACCGAAATGGCGAAACTACTAGAGAGTTGGGGATACAAAAGATGTCCTAAATGCGGCCAGGGATTGAAAAGAATGCACGGCTGCAATCATATGGAGTGTAGGTGTGGCGCACATTTCTGCTGGGGTTGCTTGGAGAGTAGAGACGATTGTGTGGGAGGATGCGCTGAGGACGAGGATGACGAAGACTACAATAGCGACGAACAAGAAGAGTCAAATGAGCCCGAATCAACTACGCAGACTGCCGACACAGCAACCCTAACCACTACACAACCTGACGACACAGCAAACACTCAGGTACCATCAGCTGAGGCTTCAGAGTCAACAACGCCGCCCCGGCTCATCGCCCGCTCTGTGAATCTCGATGGCAGAGGAGCGAATTATTGGATAAATCAAGACCTCAACTTTGGCGACGAGCCGACCGAAGACATCCAAGACCGCTCCTGGGACTGCAGACACAACTTCTCCGTTTACCAAGTGCCCTTCGCTGCCGCCTTGAACAAGACACCCTCCGCCATCACCATAGAGTGCGAGAAGTGCTGGTGCACAATTCATCCAGAGATCCGGGCGCCTATACCAGTGTCCACGAGTGGCGAGAGGATAGTATCCGGGAACAGAAGCAGGGGACGTGGCCGCGGACGAGGAAGGGCACGATTCGCACCTCTCCGCGGTCTATACCGAGCCGACGCCACAATCAGCGAAACATCCACGCCCACCCTGGCCCAGAGCGTACCAGCCCGCGAACCGTCGCCGATGCAGGACATCCAGTACACCAACCGTATCCTCGACACATACGGGAACATCATCACAACAAGCAGCACTGAGGCCCCGCGTCGCACTTCCCTCGACGACCCACATCCTCTCGTGCAGGCTGAGAAAAAGACTCCCGGCGACTTTGCATTTTCCTCCTCCACTTCTTCTTCTGCTGCGCCACAGTTCAGTCTCGCGCACGAGTGCAAACGCTGCAGGACCCTTGTGTGCGAGACGTGTAAAGCGGATCTTGAGCGGGTAAGGGATGAGAGGGTGGAGCGGGAGGTAAAGGAGAGGGAGGAGCGTGAGGCAGCGAGAGACCGACATTACGCTCTCTTGACTCGATAGATTCAGAACGATATGTGTTTTGCTATTCCAAGGCTGCAAAAAGCGATTTAACGTACAACGTCATGGTGGGAATGCATTTCTGGGAGCGGCCTCATCTTCAGCCGTACTTGGGAGGAAAAAGGGGAAACGAAATCTTCATACTGGCTAGGTCATGACATTTACACCGGAGCATTTCGAGAGGATTGTTTTCTTTATTTATACATCTACTATACCAGATCACATCATATAAAATATATCTACTTTGCAATTACATACCTACCCCATTCTTTTCACTACAAACAACTCAATAAACCATGCCATACCTTACCATACTGTACACGCGCAAGTAGACAAGATCAACATCTTTACTACCAGAAAACCAATAAGTGGCGCGAATGCTGATCGATTGATTAATGGAGGACGTAAAAGTGATGCATGACCTAAGTAATATCGAACCAAACGTATGTAGCTCGTGCGTTACAACTGCAAAGCGTATACGGAAGCCATGTACTCATACGCGGTGGTGTCTTTCATACCGCAGATCAAGTAGCGTGAGAAATTCGATTGTCTCGATTGTCTCGATTGAAAAGAGAATGAATGGGGCAGAGGATTACAGATGAACTTTGTGGGTAGATCGAAGGGGTTTGGAGACGTAATGAAATAAAACGATATAGAAACATGAGTTGAGAAACAAGACTACATCAGATACACAATTTTTTATTCATATGGGAAAAAGAAGACCTAACAACCACGAAAGAAAAAAGAAAATTGAACGCGAAAAAGGTCTTCACTGCATAGAAAAGTCATTGATACCGGTAGATGAGAGTGAATTTTTAGTTCCCGCCGCCCCATCCTTCTCAACCTTTTTTAGCAATCCTTAGATCTATGTTCAGCTCCTCCGTCCGTTCATCCATTCGTCAGATCGCATGTTGTCAATGGCATTCGTTGAGTCGGTTCACACATGATTTGTGAACATGAATTGCACGAGCTTTTTGAGTCGTGCAGATAGTCGACGTGTCGTCGAAAAGGCTTATGCGCCCAGGCTGGGGAAAGCGCTGGAGTCGGCAATGTTGGGGCCGGACTGGTTGCCGCCACGACCGCCACGAGGACGAGCATCGCCACGGGGACGAGCGTCACCACGTCCGCGACCTTCGCGATCTCCACGACCCTCGCCACGACCACGTCCACCGCGGAATTCACCGCCGCCGCGACCGCGTCCCTCGCCGCCACGGAACTCACCGCGGTCACCACGGCCACCACGGCCACCACGACCACCTCGGCTACCGCCCTCACGGGGAGGAGGAGCAAGCATGCGGTCACCGTCGAGCTCGACGTGAACCTTCTCCTTGCGCGCGCGCTCACGCTTGGCCTTGCCTCCGGAGCCGGCCATGTAGGATTCCTCCTCCTCACGCTCAACAGCAGTACCCTCGGGGAACTTCTTGCTGCTGCCCTCGTTGGCCTGGCGGAGGTTGGTGGCGATTTGGAGCTTCTTCTCAGCAAGCTCAGCAAGGTAGGCGACGTAAGACTTGGTGTTGTCCTCGGGCTCGGGCTCGGCGGCCTCGGCCTCAGCAGTCTCGGTGACGGTCTCCTTTACTTCAGCCTGGGCGATGTCCTCGCCAGCCTTCTCGTCAGCGAGTTCGGCGTCGCCGTCGTTTCCGCCCCAGCCGTGAGCAGCCTGCTTCTCGTGCTCGCTGATGCATGTCAGAATTGTTGGTGTGAGTGGAGCCGCGATACTTACGCAATGCCGGTCCTGCTGTGACGGTCACCACCGAAGCCACCACGGCCTCCTCCGCGACCACCACGACCGCGTCCACGGCCGCCTCGATCACCTCGGTCGCCACGGTCACCACGGTCACCTCGGGGAGCATCGGGCTCTGAATAGAGTTAGTGCCCGCTAATAGGTTGGCTACATTCAGACTCACCACCAGTGCCCCTGTTGCGGTTCCTGTCAGCACCAGCGCCGCGATCCCGGAAAGCTGTGCCCAATTAGCCGAGTCCACTTGAGTTATCTCTAGACGCCATGGCAGTCCTTGGAATCTATGTCTGGATCTGACATACCGTTCTCGTTTGCACTCGCGGACTGCTTGGTGCGGTTCTGGTTCACTCGCTCGGGAGCGGCGGCCTTGGGGGCATCACCGCCTTCGCGCTTACCAACCCTCTGGACAGGCTTGTCGATGGCCTTGGTTGGCGGGTCAGCTGGCCTATCGGGGTCCAGCTCGGGGTCGTTGCCTGCAATTCCATGAGTGATGTTTTGGCATAGTGCTCTTGCGTCCTCGACATACCCAGCAGTTCGTAGATGTTCTGTGTCCATTGTCAGCTTTCGCTCCCAATCAAGCAGCAAGAGAGAGGCCTGCGGTCTGCAGAACTCGAAGCGCCTGCGCTCAGTGAGGTCAAACGCACCTTGGAAGCAATTGTCGCCATCTTGACGGTTTGGAGCGCCTTTCGCGCTTTACCCTTCTAGATGCGCAATCTGCCGGATTGCGAAAGAAAAGTCGAGAGCTGCCCTACAGAATTAGGGACGTGACTCTCAGTGGTGGCTCGGACACGGATGTTGACGCTGGTGAGTTGGCGGGGATTCGACGAGAATTTTGGCCTCTCTCGTGGGTTCGCTTAGTTACCAAAGTGCCCCACCAGGATATATACAACATCGCCAAAGTAGGACAATGACGATGCAATTAATGAACTATCATACTATCGAGCTGCACTAATTTACCTAGTCCCATTGAACAATGAAAACACACTACTCTACGCTGGTATGGCTTTGTGCAGACGTTACCAGACTCCCTCCATCAAGAGCTTACATGTTCCGCTAGCTCAAGCTTCACGTCATCCCGAGGTTCAGGCCAGTCAATGTCAGTGACAGATCGTGCATTGATTGTCAAGGTCGATCTATCAATATAATACGTACAAAGCAGCCGCCGAGTTGCAAATCGCATGACCAGCGGCGTCGCCCAATCTTCAACAGTCGAAGCCACAGCCACGACCATTGTACCGTTTTCCATTACATGATCCAACAACATGCTATTTTCGAATATAACAATAGGCCGCTCGCATATGATACGACTTGAGAAACTTTTTAGGAAAGAACCACCGTCGATCCCGACAGAGATACACCAAACCGTGCAGAGTATAAACGCCATAATGCCATAACCAATTTGCCATTTGGGCCAGAATGGATTGTGACGCCCGCTGAAGAACAATAATAAACGTATTTTCCATCGTTAAGCCATGGTACTCAGAAGACGCCGCTTTGTATACCATGCTATCAATGTCTTTTCGTGTCGTACACTTCATCTCGATTCGTACATGGTTGGGAAATGCATGCTTGCGGACAGTCCAAAGGGATCTGCGTCTAACATAGGATCGTATGGGTCAAAGAGTTGTTGGTTGATGTTACTGTTGAAAACATGACCCCCATCATTAGGTGCTAGTGCGGCTGCGCTCGGATATGGAGGGTGTTGTGTGGGGGCCATGGGTGGTGGCATGCTATTCGAGATCGGGAAGGTTTGCTGCGGGAAGGGTCCGGGGCCAGCCGACTGATCGCTTGGCTCTTCATGTTCGTAGTTGTCTGCTTGATCTTCATACTCTTGCTCTGTTATATGAAATCAGTATCAGACCACAAAACTCCAGCATGAGAGTGGAAAAGAACGGGCACAGCTTACCGAGTTGAGACATGTGATCCGAGAACTGAGTCGGATAGTACGAAGAGGGGCCACTGCTTTGCGTCATGCCAGTCCCGCTGCTACCAACAGTAGATGTGCTTGATCTGCTGTTTGATGGAGGGTGGTTCGTTATTAGGGAAGGTCTTTGAGGACCCATCAGGGGTGTGAAGTTGGACCGAGGTGGTAGAGGACGCAATTGCTGTTGCTGCTGCGGAGGAATGGGCCCGAAGTTGGGCGACACTGATTGTCCATTTGGAGGGAAGTTGGGCGATCGCGTGGCCGATTGAGCGGGCGAGGAGAGGTGTGAGCCAGGAGTGGGCTGCGACAATGGTGAACGGTGAATCGGGCCATCAGGCTGTATCATGGGCAAGCCATTGATACCATCGACCTTGGGCGGACCTTGAAGCGACCGCCTCTGCTGCTGTCTGTTCAAGATGGCACGTTGCTGCAAAGGGGCCTGGTTGGGAGAGTTGTGTACAGAGGTTTGAGGCCTCGTGGGGCCCAGGTTGGGGCTACCAGTCTTCGCGCGCAGCTCGGCCTGGACGTCGATGCCTGGTGGAGCATAGTGTTAGCGTGTGATACCTTGCGTCGTGTCTGATAAGAGCTGGGCCCACCTTTCTCTAGCAAGACTCTCTCCAGCAAAGAGTTCTTGTACCTGAGCATGAGGCACTCGTCGGCAGCATTGCGGTGACTGTTCTGCAGGTTCTGCAGCGTCTCCTCATGGTGCTTGATGGTGCTCTCGAGCTGTTTGATGTACTCTGTGCGTCGTTCGCGGAAGGCTGCTTGCGCCTGTCTATTGCGTTGCTTGCGCTCTTCAGAAGTCGCATATATCTTACAGCGCTTGGTTAGCCTCAACTCTGACATTTCAATTGACTGGGCGAATTCAGCCCGTCACGACAAACAATGGGAAGGCTCACAGGTTTGCGCCCGCCCTTGCGCTTCTGCTGCTGCGGTTCTTCATGGGTGTAAGTCTCGGCCTGGCCTGGCTCGGGCGAAGATGCGATAGACGACGTCGAACCATCGCGCGAGGCCTCAGCCTTACCCACGGAGGCCGTCATAGCTGTTACAGGGCTATCTCCCATCTACTGGCACCGTACCCCTCCGTGTGATAGAGGGGCACAGAGAGCGCCAAGGCTTACGATGGACGCGACAGAGAGGAAGGTCGTTATGCCGGACAGGAGGCTCTGGTCGGTTAAGCGCGCCTGGGGGAACGGGCAACCGCAGTGCCGGGTCAAGCAGCGATTGCGTGTGTTGGGGAATCTGATAATGCCTGATAAGAAGATGGGCTGGGGCGCTGTGTGTGGTCGCGCAGTAGCTGTGAGGTAAACTTTTGGGTAATGGAAACGGAGAAGGCTCGACGGACGGGGCGGAGGTGCTGGGTTCAAAAGGCGGGCGGAGCACCTCTTGTCACGCTGCCCGCGACGATGCTTGTTGATCCGGACGGCAGAGGCTGCTTCTGTGTGGTTTGAAGGTGGTTCGCTGCCAAAAGAAATCCTCCTTCACGAATGGCAGGCGTGCCCTCTGCTGCTACGCCCAACTGCGGCCAAGGCCCTCGGGACACGATTGGCCGCTGCTCAAATTTTCTTGCGGGGTGCTCACTGCGCATTGGCAACACGCACCATGGACGGCGCTCAAGGGCAGACCTCGTGAAGGGTGCCTTGGTGGAGGATGCCGATGGGGGTATTTTTTGCCGATTATTGGGATGCGATTGCCTGTACGGGCCTGGCCTGTGACGCCACCACCGCCATTCATGCAGCATCTCCGGCTTCTCCATCATGTCCACCACAACGTTGCGCTTCTTATCATCGAGTGTCCCTGCAAAAAAGTACGGACCGCCTCGCAGCACATTCACGTCCCTCGCTCGACATCTGCCAACTCCCCCTGCTCTTCTGCAGACTGTCGTCGTCGAAGCCGAGCGATGGCGTCAAGCTCTGCACAAGTCAACCGATTTCGGAACCCACTGCTCCCTCCCTGCAGCCACGCGCTCACCGCACGCTCCATCCGCCTGTCACTGCACTGGTAAGGCTGACGATGCACCTCTGGATATGATGTCGTTGGAGTCGTCAGGTAGGTATTCAGAACGGGTTTGCGACCAAGCACGTCAACAATCCACTTCCTCACATCGTTCATTATTCCCTCCACAGCAGTATTTCCAATCGCAACATGGCCAAAAAGGGGAAATTCAAAAACACATTCCACACGCTCAACTGCAATCTTGGCATGCTCTCTTCCCCGCTTAGACAATGCCAGCACAACAGGTCACGCCCACGCCGGTCACGAGAAGGTGCTTCCTGGGGAGGTCGTCCGAAGGGGCCGTTGCTCTTATGCAGCACTTGAGCCTCGTTACCCTAATTCGACCATAGCGGCGCAGCGCTTGGTTGCGGCTGAGTGCAGGTGACGACCTCAAGGGATGGCCGAGCCTCGAACCACAATAAAAGGACACGCTTCAGTGCATCATGAGTCGCCCGCCCAACTGTAGACGTCGCATCTTCATGGACGTTGACTGCAGAGAAAGAACTGCCAATCCACACTCAAAATACTCCAGATACCTCGTGATGGTGCTCACCGCCTTCCGCATACTCTCAATAGGAGGCGGGTCAATTTTGGTAACGCTTGGCGCGAATGTCGCCAAACGCAACGACGAGAAGTCTCCGAACCCGTGCCTCGGAGGAGCAATGACTGGTACGCTATTATGATCGCGCCGGCTTGCAGATGAATATGTAAAACTAGGCTCGGCGCTCGCACACGGTAAATGCTTTCTGCCTGCTATGTGCTTAAAACAAATGGTGCATGCAAGCTCTCAGGTAATATCAGGTAGGAACGAGAAATGTCACACGTGCATCTTTCTCTGCAACACGAACGATATTCGAAGACAAAGGGAGGCTCCGCAGTAAAATTGACCATCTCTTTCGCGTAATTTCCATCGATCAACCATTCCTCTATTTGATCTTGCCTTTTACTTGACACTCACCCAACGTGCGTAAAAACTGTAGAAAGACCACCTGTCCCTGTACACTTTCCAATATTGATGAGCTGCCATGGCGCCCCAACATCATACCGCTGCGTCACTTCAGCATGCAACCCTCAAGCGACGCACCTCACTCACTTTCCAGGATATCGAGCATCGACATAGTCTCACATGACTTTTTTTTCCTGTTTCAGCAGCAACAGATCCCGCATCAATCACTCGGTTAGCATCTAATCGCTAGTCATCAGCATCGTGCTCCGCCGTTCACGGGTTGTTTCGCAAATCATACTTTTAATACTACGCCAACCAGCAGCTGACGGTAGGCAGCGATGACTTTTTCCGAGTTCGCGGGACGGCTGCTGAAAGGGTCAGGTCACTTGCAATCGCTGCCTGGCAAAGGTTCACCAGCCGACGCCCGTCCTTCCCTGGACGGAGTGAGCGCTTCCTTGTGTGTCACATCACCTGGGTCGGATAAGAATCAGGCTGTTGGTTGCGGAGGCATGGTCGGTAACACCTTTGGGGAACCCAGAGGACTTTCTGTCAATGCGCCTTCCTGGGCCAAACCTCGTCCTTTGTCAGACATCCGCGAAACGACCGAACCGAGCTTGGTGGACGCCATATCACGAAAACCTTTCTCTGACAATTTTCAGCGGAGTACATCTCGCACAGAGCTGTCGCGAAGGCCGTCCGTCGCGTCAAAGCGCCGTCCCAGCTTTGACACTCGTCATGGAGAAAATAAGGAACCAGATAGAAAGAACAGCATCGAAAGTGGTGGCGTTAGATCCATACATAGAGGACGATCTCCAAGATCACTATCACCACCAAGCCCCGCAGACAACAATAGCATCTCCAGTATATACAGCATCCCGCCTGGGAGTGTGCCACCTCGCTCGTCCTCACGAATCCGCGCACACAGTGTCTCTCGCACCAGACAGCCACCGCAGATACCACCTATACAATTAACACAGCGATTGCCCGTAACGACCTCCCTAAACGCCGTACCTACGATACCACTTCCTCCTCTTAAAGGTGCAGGTCACACTATTCCTCGACGCGGCCAATCCCAGTCTCCTTTGCGCCATGTCCCTGCGCGCCTAGATCCTATCTCGCATGATACCAACCGACACATACCCTCCAGAACATTCATTCGCGAGCCGCTTTCGAAAGAGCTTTTAGAATTTCCCTCCCACCGACATCCTAGGATCGACCTAGGTTTGGACTTATCAGCAGGCATATTTGTGGGTGGAGGCTCTATTGAGGGTACTGTTCAGATTCATGTCGACGACGCCGAGCGAATCCGTCATAGAAGGACTCTGGACATTGCTCGGATATCTATCGATCTCCTTGGGATAGAGGAGATGAACGGAAACAGACGCTGTGTGTTTCTGAATCTTGCTACAGAGCTTATCGATGAGGACAACCCACCGCCTCAGAATATGGTGGACACTCAGGAGCCGATCGGTATGGGAGATCTGTTTTGGCACCTAATGCCTTCTGTCACAAACCTGGCTTTCAACCTGAGCCTACCCCTGAATGTCGGACCACCACCCTTCCAATCTAAGAACGCAAGAATACGATACGTACTTTGTGTGTCGCTACTCATTCGCGATCAGGGAAGGCAGTATATCGTTAGAACCTCCGAAGACGTCACAGTTCTCTCCGTCTATGATCGTGTGTAATTTTTGTACGCCTTTGGTTCGAAAAGATGCTGACAATATGCAGCTGAAAAGGCTCTCATGTCTCTTCCAAGTCCCTTGACTGCTTCCGACGAATGGATTAAGCCTCGAGAAAACTCAGTTGAAGCCGTCCGATTGACCGCCGGTCTGCATCGCCAAGTCTGGGTCAGCGGAACAAGCATCTACGTCGACGTCCACATCGCCAACAACAGCCGCAAGATGATCAAAAAGATCGAACTCCAATTGGAAAGAGATATACTTTGCTACAAACACGTTGGTTCTAGAATCAAGTTTCAGCTACACTCGATGATGCTGACAAGACTCGCTCGTAGGCTGCTGCATCCACAATGGAGAAATCTGCGGGCCAAGCTCGCATATTCGACAGCAACGAGCGATCCATTCTTAGCAAATCACTGGTCAAGCAAGGCTCTGCTGGTTGGCATGGAGTCCCCGCACACCAAACTCACACCCGTACTTGCGACCTGGAAGTTCCTCGTAGCCATGCGACGGTCAAGTGTGGTAGGTTAGAGTCCAACTGTTGCGGAAGATCTGCTGATGGATCAGGAAAATACTTCGAAGTGCGATATTTTCTAAATGTCATTGTCGGCAGCGCCCACACGTCAGTAGATGCACTCAATGCTCCAACTAAGCTGACCTTGTTTAGGAAGTTGGTCACAGTTCAACTACCAGTTGTGCTCATTCACATGGTGTGTCTCTTCACCACCAGTTGCGCTGGCGTCTTCGACCTCACCTAACAACCTCACCAGAATTCGCTTGACGTAGTACCCAACTCCGTCGCTCAAGTCGCCATGGCCATCGAAGAGAAGCGTACAGCCCACACCTACCAACGCGGCTCCTCCCCACCCCGCCTCGGCCGTCGTCCCTCCCAGTCCGTCCAAGGCCGTGCTTTCGCCGCCCCGCGCATGCAATCTCTCGAGCGAATGCGCGCCCGAGCCGAAGACATACAAGAGTTAGGTCAAGTCCTGGACCAAAGCCCCCGCAAATACGGCCTACGACGCATGGAATCGAACTGGGACTACCGCACCCCACCATCCAACCGCAAGGGCCGAATAGTAGGCGATGGCGAAGCAGCAGATCTGCTAAACCGCTTACGCAGAGTCCGCTCGAACGAGACCATTGGCTCGAGACCCAACACGCTGAATCGACACAAATCTTCGAGGTCAACGCGCTGTGGCTCGGCGCTCGGATTCAGAGAGGCGGAGGTCAGGGAGGATATGGAACTTGGTGGCTTGGGCTTGTCGGGTGAAGCGCCGTTCAAACAACGGCTCGAAAGAAGCCATGAGCGACAGTACAGGTTCACGAAAAAACGAAGCGTCGAGAGATGGAAGGGTGTGGCGAATGTGGGTGTTGGGTGGTTAAAGGGGAACGGCGGAGCCAAAGACGAGCGGGAACGTGATGGTTGGGTATGAGCTCGTTCTTGTTTCGTGTTGTGCTTCATGGTGCGCTTGAGTACATGACATGTCCTCTGCTTTCTCTCTTTTTGTTTACTTTTTTGGATACATAACGCTGAATCATGGCATTGCTATGCTGAGCTTCGCGTCTGCTGAATCGAGCTATCTTTTGCTTGTCGCTTGATCTCGGGACATTGACTTTTATACCTTTGTTATTGTCACTTTCTGCTTATACTCCACTTGTAATCGTGAGTGGGCCTCCGAGTTCTTGCGCCTGGAATCACATCACATGTCTATACATACCCACCACTTCCCTCTCCTAACCTGTCCACCATGCGAGGACTCTACATTGGAAAGTAAGGGATGGACGATGGCAAGGAGTAATAGAAGAGCACCATGGAAAAGGCATAGAAGAGCGAACAGTGACAAGCCATGACACGTGTCCTTTGATAGCAGACCAAACACTGTACTCCCCATCCATACTCTATACCGTCGTTTCAACAATACCGCTCCTAAACGCCCCCGCCTTGAATCACCAACCCACCCAACATTACCACCCACTCACACACTACGTGCATCCCCCCCCTCCACACCCTCCCCCCCCCCCCCCCCCCCACCCCCCCCAACCCCACACCCGCCCCCGCCCCAACAAGCACCTCAACAACCTCATCCCAGCCCTTGACCACCGCGCCAGAAACCGCACTCTGACCCCTGGCATTCAGGGCATTCGGGTCCGCGCCGGCGTCGAGCAGCATCTTGGCCGTAGCGACATGGCCGTGGTACGCGGCGAGCATGAGGAGCGTGTCGCCGGTGCTGTTGGCTAGGTTGGGCAGGATGCCGGCTGTGAGGTATTGCTGGAGAGTGGACGTGGCGCCTGAGCGCGCGAGGTCGAAGATTTTGGCTGCGAAGTCGAGGGTCGTGGGGGAGAGGGTTGTGGTTTGGGTTGAGGCGTTGGAGGTGGTGGTCGTCGCTGTCGAGGGGGGTATATAAGGCATTTTTATGGGGGAATTTTGTGGTGAGGTAAGTTTGTGAGATTGGAAGTTTGGAGGCGGGTAGCCGCCTGGGATGGTTTTGTTTTCACATGGTGGTGCGAGGGAATGTACGAGTGAGTTGCGAGTGCAGTTGTCAGTTCAGTGACATGGACGTGCTTTCCGATTGGAACGCGTTTGTGCACGGCCCAACGCCGTTTCTTAGCGCAAGTCGCGACTTCCCTGGCCAATTCATTGATCTCTTACTTTACATGCGCTGGAGCGATAGTCGACAACTCACCACCAACTCAACTCGACATAGCTGGTTATCCACATAGGCGCCAAACATCGATTGCGCGCGCTGCCGAGCTTCACCATGGCCTCACCACCGCACCTCCCACAGCTCAATCCACCCCGGAAACGCACCAGCATATCCTCCCTCTCCGCCGTAGCCAAGAAGCGCAAGCCCTCGCAGCTCCGTAATGCTTTCTCTCCAGAAACAGAAGGCGTCGGGTCGCCGCGTTACTCGCGCTCACCGTCCGTCGACAGCGTAGCCACGACGTCCATCATTAACGGCGTGGGAGGGAAGAAGCGGCGCAAGAAGAATGGCGATGATGGGGCAAGCGTCGCCGGATCGAGTATGAGGGGCGGCAAAGGGCAAGACGGACGGAGTGCCATCGGCGGGGATGGCGACGGGGAGGGAGAAGGCGAGGACGAGCCATACGAAGACGACGAAGACGACATGGACATGGCGATAGAAGGGGGCATGACAGCCGAAGACCGACGAAAACAAGACAAAGCGCGAGAACGGCAAGTCCCCCACCTCCACCCCACCCCAACCACACACACCTAACAACCCCCACAGCATCCTCTACGAATACATGACCCCCGCGCAATCCGACCGCTACGAACTCTACCGCCGCATCCGCCTCAAGCGCGACACAGTCCGCAAGCTCGTCAACCAAACCCTCTCCCAGTCCGTCCCCGCCCCCATCGTCATCGCCGTAACCTCGTACGCCAAATCCTTCATCGGCGAGCTAATCGACCGCGCCCTCACCGTCCGCGACGAATGGGCCGCCTCGCGCACCCACCTGCCCAACCCCAACCTGCCCACCCCCGTCCTCCTCCAGGGCCTACAGCGCCCCTCCGCACACATCAAAGACGACCGCAATCGCCCCACAAACGCGGACATACAGTCCGCTGGCTTGTACTTTAGCCAGGTCGATCGCGAGCAGAGCTTCTGGGCGGAGATTAGCAAGGATGAAGGCCTGAAGGAACGGTTGAAGGGCTGTGATAAGGGGCCGTTGACCCCGGATCATCTTAGAGAGGCGCTGAGGAGGTATAAGAGGGATCGGGATGGAGGCGGGGCCGGGTTTGCTGGTATGAGTCTTGAGGGTGTGGAGAGGACGCTCGCGAGGACTGGCGGGAAGAGGCTGTTTCGCTAGTCTTGGTCTGGAAGGGTAATCGACGGGAGTGGTTGGGGAGTGGCTGCACGAATTGTTTTTGAAGCATAGCGATGGTGTTTGGGGGGGATGGAACTGGAAATTGCCAAGGAGTGCAGTTTTGAGTCTCATGGTGGGCTCTTTTTGGGGAGTTTTGGGGAACTGGATATGGCTACAAGGTTACGACGCGGACTTGTCAGGGCAGTAATTCGACATATTTGCATGCGCTATGTGACATATCTGAGTGAAAATCTCCAATATGTGACCTTTTGCTGCATAGCTTCTCATCTTGTAGTTGAAGACGAACACTACGCCAACCTTCCATGGGCAATAGAGACATAAGGGACAACACAGGTGACGGTACACAACACATACTTCAACATCAACAGCAGGCAAACACAAGGTGATTGAAGAAGTGAAGCACTTCATAGTGGGTATTTTTTCAGACAGCTACGTCATAAGAGCCATCCAGCACCCAGCATCCATGTCATGATTCGAAAGACCTAAGAAACACTTTGCCAAACAAACATCTAGTTCTCGTGGAGAAGCGCGGTGAAAGCCGGGCCCGTAACCTCCTTGCTGCCCTCAACCTTCTGCTGGCCCAGCTTGTTCTTGGAGAACGCCGCCGCGTATGGGTTGAGACGGAGCTGCACTTGCATGTTCTTGAGCGGGTTCTTCTTCTGCACAACACCGCGCTTGGACACGGCACCGCCACGAGTGGGGCGGAGGACCTTCTGGATATCGCTCGAGTTAATGATCTTGCTGAGGTCGGGCTGCTTCATGATGGTGGAGGGGAGGAGGAAGTCCTTCTTCAGCGCAGAGGGCTCGGTGGTGGAGCCGTAGATTTGATCAAGAGCGCTGAAAGCAGATGAGGTCCAAACGATGAAGCGACCGAGGTGGCCACCAGGGGCGAGCTGGAGGAGGTTGAGCGAGTAGACGGACGAGGTCTCGACACCGGGAATGTTGCGGAAAGCAAGGACGAGCTCCTTGCCATCCTCGTCGGGGTTGTAGATGACGAGAGGGCCACGACGCTGCTTGTGGCGGCGGCCACGCAGCTTACCCTTACCAGCGCGGAGCTTGCGCGAGTTCTTGACCTTCTCGACGTCGGCACCGGCACCGACAGCCTTCAGAAGAGCAACGGCAGCCGAGGTCTTCTTGATGGCAGCATCAGCGAAAGCGGTCGAGGAAACGACGAGAGGAACCTCGGGGACAGTGCTGATGGCGTGGCCGCGGGCAAGGAGAAGAGCAGCGCTTCCAGAGGCAGCGACAGCGGAGGCGGTCGCGAAACGCTTCTGGTTTAGGTTGATCTTCTGGTGCCACTTGCGCCAGACCTTGGTAGGGGCGAACATGCGACCGGAGCGGCACATGTTACCGAACGCAGCCTGACCGGCGCGGTGTGTTCCTCCACCAGAGACACGAGGAATACGGGCGACGGCACGACCGGTACCCCACGACTCAGCAGAGGTCTGATGACCCGCCTTCTCGGAGCTGATGAGCTGTTAGACTGGCGGTGGTGCAGCGTGCGTGACATAAGCTTACACAGCGTATGGCTGGCGGCGGTTCTTGTTCATGCCAGTGTGGACAGTGTGGACAATGTCCGGGCGGATGGGGGCCTGTAGAGATTGTTAATATTGGTGTCCATGGTTGGTGATAATAACCCGCAGAACATGGCGCTTTCGGAACGCCAGGATCCCAGTACTGAGTGTATCAGGCGAGAGACTGGCGAGGACCATGAGAAAAGCATGCGTGGTTGTCCAAGCCTCCAGCGACCGCCAAATTCTTTGCATATCATGGTGAGAGATTGCCGATATCATGAAGCCCAATTGTGGCATCAAATTCACTCTCAAGCGCGTTCCTGCCCTCCACGTTCTCTCTCCCATGTATATGCATCGATTCGGCGGTCATTGTAGGCGTCCTCTGCTTGCGATTCTCTTTCCAAAGCGCTGCGTCGATATGCGGAAAACGTCGTAAAACTGACCTTGAAGACATTGGGGACGGGAGCAGTGTCCGCGGTCGCCTCGCCCTTGGCGGAGATGATAGTAACGGTCGGCCTAGACATCGTGGTCGTCGTGGGCGTTGCTGCTGTGGTTAGTGAGTCTCGGAGAAGTTTTCGAGATGCTCACATGCTGGGAATCGAGGTGTGGGTTGCCAAGAGTTTACCGAGCGTCACGTGTGAGAGATCCATTCAAGTTCAACCACAGCCTCACATGCCTCATCCATTCACTACACTTTGCAATAAAATCATGCTGCGAAGACTGTTGACAATGCCCACTAATGAGTTAGTTGTGCACTGCTCGACGATCAAATTATACCGCAAGTGTATTGACAGAGTGCATTGTGCAAGTGTGATGAACTTCCTCTTAGCAAGCTGTTTCGGGAGGCGAGAGATCGTCAGATGGTTGCCCATAAACAGGTCGCCAAAGAACTGCTTGTGGCAATGAAAAGTTGACATTGAGCGATCGTAGACATTGCACACATGTGAAAACTGCCGACGACTCGACTGAAGAGCCTTATTCACACGGGCTGGATATTGGTTTTATTGACTTTGTTGAATAGAGATCTTACACATGTACTGAAATCTATCGACCAAACCTTACAGTTGCAATATGATAATCAAAACGCATTCTCAAATCATCCAGACGTGTCTATCGAAATTTCGGCAGCACCTGATAGTGCGGAGACTTGGTCCCCAGTCCCCCACGCCCTGCATAGGATGTGTTCCCAATGTATGAGCACGGTAATTAACGTAGGGGCTCCTCGATAAGATCGACAAAGATCACTGCTCTACAGAGTCATGTAGCATGGTATTCGACATAAAAGACGGAGGGCACTTCTGAGCAACCGTTCACCAAGAATGTCATCACTCCTTCTCATTAAGTGGAGTAGAGGAGTGACTTGCAAGATCTGCCGTTCTTCCAATCTCGACAACATGTCCAAACCGAAATTATGTTGAGCCGTTGATCCCCACAAGGATGTTCTCGTGAGACGGCAACGCAACGGCAGACCTGAAACATGTCTGTTCCAGATTGGGAAGATTTAGGAAATGAGAATAAGGACGCGGGAGCCAAATGCGGTAGACGATAAAGGCAAGATCTTACTCACGAACCGAGCCGGCACAGTTGGAGCGTGTGATGATGGAGCAAGACTCGTCGACACTGCGCAACTAGATGGAGTACAGATGTGAAACAGTCAAAACTTACTCATGTGACGCGGCGTCGCCAGCGAGTGGGCCGGCTTTTCACTCGGTAGCCTTGTGTTTCACGTCAGAAGTCTTTTGCTTTTGCGTGTTTGGCATGCCTCGGGAAGGGCAACAGTGAAGCGACGACGGAGCAAACTGGGAAGAAGGTAACCAAGGCCGCAGGAGGCAGGGATGCAACGGTGCGGAAAGCGACAATGCTGGGTGTTTGCAAGGCATTCGCATAATTTCAGTTCGTTCTTCAGGCCGCGCAGTGGACGGCAAGGTTGCGCGTTCTTGTCTAGGGTTGGTGGTGTAAGGCTGATGTCGCGTCTTCCAGCCTCGCGAACGCGTGTATTTCACGCCAGTGAGAGGACAAAGACAGGGCAGGGCTTCGGGATGGCAGCAGCTGCAAACACGTCGCGGCGCGCAGCAGACTGCAGAACGACGGACGTGGCTGGCATTTTGTAGGGGCGTTTTGCAGGGCGGGCGTGTCGTCCCAAGGCTCTCGTGTGCCTGTGTGCCTAGGCAACGTATCACTGGTCGCAGGAGGGCTCGTAGCGCACGGCTGGCGGTTGCTATTTTGGGAACACGGCGCTTAGTCCCCCATCTTCACCACCATTCGACGCCGCCCCGACCGACCACGCACAACTCTCCACGAACCCCTTCCCTTGCCCTTCCCCCAGGCGGTAGCGGCTCTGCGACTGACCGGCTTTCCCTCGCCCGCTCCGAGTCGGTCTCGCTCTACACAGCACCAATTCCCTCGCCCGAGAGAGAGTGTGTCGCGAACTCGATCGCTGCGCAACGACTCCTCGAACGCCCTCTCCCGCTGCATTCTTCCTTCGCGCGCCCACGGCCTCCGCCTGCAGCTGCGCGCCCATTCGACTGTTCTCTCCGCGCCGCACTCCAGGCACAGGCGCATCGCCGGCCTAGTCGCTCTCTCAGGCGCTTATTTGAGGATCTGGTATTCTCGCTTCCCTCGACCAACAGCGCCAGCCCGCCTCTGCTGTTGGCGATTCGGTGCGTTCTGCTGCTCTTCCTGCTCCTCCCCTCGCCCCTCCGTCTCCCTACCCGCCCAGTGTTTGGCTGCGCCAGCACGTCTGTTTGACCAAGGCTCCTCGTACGGGTAACCGTCTTCTGTTTCCTGGCACCCGCATGCCCATGCACACGTTTCCCTCTGCCTGGAGCCTGTAAACTGTTTCTCTGAGACAGTCGACACGATCCGTTTGCTGTTTCCCGTTACACAATACGCACTCCAGCATGGCGCATCAAGCTGCCATGTCTGCCTCGTCTATAATAGCACAGAAAGCTGACAGTCCGACCCTCAAGAGAGCATTTGCTCCGCTTAATTGTTCCTTCCCTTCGAGCAAGCTTGAATATACTTTCGCGCATTTTACCACCCAACCGTCCACCTTGCCGCAATCACAGCACTGGCATAGTCCCGAGTTGGCCCTTCCCTCCACGACTCGACAACCCAGCATGGTCACGAGCGCGCGAACATTCACACCCATGCCCTCATTCGGTGCTGTCTTCGGAGGTGACCTACGTCACGCCGAGCTCGACCACCCATCACAGCGAGACAACACGCATGTTCATGGCAGCAATGTAGCACGGCCTGCTTCGAGCGGGAACACGACCAACGGCGGACCTTTTTCCTCCTTCCACATCCACCACGACAGCCGGGACAGCAATTCGACAGCCTCCTCAGACAACTCTCCCACCACAACCATCTCCACCATGGACGGCTCCTCTGTAACCGACCCGTCGCCAGGCCCTTCGCCCGAGTCACCTCTCGCCAAGACCGCCGCGTCTTCTTCTTTTGCGGCCGACTTCAGGGCCCGGAGAACAGAGAGCCATTCTGGAGATCCGTCACCAAGCAACTTCTTTGAGCTACAAAGGCCGACGACGCCTGCGAAGAAGCCGCGAAACTTGAAGAATCTGGGAATCAACACGACAACATCACTCACCAATCTGCGATCTCATGTGCCAGCTCCCGCCGTAGTGCCTAACAAGGAGAAGAACAACTCGGCACCACCATCACCCTTGTTCATTAAGCCACCAACGCCGCCTCGGAGACGACCCTCAAATCTAAGCCTGACGATCGCGTCTCCTCCTGGCAGCACTGACAACAAGCCCATACGACTCCTCATTCCATCCACACCGGCTTTGAATCGACCTGGGTTACGTCATTTTCAATCATCGCCTTCATTGCCAATATGTTCACCAAGCGTGGCTCCAACTGGTGGAATGCAGCTACCTTCTCTACGTACCTTTAGGACGAACACCAGCGGTCTTTCCGAGGTGCCTTTCGAAATGGAGGAGGAAGAGGACTTAGAGCCGAACTTTGACATTCCGCAATCTCGAGAGGAGAAGCCTGCAGCATACCCGAACGGGCCTATCTGCATATATGAGGCTGGCGTATATCTTTACTTTGAGCCCACTGCCGAGCAGGCTGCAACGTTTGATTTGATCATCAATGTAGCCAGCGAGGTGAAGAACCCATTCACCATCCTTTCGTCTGATTCGCAAAAGGATCTTGATGCCAGGCGCGTAGACGGGCCGCCAGCTGAAGTCGTTGACTTCGCCGCACTCTCACAGCAGTCCAAACCTGTATCCTTTGAAAGAGAGAGCAGTTCGCCAACCACACCGAAAGCCACATCTGTTCTACCAACAATGCAGCCAGGTGAGCTTGTCTTGAACGGCAAGAAATATCGGACTCCTGAATATATTCACATGCCGTGGGAACACAACACCGACATCGTCCCTGATCTCTACAGACTGGTCAAGATAATAGATGACAGGGTACAGAAGGGGAAGCGCGTGCTTATTCATTGCCAATGCGGTGTCAGTCGGTCTGCCAGTTTGGTCGTCGCCTATGGGCTGTACAAGGACCCTCAGGTGAGCGTACAAGAAGCATACGACAAGGCCAAGAAACGAAGCAAGTGGATTGGGCCAAACATGAACCTGATCATGCAGTTACAAGAGTTCCGTAACGGTCTTCTGAGGGCCAACGACAACCGGTCATACCACAACCAATCGTTCGGAAGACGGTCGGTTGGCCTACCTACTATTAGATCTCTTGGTGGCACCAGTGGGTATGCGTCATTCGAGAGAGAGGCAGCTTCCGGCTCGCGTACTCCTCAGACAGCCCCATTACCCCCAGATGGCGACATCTACTTGCAGCGAGCCAGCACAGGAAACATGCTGGCAATATCGCCGGGTCCATTGTCAGCGCCCACTGGTGCCTTCGCTTCTGGGTTTCGCCGTTCTTGGGATTCTAGTCAAACCCATTTCAATGCTGCTTCTCTTCCCACAGAGTCGACGCCAAACACCCCAGCTTGTGTTGAACCGGAACATCATGGTGACCCTGTGCTATCAATGACCAACAATGATCGATCCGCTGCTCAAGTGAGCGCTACTTCTGTTGGCGAAGTTACACAACCTGATGATGAGGATGAGACGCTCAGGCTATCGTCGGTTCCAAACTTCTCTCGTCAACTTCCGTTCAGGCAGCAAGAGGACCCTGATGAAGCGATAGCACATCACTCGGTTCAAACCTTGTCTGCACCTGTACAGCCGCCAAGCTATGGCGCATTGAGATCACCGGCTGTATCCAGTTTCAGTCTCGCATCATTGGCACCTCGTGGACAACCTGTAGAACCTGAAATGATGTCGCCAGTCAAGACATCGTTCGATGTCGATCCGTGGACACGAGACTACAACCAGGAGCCACAACCTCCTGTACTCTCTCTAAGGAAACAGAAACGCTCGGCGCCACCTCCGTCCATGTCGCTAAGGTCTACTGAGTATCAAAACACGGAGCCACAGAGTAGTAATGCTGGTGAATCACAATGGCCGCCATCGCCTCGTGCTACGTTCCTCGACTTCAACCACTCAATACAGCCACAGTCTGCAAGTCTAGATGCTCGTTCGACCGATACGTTCGTGCTTGCCTCGCCGACGGTTGCATCGTTTCCCAAAGACATCTTCGGGCACACTGATGATTTGTCAGACGACGACTTGAGATCTCCACGAGCTACGGAGTTTCACATGACTCCATTGAAGCCAAGAGGAGCAGATACAGACCCGTTTGGATTGACATCCCCCTCACGATCTGACTTCATGAGCCATCCGTTCGAAAGGCCCAGCTTAGCTTCTTCCCAAGATGCTACCTCTGAAGCTCGACACCCTTCTTTCCAGGCTATTATGCCCCCTTCACATCAAACCTTCAGTGGGTTTGCCTCACTCGATGGTACGGCACAAACACAGCCTATGATTCATGCTCCCGTCCCGACACTCACCTTTGGGACAAGACAGAGCTTGGTTGGAAGTCCTTATGCTCAAGCCACAGATTCTTTCGGTTCGCTCATGTCTGGTATGGAGACGCCAGTGAAAGAGTCAGAACGTCCCCAGACACCAAAAGAGGTGTTCTTGGCAACGCCTGCAAAAACTATCCGAACGAGGTTCTCTTCACCGAACATGAGCCAGCAACGAGAATTGCAAAAATTGCAAACCAACATCCAGTCCAGACTTCCTCAGCATGCAGCAGATGATATCGATGCCTTAATGTCTCCTCGAGCCGAGGAATTCACCAAAAACCCTTTCCATCTCGACGACCTGCACTCGTCTGACGACGATTCTAGCCCAGCATCCTCGAACGAGACCATCAAAGGCGAGCAGACTGAAAACACCCGGATCTTACCGCAGCAATGGATACTGGGGAAAGCCGCTGTGGATCCTCGAAGTCCCGTGCAGACTGGGAGCAATCCAATTGTCCGCAATATCTGGGACGTATTGTGAGAGCCGATCGAAAATCAAAGCGTGCTTGCAACCCTGGTGTACTCTCCGTCTCCACTTGCTGGCCAACCTGGTCCGGAGAATAAATGGCGTTCTTTGGTTTCTACGGCTTCGACTGCTAAAGATTTGCATCGTCGCTAGCTGGTCACGAAAGATTGGTTATAGCCACATTCACCAAAACACGCACGACAAAGTACAGCTGCTAAGATGGAACGCGTCATGGCACAAAATGAGCGCACGATCCCCATCAACAGCATCAACAACACGAATCCCGTATGCTTGTACTCATCCTATCTCGTATCAAACTCACTCATTTCCTTTGTCCGAAATCCAACATATATCCTTGCTCTCAGTTTGTTTCCGTAGGGGTCGATGCGCGTTGAATTACGCTTACGCAGTCGCATACGTAATGTTCTAGTTGTCTAATCTAGTCCCGCCTTTCATTGACCTCTACACACACAACCCCCCCTACACTCTTTACCCTTCTCACATTCGCTATTTGTATACTTAGGTCTTGGTTTTTTCTTTCCTTGTTTCTTTCTTTCGTCGCGAATGCGCTTGGCTGGGTTAATGAAGGAACGATCTGTTTTGTTCTGCGCTGCTTTCGTTTTACGCGTGTTTTTTTCAGTACGGCACTCGAGCGCCGGGCTTGGGCGGCGTATATCTGGGTTGTGAAGCGCCGCCAGGAGGTGGTGAGGCGAGGCGCGATGAGGGGTTTTGCATAGCAGAGTATGGCGAGGGATGGAGCGAAGGAAGAATATCTAGGTCGGGGTGTATAAATGTATGGGATGGAATGTACACTGAATCTATATATTCATCAACGGTCATGATGTTCTCGTGTTGTTGTTGTGTTTGATGCTTGAATTGCTCGTTGTATATTTCCTTCGTGGGAGTTCACATGTCCATCCTCTCTTTGCAGTGGCAGACATATATTGTGATGCTATGAGCAAGGGGTAGCAAATTTTAGTAGCTGAAAACGGTAGGGTACATATTCCGCAACGTCATATCATGTTACACTTCTCTCCCTTCTCACCCCAGGACCGGATTCCATCCTTCCATCTTTCAAACCCACCCGCCCTAACTCCACTTCACATCCCCACCACTCGCCCCCTCAAGCCCCCAATTCCCATACGTATCCACAAACCCCTCATCAGTAAGATACTGCTTCGCCTCATCACTACGCCACGCCAGCACGCTGCCCAGCCGCCAACTCGTATCCAGCTTCGGCACCACCAACTCCACAAGCTGCAGACACTGCGGGTCTTGAAGCGCGGGCTTAGCCAGCACAGCGGCGAGTTCAGCTTTTGTGGTCGCGCGGTGGAACGAGGCGTCAGCCGAGGGGTGCTGGTACAGCGGCAGCAGGTGCTGGTAGGACGTTGGGACGATGTCGTTGTATGCTGTTGTTGTGCGTTAGCATGTCTGACCCATTAATTTGAGGTAGGGGAAAGGGAAAAGGGGGAAGATAAAACATACGCTGCCTCGCCCCCCAAATCAACCGCTCAACCGTATACCCCTCGTTATTTATCACGAACAAAATCGCCCTACTCCCCGCCTTGATCATGGTGCCGATCTCCTGGATAGTAAGCGCCATGCTGCCGTCCCCCGTGCACAGAATCGTCCTGCCCTTACCGCGCGCGCTCTGCGTCTCTTGGCGCGCGACTTCCACCCCGAGAGTGGCTGCGAAGGCCCATCCGATGCTGCCGTAGTAGATCTGGGAGATGTAGCGCATGTTGGCGGGGAAGGCGACGTCGCAGATGCCGAAGTTTGAGGTGCCGGTTTCGCCGACGAGGAGGTCGTTGGGGTGCAGGAAGGTGGATAGGGTGGGCCAGAGGTGGGATTGGGTGATGTGTGTTGCGTCTTTGTCGAGGGGTTGGCGGGGAGGGGGGAGTGTTGGTTTGGGGATTTTGTGCTGTGGGGTGGATGGGAGGGCGGATAGGAGGGCGGCGAGGAGCGGCTTGATGCTTGTGTTTGGGTAGGTTCTTCCTTTTACCTGTGAGTAGGGTGTGTTAGTGGTTTCTGATATGATTTGGTTGCGTGGTGTGGATGAGCGGATGCTTACCACAACGGCATGTGGATCGATGTGAATCGTCGTCTCATCCGCCAGCTTCCTCGAGAACGAAGCTGTGTTGGTATCCGCGGGGATATACCCAAGCGTGATGATCAAATCCGCAGCTTTGGCTGCCTCCTTGACGCCCGGCGTGCTGATCTCGCCGTTCCACAACCCAACGTATGTCTCCTCCGTCTCATCCACGACGCCCTTCCCCATACTCGTCGAGAAATAAGGCACATTGAGCTTCCGAACCAGCTGCCCCGCCTCCTCCGCCGCACCAAATCGCTGCACCAACGCATCAACCAGCACAGAGGGATGTTTCGCCTCCCCAATCGCCGCCACAATCGCCTTCACAGCCTCGTCCTGCGCCGCCCCGTCAACCCGCGGCAACACATCAATCGGCGTATCCAACAACGCGACATCGACCTCCTCAGCGCTCAAATCCAGCGGCATGAAGATGTACACGGGCCCGGACTTCAGAAAGCACTCCCTAATCACGCGATCGATTTCCTTCGGCGCACTCTCCACATCCCACAGCTCCGCAGCCGCAAACCGCAGCCCCCTCGACGCCTCGTTGTAGACTTGATGGTTCGGCGTCCGGCCAATGGAATGGTGGATCATCATGTTGTTCTTCTGCATAGCACGGGTCGTCTGCCCCACGACATGGATGATTTTCACGTGTTCGGACATGGAGCCCGCGACGCCGTTTAGGGCACTCAGCTCGCCGACGCCATGCGTCGTGATGAAGCAGCCGGGGACGTCTTTGACGCGGGCGTAGCCATCAGCGGCGTAGGCGGCGTTGAGCTCGTTTTGGTTGCCGACCCATTTTAGGCCCGAGACTAGGAAGACTGAGTCCAGGAATTGCAGGTTGAAGTCCCCGGGTACCCCGAAGATTGTGTCGATGCCGACTTGGTGGATGCGTGTCCACATGTACTGCCCTAGGGAGATCTTTCCGGAAGGCATGGTGGGGGTTGGTCTTTCTTGGCTTTTTGATGGTGTGTGTGATTTCGGGAGGGAGAGAGTTGGAGAATGAATTGGGATGGAAGTGTTCCTCTCTCTTTCTCAAGGAGTGTGTATGACTAGTTTTTGTCAGCTTATCTGCGAGATGGTGAGATGCTACATGTCTTATCATGAGCAACGGACTGGATAACATATACATACATATATCCGCCAAGTAACGTGCCTGGAGAAAATTCCAAAGGTAAAGTAAAGCAGGCTTTCTATACAGACGAAAAGACAATGGAGAACAGACCTCCACCAGCTGACGATCACGAATTGTTTACTCCGAGGTTGAACGCGTTGTGTACAAGTCCCCGGCTACATGCGGCGAGTGGGGGAGGAGGGATGGAGAAAGCCACCAAAATGCGGGGGAGGAGCTCATCATACGCCCCAGAACCAAATCAGCATCGGAAAGGCCTCGGAATCGGAGCAAAGATAACTTGACGCCGAGGAAAGAAGTACCAACGACAACACACAGAGTCAATAATTTTCACAGAAACAGAATCAACATATCTACATACTAGCACTCTCCTCGGTAGTCCCTTCCACAGGCCCTTTCTTCGCATCCTCAAACGACGCCATCTTGAAATCATACGGCAGTTCAAACTCTGCCTTCGCGTCGCCCTCGAACGGCACAAAATCCACTACTAGCGAGTCCTTGACTGCAAACACGGCGTCGTCCTCGATGTACTTGCTCTTGCGATCGAAGATCTGCGTGACAATGGGTTTATATCCGGGTGCGGTAAGCTATTGAAAAAAAAAGAACCTCCCGTCAGTACATGTTTTCGCACGAGAAAAGGGGGAGGGGGGCATATTCATACCAAGAAATGGATATGCGCAGGCCGAAACGGATGTCTATCAAGCGCCTTAAGAATCCTACCCGCAGGCCCATCGAACGGAATAGGATACGGCACAGGTCTAAGGCAGTAAAACGCATACTTGCCGTCTGCGCCCGTAGTAAACCTGCCTCGGAGGTTCATCTCAGGCTGATCGGGATCCTGCTGCTCGTACAGACCGTTGGGGGCCGTGTGCCAGACATCCACGACGGCGCCGGCGATGGGCGCGCCGGTCCGGAAGTCCGTAACCGTGCCGTGCATCCATGTGCAGTCGCCCTCTGTGTTGTCCAGGCCCGACACGATGGAGGCGCCCATGGGCAGCTGCGGCGCGTCGTGGCGGTAGAAGGGGCCTAGGATGGCGGTGGCGGTTGGTTCTGAGGCGGCGGTGGAGGCGAGCTTGTAGGTGATTTCGTCGACGAGGGATTCGAGGCCGAGGACGTCGCAGACGAGTTGGCCTTCGTTGCGCTTCGAGTCGGACATACGGCCGGCTTCGTTGAGCTGCGGAATAGCTGTTAGCTGACTATTCCATGGGATGTATGTCTTGCGCTTCATCGGTTGTATGGGGGGGGATATGGAATGCCCTTTTCTAGCTCCCTACTCACCAGTTCAACACCCGCCATCCACTCATCAACCGTGAGCTCGTTCTCCCGCGCAAAGTCATGCAGATGCCTGATCAACCCGGCCGTCAACTGCCTGACCCTCGGCGTCGCACCGGGCCCCGTCGCATTGATCACCGCATCCGTGAAGTTCGGATCGAATCTATGTTCAGACGGCATAATCTCGCAACAAACGACTTATCTTCCCCAAAAAAAGAAGAACAAGAAGAAGAAGAAGCCGACGCGCCAAAAAAAAAAGCTCCTCGTATAGCGGCGCGCAAACAACCGAATCAATCCCAACTCTTCACAACGAGTCCCAAAACGAGGTTTCGCAGAACCGCAAAAGTCGTATATAGATATGTATATATGCGTATCTCTCGCAGAAGAATCGAACAAGCCAAAAAACCTACCCTCGACCGACTTTTTGATCTACCCACTCCACTCCACTCCACCGCACCGACACCAGCTGCCGACTTTCCCACACGCCAGTAGGCGGGGCAGTGGAGTAGCCGGCCAGTCCGTTCATTGACGTGCATGGAGCCGTTCAAGTAGGAAGGAAGGTAGTGAGGTGCACGATCCGAGTCCGAGCCCGAGCTCCCCGTCTGTCGTTGGCCAATGACAGGGCGGGGTGAGGTAAGCTGGTAGATTATCGGGTCGCGTGATGTGGGTGCTTGGGGGGTGGGTAGAGGAGGGTGTGTGGGTCTGTGATGGTGATGTGATGTGATGTGTTGGGGATGGGATGGGATGGTTGTTGTCAAGAGTAGGTATGTTGCAGATGTGCATCTCTCTCTCCATATCGGTGAATTAAAACAAAACTTGCTATTGATATTGATATTGCGCCAGTCCAGGTATCCGTCCGTATAACAATCCCTCCCCAAAGTCAAAATCTCCATCCCTGTACCGGAAGCTTCAGATGCACAACGCGCCGATCAATCAATCGCTATCATCCTCGACCCTCGCGCGCTTCGCCGCCCGCCCGTCCATTTCCTGAATCCCATACCTCTTCTCGCCCGTCTTCTCCGCGCCCTTCTCCCCCTTGACCTCCTCAATCATCTGGTTGATGTTGAACGGGTCATCTGTATCCTTCTCGAACTGCACCGGCCCCTCCCTCGCCTCCTGCGTATCCGCGCCCTTGAATCCCTCCTTCGCCTTGCCCAGGACCTCAAACTTGCTAGTCTTCGTGATCTTGTCGTACGTCGCGCCGTCGTCTTCTCCGTCATCCTGCTGCACGCTCGGACGGTAGATACTGCTGATCGCGTCCTGGGCCGCGAAGAGAGGTTTATCGTAGTGATTGTCTTCGTTGAATCCCGTGTTGAAGCCGCTGGATTGGTTGAACAGGCGGGAGTCGTACATGGATTCGCCGCCTTGAGTGGGTTTCGCGAGGCCGAGGGCGACTTTCTCCGAGATGTCGCGGTTCTGCTCGCGCGCAAGCATCTGGATCTTGCGCTCGGTGCCCATTCGCGACTGGCGGAGCTCGCGCTGGAAGTCTTCGCGGCGTTCGCGACGCGCGTCTGTGCGTTGGCGGACTGCTTCTTCTTCCGAGTCGCTTTCGGAGTCTGAGCGGCGGCGGGAGGCGTTGGCGCGCTCTTCGCGAGCCTGCTTGGCCAGGTTGCGCAAATGGTCTTCTTTCTGCAGCTTCTCCTTCTCTGCCAGTCGTTGTTGCATGATTGCGCGCTGCTTGACTTCCTCTCGTGCGTGTCGGTCTGCAGCCTGCAGCGCCTCGCCGAATTGCGCAAACTTGTCGTTGATGGTGATGTCTTGCAGACCCCGTCCGTCTGCCGCAAGGCGCTTGTCCAGGGGCACTGTGTAACCCTTGGGATTCTTCCAGTTACTGATCGGCGGCGGGATCTTCCACATCTCTTGGTCCTCAGCCGTCAGCTTTCGCGGGGGCGAGTGGAGGATTGGGGGCGGAGGAGAGGGCGGTCCGCGCGGAATGCGCTTGTGCTTGAACTTGGGCGGCTCCAGGGGATCGATCTGCCTCTGCTGAATCTTGAAAATACGCGTCTTTCCCTGCGCCTCGCCCATCTGCGCAGTCGGCGTGTACCGCACAAAGGTGGGCTCGTCGTTCTTGCGGCCCTGGACGTTCTTGGGCCGTTGGGCGGTTGTCTGGCCCGACACCAGCGCCATGAGCGCCGCCTCTGTCTTCTCCTTGGTTGCCTGCACCACCTCCTGGCTCGGACGATCCAGGTCCAGCTCTCCAGCATTGGCTTGCTGTCGCAGCGGAATCAGGTCCTTGAAGCTCGCCTGCACAATCCTCGAGTCGCTGTGCCCACGTCGCGCAATCTCGTCGTACTTTGTCTTCCCCTCGCCATCGACTCTCCGCACGAGCGCGTTCGATGTAGATTGCGTGCCCTTTCTCCCCATGTCCAGCGGGTACTGCGCGACCTGGACTTCGGGAAACGCGCCTCCATCGCCAAAGTCCTCGGCCGTGCGTGGCCGCCAGTTCGTCCGGTTGCCGTATGGAGGCGGGCCATTCTGCCTCCGCGCGACTTGTGTCTCGTACTGCTCGGAGCTCAGCACGCGTGTCGCTTTGGTGAGTTCCTCTTCTTCGCCCGTGTACTTTGGCCTCGGCAGCGACTTGGAGAGGGTTGCGACGGACATGATGAACAGACGCAGAGGTGAGAGGGATTCGTCGTTGACTGCTGTTGATGGGAGACGGTTGGAAAAGTTGGGAGGCATGGCTCTTGGCGTCGGCCGAAACATTCACCGACGATCGATCACGTGTATGTGGAGTTACCTGAGCAGTGAGACCACATCTATGTTATTACACATACGTTCTTCAGCAGTCATTCCAAGTCGACGTGGTAAGCTAGCAGATTGGGTTTCTGTGATGTTTATGGTATCTATTTACGCCGTTTCTTGCTTTACAATGGCCGAACTTCCCATACAATAATCTATAAAACGCAAAAGACTTTGTATATCACAACACCAAACCCAACAAACACCACTTGATTCACAACACAATCCCACGCTCTACACACAAGACCCATAACAACCCAGCAACCCAAAACCACCACCCGTCAAGACAAGATGTACACCGCAACCCCCTCACACCAGCACCCCATCCACCCAGCCGTCTAACCCCTTACATCGACGTCGGCTCCTCGACCTGATCCGGCGTCCAGCCCTCGCACTGCGTGCGCCCAGCAGCAGTCCCCCACCTCTCGCACTCGCCAGCGAGGGGATTCATAACGCAGTTCTGGCCCTTGGTATCAACGACCTGGCAGATAGTAGTCCTACATCCGTGTATTAGCAACGCCTCACATCACAATCATGCATGAGAAGTAGTGACTCACGAAGAAGGGTTAGGGTTGTACGTGTAGCAATCGCCCGGGTGCGCGGGGCTGGGATCAGTGCACGTCTCCGTGAGCCAGAGGAACATGGTTTGTCCGAACTCGGTGGTGCGTTTCTGGCGTGCTTGTCAGTGTCGTGGTCCCGTCTCCTTGTAAATCATCGCAGTGGTGGTAGATGATGGTGGACTTACAATCAGTACGTCCTTGTCCGACGGCTTGCGGCCCTCCAGACATGTGGTGGGGAACTCGGCCGCGGTGATGACACTATAGGCGCCGTTGCTGGCGTCAATCGAGTTGGAGGCCGTTTGCTGCGTGTTCAGCAGCGTCGCGTCGGGGCATCGGAAGGGGTCTGGGACCGCCCATGAGGTTCCGACACAGCCGCCTGCGCCGCTACAGATCTTTCCGTTCCAGGAGGCGAGGGCGGCTGGGAGCAGGGCTGCGAGGGTGAGGAGCTCGACGGAACGCATGGTGAAGATTTGGCTTGGTTGGATTGGATTGGGTTGAGAGGGGAAGAAGCTGGGGTTTGTGGTGGTGTCTGGGTGTGGAAGAGGATTGATAGTTTGAAGATATTGACTCTACAGAGCGGATACCATACCTTTATACGTCGCCGAATCGCTCTCTACCTCCAACATCGCACCAAGCTGCTGTTCCTGTCATGCCAAGCGGTGTATATTCCCCACACGTACCAACTCATCTACTTCCAGCCTGACAAACATATGCGGGCGTGCTTATACAGCCATCACGCCAAGTGCAATTGAGTGTTGCAAGAAGAAACGCGCAGGTACATGTGCTTGAAAGTGGAGTCCTGCAAGTCCAGAATGCAATTTCTCCACCGCTGTGTCTGGGGTGTTGGGGGAAGGATTCGCCGACGCATGGCTGCGGAAACGGGCCGTTTTGTTTGGCCAAGGAGGGACCTTCATCTATCTATCTATCATTCGAGGTGGTAGTCGGGTGATGTGGATCCGGCGTACAATGTTCTAGTCGAATGTTCGGTGGTTGAATCGGCCGTTGATGGGGGGATTTACTTGCTCAGTACTGTGGGAACGTATTGAATACGAGGATGCGTGAGACTGAAAAGGGCCGTTGGGGGATATAAAACTCGAGGCAGGTAACGTGTAAGATGGCAAGGAATACCGGTCAAATTCCAAGCTCTTCAATGTGGTTCGAGAAGGAGGAATCCATCCTCTCCGAAATAGTCCTTGGTAGAGATGCTTCTGAGAGAACTCCCATACTTTCACAAGCGCGTTCGTGGGATGGTGGAGTCGAATCGATCATCGCGACGAGACTCAACAAGAAGTCTACCTATCTACTGAGAAGCGACACACGACTATTTAGTATCTATGGCAAAGAAGTAGACAAGACGTCTAGTACTCCACCGGCGAAACCTTCGACCGGCGCCGCAACGCGTCATTACGGAAGGAATCCATCCCGTTCGCACTCGAAACACTAGAGCCAAGGCGAGTTGGTGGCTTATCCGTGCCGGCGACGCGCGTGGTTGCCATGCAAGCCATGGACAACACAGAGGTGGTTGTGAACAACACAGAGCTGGCTGGGGCAGTGCCTTCAAGTTAGCGAGGAAACCCCTAGCAAGTGCCCTCGCCGTTGTCTACTGTGGTATCCGGCAAAAGTAGTGTACATGGCAGGGGTACTTCTACTCGGAAATTGCAATGCGCTAGGCCCAACACAGTCAATTCTTTACACACACATCTCACAATATGTTATGCAAACCTAGAAATTTTTATGTGTTCTCCTACAGCAGTGACGATGTGATAGAGATGTAAGGTAGATAGTAATATTAGATAGTACACGAGAGTTGTAGTAGTAGTAGGAACACAGAATACAATACAAATTACTATGGTTTTGGATGTATTATTGCGTGATACAGCCGTTTAGAAACTCCGGATCTCCACCTGACTCACACCCCTGCCATGTACACTACTTTTACCGGATACCACAGTACAACGGCACCGGAGTCCTAGTCCAAGGTCGGTGTATTTTAGGTTCATCCCTGGGGGTGGAGTCAAGGTGCCTGGATGGATGCTCGCTTAGAGCTACCCCCTTGCGTATGCACGATCTACTTCGCGATCAAGACGCGATGAGAGATAAAGTTGCTGTCTGGGGTCTCCTCGCGCGATAGCCATGGTACGATAGACGAGCGGTAGTTTATCGAATAGTGGGAGAAAAAGAAAATAGTGTTTGAGAATAGGGATGATGGGGAAAAGGGGGCTGGTTGAACGATGGTTTGGTACACGCCAAGCTGTCAACCAAAGCTGTCACATGTGTTGGATGCAGTTACAGAGTGACAGCACAGGGGCATGTGAAGGATGAGGTTTCAAGACTGCGGCGGCCAGGATGGTCGAGTTGGAGGTCGTTGCTAGATTCAACGGCGCAAAAGGCCACCAAATTTAGGCTTGATAAGATTGCGCTGGTGGTGGAGCTAGGCCAGCAAGGCGGTCCTAGGTTGAGAAGAAGCCCAGCCACAATAACATATCAAGGTGGGCTCAAAAGCGCGAGCCAGCCAACACGAAACTGCGGGCCCTCGCGCAGGCATGATGCGCGCTGCCTACCTTTCGTGAAGCAACCGCGCTGAACCCTGCCGGCCAACATAACAAAGCCCTCTGCAGCCATGGCGAACGAAAAACACGGTCGCAAGTCGTTTCTGGGCGGATTGCTGCAGCGCTCTCGCACCTCCGACGCGCAAACGACTCCCCCGAAGCACAGTCGAACCCACACTGCGCCCGAGACGCCGACGCTGTTGCGCCTGCCCTCGACGGCCTCCACGGTAGCCTCGACCGCGTCGCGATCTCGACGCGCCACGCTGACGACTCCCGAGACGCCCACGGCCGCGCCCTCGACCTCCGCCGCCACGTCGCCCTCGTACTTCTCTCCCCAGCCCGCTGCGTCGACGAAGGAGGTGCGCTCGCCTGGCACACGCCGCCCGCCTGCCTCGCACAGCACCGGCTATGACACGTCCCGCGGTCCGCCAGTCACGCTGATCACCCGCGGCAACTCGGACATTGCGCGCCGCCCGTCGCAGCAGCAGCAGCAGCAGCAGCAGCAGTCGCAGTCGCAGTCGCAGCAGCAGTCCATGTCAGTGGGTCCGCACGGGTCGAGCCGCCGCAAGGACGAGCCCCCACAGACGAAGACACAAACACCGCAAACAAAGCCTGCGCCCATGCGACGAGCTTCGACGAGCAGCGCCCGCCCTGCCCGACACATGGCCCCGAGCCCCAGCCCCAGCCTGTCGTCGACCGACTCGTCCGACTACGACGCTGGCCCCGCCAGCCAGCCCAGAGACCGAGACACGACCAGACGCGCCGCGACACAGGCCCCACGCGCCCGTCCCCAGCACACCGAGGACCTCTTCATGAACATTGCCGAGGACAGTGCACCGCGCCAGCGCATCGTCGACGCGGCGGCGCGCGAACGGCTCCGGGTGAGTGCTGTCCACGCCCACGCACGACCTGCAGTCCACTCCCGTCCAGTCAGCTGACCCGTCTAGTCGCGCATCGCCCGCGTGAGCAACCGCTCGTCGTTCCCCTCGGGCCTCAACTCGCCCTCGCCCGTCCACTCCAACTCCAACTCGTCGACGCCGACGGCCAGCGTGAGCCGCATCCCCTACGCAGACCCCAAGTCGGCCAGCCAGCCCCGCCGCGCCTCGCTCCTCCCCACCACCTCCAGACACTCGCCCGTCTCGTCCACCGCAACCCTCGAGACGCCCCGCACGCGCCTGCCCGAGCTCACGTCCAAATCCTCATTCTCCTCCAGAAAAGATGCCCAGCTCTCGCCGCAAGAGTTCCTCGCCCAGTTCGGGAAGAAGACACCCTCCTACGCCGACGCGAACAACACCCCGCCCACCCGCTTATCGGCATATCGTCCCTCAAACCTCAACTACTCGTCTGCACGTGACGATCCCAAAACGCCCCAGGCCGACTCCTTTCCCGAGGGCGGCTCGCGCGCTGACGGCACCGAATCGCACGGCTCCACGGGGCCCGCAACATCCGTATGGGACGAGCTGGACGAGCTGAAGACCAGAATCCGCAGAATTGAGTTGGTCGGCAAGATCCCATCCACGTCAGGCGCCGTCGTCTCCCAAGCCACTTCAGACCGTCCACGGACTGCAAACACATCCGCCACGACAGTCTCATCGTCACCCAACCAACCGCGCAAATCTGCCCCTTCCTCATCTGGCTCGACCATCGACACCCAAACACCTAGTAGAACCCATCCTTTGCTGCGAGAAGCGCTGGCAAAGGTCAGACAGCACACTTCGCCTGATGTTTACCGTAGACTGGAAGCGATAGCAGCAGAAGCGCTTGCCATGGCGGATTTGACCGGGAGCGCAGGTCCCCAAGGAACATTAAACTCGACCAGCTCCGTTGTTGGCGGCGCTGTCGTGCCCGACCGTCAGATTCGTCGCAAAGCGGACAATATCTGTCGCGGCTTGACGGAGCTTTGCATAACCTTGTGCGACACCAAGTCAAGTCTGTCAAGCCCAGCTGTAAGAGCTTCAGCCATCGCAGCATCACGTCGGCCAAGTGTGCAAGTCAATGGCGAGTCACCGCCTGTCCGACAAAGCATCGAGCCCGAATCCAACTCACTGCCAGGCGTCAGTCCGAGCAGAGCGCTTACGCGTATTGAAGCCCGCAGGACCAGTATGATTGCTACCGGAAGTCTTCGAGAATCCAGCCAAGACAGAGATCGCGCAGACTCGCGCAGTTATTCACGTCAACGGGCAGGCACAAGTCTCCACCGCGCTCGCCAAAGCGTCGATGACGACGACGAGGACGACCCAACAATACGAGCGCCTTCCCGCGCAATGACAGACTTTAGGAACATTCGATCTGCCGAGAAGCCCACCACCACCACCAGCAGATTTTCCAGCAGAAACTATACATCCCAGGAGCCAATGCCCGGACTCCAGCCCTCCCCCGCGATTCAACCTACCTCGGGTCTCCGTCGCCCGACTGTCACGGGCAGCACCAACGAAAACAGCCTGCTCTACAGAGACAGCACCAGACGCTACAACTTCGACCGCGAGGGCTCTCCCGCACACGAAAAGCAGATGGCAGGCAACTTGCAGGCCAGGACGCAGTTCAGCAACCGAGCGAATCTCAACCGCAATTCCATCGGGACGATGAACGACATTGGTCGCAGTGTGAGCCTGGGCGGGAGAAGACTGAGGGGCGCGAGCATTGGCGAGTGAGCATTTCTCCAAAAACGCCCAGAAAAAGGAAAGAGTCGAAAAGTGTGTGTGTTGACGATTGTGATGATATATACCCAGTTTACTCTCCGGGCGACGCGACGTGTCGATGCCGGCGTCGATGCACCTGATTATGCGATAGTGAGCGAGCATGGCATTTCAGAAATAGGGGTTGTTTTCCCCGAGCGCGGTTCCCTTCTTCTTCTACTTCTTTTCTTCTTTTTCTTCTTTTTTACACAAATTCTCCTTTCTATATTTGAGATCTTGGGCTATGCTGTGTTTTTAGCCGGCAGACACATTATCGACTCGAATATTTATTGAGCGACGGGCGGACGGGCGGGTTTGGGCATATCTGAGGGTATGTCTACGGATTTCTCTTTTTTTTGGTCTTTTTAGGGAGACATTGCATTCGGGTTCAGCATACAAAGGGCCCTGTTTCTAACTACTACGGGCTGCATAGGGGGTTTACAGGTGTTTGCTTTTTTTTCTTTCGTTCGAGAAGAAGAAGACGATGAGGTAGGAGGTGAGGTGCCTCCACAAAAGCTTTCGGAGTTTGTTTATTTGTTTGTTCGTATATTTTTTGTTTGTTTGCTACAGCGTGGGTTTTACTCCTCCCGCCCACCCAGTGTAGCGCAGCGCAGCGTAGCGAGTTAGTTTGTTTGTTTATCATATACCAGCAGCAGCATCATCTTTTCGGGGGCTTTTTTTTGCCCGGGCCAGGAAAGCAGCAGGGCAGGGCAGGGCGATTGCTTTCTTTTGTATATAGGTTTTTTCTTCTGCTGCTACTACTTCGAATGAGACGAGATAGATAGATAGGCAGACAGATAAGTAGGCAGGCATGAATAAAGTGCCTAGCATCACGTCACACTACACTAACCCCTCCCAACGGGTCTGCATCTGCATCTGCATCCGCTAACCATCCATCATCCATCCCGTCCTAACACATCAAGCCGTTCGTTCGTTCGTTCATTCAGCCTGAGACAAACTATTATTCCCCATCCTAGGATCTCGAACCATCAACCTCTCTGCAGGTTTCCATTTCCCTCCCGTCTCCCCACTCACCCCGCCAATCACCACACCACACCCCCATCAATCCGCACATGCACATGCGAACCTACGTAGCCAGGTAAACCTGTATGCGCTCCGTCGCACAAGACATATGGGCACGCGCACGCGGGTCCTGGTCTTGTCTGGTCTGGTCTTGTCTGGTCTGGCCCGATGACGTATCGCAGGACAGGCATGTATCCCTGTCGTGTGCGGGTGGGAAATCTTGCATGTGGGAAGGTTGGTGGGACGATGGATGATGGGATGATGGGGGCATGAGATCACTGCGGATTTGGGGAGGGGCGGGGGGTATATAGATGTGTGGGTTTGCGATCTGGGTTTTGGGAATTTACACTTTTGAACGTTGTGTTTTTGGAAGATAGTGAGATCAGACGATACGCGATATACAACCATAGCAGAGTATAGCAGAGCAGAGAAGAACTACGAACCAAGCAACTATGGCGAACGAACAAAACACCCCTACTGGCGCTGGTGCTGGTGCTGGTGCTGGTACCGGCAAGACATACAAGCAACAAGCCGGCGAATACTACAACAAGCAATACGAGACATGGATGCCATGGATGGAAGACCAATACCTGAAGTGGTTCACCAAGGATAATAAAGCGAGTTATGCTACGAAACGTATGTCCCCCCTTCATCTATCCCCCATCCACCATGCCCCCATGTCTCCCCCCTTCGCACATTCCTATCCTCCCCTTCGCTATCTACCTTCTACACGTCCGCTAACGCCCACCCCCAGAAAACCTCGACAAATCCAAAATCAGCGGCATCTCCCAAGTCGACCAACTGCAAGACGGCGTCCACGGCCTGGTCAGCGGACAAGTCGGCCAGGGCGGCATCGCGCAGCCGCTCGGTGATGCGATGAGTAAGGAGGGGATTAATCGCGCTGAGCGGGGGGGGAAGGATGAGCAGGGAA